GGCGCGAAAGAAGCGAGAAGAAGCTTAGGGACCCTACTTAGGAAGGCTTGATGGTTCTTAAGGCTGTCTTGGCATGCCTTACATTATTCACGCTTGTTTGACAGCTCACTTGCTTACCTCCCTTACAGCTCCTCTATTCTGTATGTCTATGATTTCAGCGCTTAATCTCGCATTCGAGACGACAATAGACATCCTGTATCTCCAAATAAATTCTCATCATAACCGCAAGTGCGCGCTGATTTTCTTAGCAATCGGTTTTGTCAAGAGATGGAATATCAATATCCAAATGTCAAAGCATTTTATCAACCGTCAATTTTCGAGTCATGATACCTCCTAGTCAGGAATCATGGCGGTGATGAATGGTTAATTGTTAACAACAAATACGATTAATAAAAAAAAGGACTATCCTCCCACGGAAGACTCACAAAGTTACGACAAGGTCCCGAAATTATTATAGATTGAGCACTCTATTCCAAACCAGCAAAAGTTTGTTGTACTCGGGGCTGAAGAGTTCTTGCCCCTCGATATTGTAATCCAAATTCATCAACCAATTGCGTCGCCAATATATATGGTTTATGGATGATGTTCAATGACGAGACGAATAATCTCTCAATTTCCTTTTTCCCTCATTTAAATTGCGATTTCTCTCCGAAGTTCTACAAGTTCAATCCTCTGAGCAATGCTATAACAGTTGAGAGTAAGATCTGATCTGGAACAGGTACACCACATCCTGTCTCGAAGATATCCATTACAAACCTTATAAACTAAGTAGACATAATTATTCCTCTCAGGCTTAATTTTCTACTAATTCTCATCTCATAGTCGTGGAAATTTTCTGACAACACACGCAAGTAGAATCTAGGACATATCAGGTTTTCATCTCATCACAGTAGAATCACAACAATGATCAGTTTGTCCTATACTCCATATATCGCAATTAGTTACCGCTAAAAATAAGCAGGAAGTACGAAGGCGCTTTTGTGGAATGAATACCTATGTGTTGCATTGGAGATGTAGGGCTCACTCTGTGAAGAGGATTGTTTCAGACGGAATATTGAATAGCGTTGCGCTGGTGATTTGTGTGGCAGATGAACACTGGTCCTTGTGTGAGTTGTCTACAGATTATCTGAGCATTTGAATTCCAATTCTTCAAATTCATGTTGCAATGTTAAGCCGTTCGTCTAACGCTCCTGAAGTCTTCAATTATTCGTTACATCTCCTATGATTAGCTCCCATTTCCTCCTCAAACTCAGAACTTCAATCTGATGACAACTCGTCACTATATCCTAATTCTGTAGTAAGTGATTCATTTTACGCATGAAAACAAATCGTATTATTCATATCTTGTGTGCATTCCATAGGTATACATCTGTAGAGTATCTACAGTACAGCAGACCACCCAGTCTTTGAAGACTCACACTAATCTTCTCTCGCACTAACCTCATCAAAAGCAGCTTCTGCCTCTTCCCTTAGCCTCACTCCCTGGTCTCCCGCCACCAACCCTAACGCTCTATCTCTAGAAGGCCTTTCCCTTTCCAAACTACTATTCTGCTTACGCCTGAACTCTCCAGATTGGCTTCTTGGTGATTTTCCTCTTCCCTGCCCCTTTCTCCTCATCCTAGCCACATCTTCCAAGCTATTTTCCCACGAGTCGTTACCATCACCGTCACCAAATCCGAGCCCTCTTTCAAAATCCCTTTCTCTGGCCCCCTCTTTGGTGATCTTAGTCATCTGCAACCTCCTAAGATCTCCTCTTCTTTTCTGAGCCGTCTGTCTCGCAACATGTGCCAATGTATTTACACCAAGTCCATCCAAGGCGCTAATATCCATAAGTAATTTTCGAACCTTGTAACCTGTAATTTCTTCAATAAACTTATCGACTCCCTCTTCACAAGCAGCTGCAGTAGCGACCCTCAGTCCCTTGAACAATTTCTTTGTATCTTTTTCCTGCTTGGTTTGCTTTTCTAACGAGGAGAGTTGATTTTGTAAATCCCCTACAGATTCAGACACTGATAGCTTGGGACTGATTTCCAACAATACAGGAATGTCAGGTAATCTTGCATAAGAAAGTACTTGACCTTGTACGTAGCCAGGCCTTGTTGATTGACTTGACTGACCAGCTTGAATGGGCATTGGTATAGAGGTAGCGCTTAATTGTGATGGCGATACTTGATCTGCTGTCGACTTTCTTTTATTCGGATCAGGGAGTGGCGTTGGTATTTGTTCTGAGACAGATACCAGTTTTCCTCCACTCTTACGAACATTCGATTGGCGAGCAAAGTATCCTTCATCCGCCGATACATCTGGTTCTTTTTGCTTCCCCTTAGAACCAATACCAATGGTTCGCCCATCGTCAAATTCATGTAAAGGAACGTCTCGATCTATGTGCTGCCTGGGATATTGACTTGCAGTCGTTTTGATATTCTTATCTGTATTACCCACAGATAGATTGCACCCTTCACAATGAATCGTATCGGGACTCTCACATGTTCGCATATTCTTCCTCTTCGGATTTGCATCAAACTCAAGGGATGGCCCCGGCGCAGATCCAGTATCTGGACGTAGTTTTGAGTTTGGATTTGCATTCAATACTACATTACACTGGGTACAGTGAAGTGGGGATGAAGGAACATGAGGGGATGCCAAAGTAGAAGCAGCGCGCGAAATTTGATGTGAAGGTGCAGAATCAGTGCCGGCAGTTGTTGCTACTTGGGGTAACTGTCGTCTTTGCGTTTCGTTGATCAGAGACGGTTTGAGAATAAGACCTCGACGTTGCTGACTTTGAACAGTAACAGGAATTTGAGTGGTGAAATGAGGAGCTCGGGTAATGAATGATGGAGCAGCACTTGTTTGAGTGGCATGTTTTTTTAGCAGAGGTATATCCTTTTGTGCTATAGTTTCTCCATTGGTAAGCATAAAACGACTTTGGTCGGCAAGTTGTTGTGGGTTGGCAAAATCTGCCACCCCGATATTATCACCTTCGCCGGGACCGACAAACGACTGCATATAGGGAGTCGTATTTGGTGGTATGGGGGGTACAGGGGACGTGGTACTAGTAGAGGCTCTGGGAATCTGATCTGGAACATAAAGTTTGTGCTCTGGCGGAGTATCAAGATGCAATACTATAGAAGAAGATTGTGAGTCTGGCTGACTCGTAAACTCCGAGAACGGAGGTGATGCAGCAGCGTCTCCGGCCAACTTGCTCAATCTGCTGTCTCTTATGGTAGTGTCGGATTCTGAAGCAGGATCAGCTGTGATTGGGGGCTTACGAAGCCAGGGTAATGACTTTTTGGCAGGAGTCCCGTGTTGAGGTGAGATAGCAGGGTCCGGGCACTTTGCAGGTGACGATGCTCGAGGGGGTGCCAAATCGCAACATGGTTGAGACTCAATTTGGTTGGCTAGATCCTCCTGCTCATATAACTGTGTGCCCTCAATGGCGGTTTCCTCTGATGCAACACTCATTGTCGACAACTCTTTTTTTGGTTTCGCACGATCAGGTATTGATTTCTTGATCAATACATTTGAACCCTTTATTCCCATTTCGTTTGCTGGTAGACTGTCTTGTAGTGGCTCCTCAATATCAAGAAGATGGTTTCCCTGTTTGGCTTCAAAGTCTGCAAGCACCGCACTTCTGTGACCAGAGAGCAATGGCTGGACTTCCGGGACAGTTCTTCTGCGCCCGTATGATTGAACGCTTTGAGCTGGCTGGTTTCGTTGTTCCGATGATGTCACCGCCAATCCAGCAGCTTGGAATTCGGCGTGATAAGGTTTAAATTCTTGGATAGTCTGTATAGTTTGCGTGGAAAGGCTATTTGAGGGAGCAGATGAAATGGGCGTTTGCTTAGGGACCTGCTTAGCGATTTGAAGATACAATTCAAGATCGCGAGTGAAACGTTTCAACGCTCGCCTTTGACTGGGACTACGAGAAGAAGGGTCCGAAGAAATACTCCGCACAATAGAATGAACAGATGAAGAGAAAGATTTTCCTTGAGCAAGGATTGCAAGCCTAGATCCTCCAATTAATGCTGTGTTGTTTCTCGAGATATCTTTCTTGGAAGGATCGCCTAATATAGATACTCCTGATGACTGGATAACGTCTTGATGGTTGGTAGCTTGTTCTTCGTAAAGACTCGCGAGTGTAGATGCAGCCAAGAAAGCTTTACTTTTAGCTGGAGAGACAAAACCAGTACGTGTGGATGGATTATACTTCTTATACAAGCTCCTGGTATAATAAGTACCACTATCTCGTGGTGTGGAATTTCCAGGATTGACTCGATACCGCCGGATTTGATCAAGACCAATTGACTGTGTGGAGTTGATTCGAGTTCCAGTTTGAGATATTATACTCTTGTTCGCAATGGGGCCTTTAACTTTATTGAAAGTTGAACAAGCAGCGCCGTCTACAGAATGGATACGAGTTTCGCTGGTAGTTCTATCAGGGTGATAAGTTGGACTTGATTCAATAGCACCTTCGACAAGTGGAAGCACAGTAACACTCTCCTGATCCTGCCTAGTAATTTTTGCACTTGACGATTCCCACCCAAAAACTATTTGTCTAACTTGTTTCGAAGCACGTCGCTGGGAGCGAGTAACAATAGAAGTCTTTGAACTTTTCGATCTTCGATTACGAGCCCCAACTCTTTCTTTTCTTCGAGCCTGCTCTAGCGCCCTACAATTGTGTATTTTACAAGTGCCTCTATTGGCGTGTGAAGCACAACGTGTGGAATTGAGTTGAGGGCGATTCGAGGTATTATCTATTCGTGGGAACGTTCGATGAGGACAGCCCTTCCAATGTATTTTGAAATTGACCATTATCGGCTATAAGGATAAATTCGTGAAGGATGCATATTTTAGGAAATGTGAGGTTTTCGAGATTGATGAAACTGAGTAATTAAAGAATCTCATCGATATGCAATGCGCCTGCCCTTTCCAGCCAAAGTTTGGTCCCCGATCTGCCGGCATCCAAAAACAAGACATCCTTGTTGTCCATATTGTTTTGCTCATCGAATATCTTTGATACCAGGCGAAGAATACATGTCAACCTGTCGCTGCCCTTTTCGCAGAAGGTACTCAATCGTATTGAAATCCTTCTTGTCTAAAGTTATATTCTTGCTGAACTCCAGTCTGGAAATACCAGAAAATTAGCAAGATCCGTACAAGGAAGGCATGAACAATCAACATACCTCGCATATGCTTCAAAATGCTTTCTTGCCTCCTTCATCTAGTTAACAACTTGTTTTTCAATTCTTATAGGAAATCTACTTACAGCCGGCTTCTTTCTACTTTCTCTCAAGCACTTTCTATAAAGCGCGAGAACATCTCTTTGAAGTCCTGATAACCTCGCCATCTTCTTCCTTCGCAATATATAAAATGTTTGTGGATGAAGATGTTCAGACAAAAGTAAGAAAATAATGGATGATGCGCCGACATTGAATGTTGCAGGGGTGAGCTCTTGGTGGGGGTTACATAAGCACATGGGCTAGATTGCGTCAGTATTTCAACCCAGTCCAGTCTCAGCAATATTAACAACATCCATTTGCACCCTTAGACTTGATAGATGGATGTATTGCTATTGTGGATTGTTTCAATTCGATTGTATCTCTCAAATGGATTGATACGTCCCACTTGATTCGGAATGATTGATTCTTATCGAGGATTGAGTTCATTCCTCACCATTGAAGCGCTCTCATTACGTCCCATAGGGCTTGTCGGAAAAGTACTGAAATAACTTATTATACTCTGCAGCGTGTCATTGTGATCTAGGTAGTTCCAAGATATCTTTCCCTCCTTTTATTCTACTGTTCATTGTAAGGATACTCTACACCAGCATATTCGATGGAGTTCAAGTGAAAACTACTGTACATGGATATTTTGCGTCGTGTTCGAATATGCTATTCCCTATACTTGTTCCCTTGAAGTTAGTACTTATCAGTATATATGCTCTACTTCCGAGCGTTTTTGTTGTTCCCCGAGCAAAACATCAGATTGTTTGAACTACACAGCGTTGTTTCGCCGTGAGTCTTCTCACTGCCCGTTGTACATGTTCAGCAGAAAGACCACACGACCCTCAATGGAAAAGTCGAGATGGGCAAGTTGCACCATTCCTTGGTCACCATGGAGTGAGCCAACATGGGTTTTGGAGCACCATGTGTGATTTAGACCAAGGGAATTTGGAAGAAACCTACAAGAATTTCGCAATTTTCGTAATCTTCTTGTTACACTGCATTCATTTCTATTCAATACATTAAATATTCTATTTTCTATCATCTAAACACTATTGCTCATTTGTGCTATTATGAAAATTGCCAGCTAGTGTTCACTTGGGCCGTTGAACGGACGCTTAGTATCAAAATTATAGGTAAGCTATGTCAACTATGCACGTTATTCAAACGCGTCGAGTACATCCCTCATGTACAATTAACTCAGCCCAACAAGCCATAATACCACACCCAAACTGAATATATCCCTTCAGTTTTATGTGTACAAGTAATAACCCCTACGATCCTAGAAAGAACCAAGGACAAATGAGACTGATTAGGAGTTCGCAAAGAAACAAATGCAACACAACTCATTAAGCATAGTACCTACATCAACAGCAATGGATGAAAGATAAAAACATTCCTATTCAAGCACGAAGACTTCTCCCTTGTTACAGGTTAAGCGTCATCGTTCGGCGATATTGCATCTTACTTGAACCGGATGCTTTCGCTGCAACTCGGGAAACCCAAACGAGCATTCTGGTTAATGAAGGGGGAGAATAGAAATGTCAAAGGATAGATTTAGAGCATTCTTACTTTCCAGGCCAGAGATCATCATGAATAATGTTACATTGTTCTTGGGTGAGACTCATAATACGATCATACCAGTCTTCAAATAAAGGAGTCTCGTATCCCCAATTATGCCAGGGAAATTATCCATTACCGTATCTAGTTATCCACACGATAGCCGATGGCCAATACTTGAATATGCTCGTTGATTTATGGTCAAGGGAATTTCCACAGTTTCTCTCGACCAGAGTTGCTGCTGTAAGTCTAGAATTTTGTATCCTATGCTTCTATGGCCGTCTATTCCGCATTTTGTTCTACATTGAGGGATAAGTAGTGTTGGGAGAAGTTTTGAATTTGGAGCTAAGGGAACGGGCAGATCATCCTTGGCTTGAATGTGGTCATTGAAAAGATGATCCACGACTTTTGGAGCGTGGGTTGGGATTGAAAGAAATTTATCATTTCCCTTTTTGGTGAATGACTTTGATTGATGCAGAGGATATTCTTAAATGAAATGGTAGTTGATTGGTTAAACCGTATGTTGCCACTGCCGTTGACTAATCGAACGCCCCAGAGTTAGAGATTCAGGATCAACACGGGGGTAATATCTCAGAACGATGATGAATATCGATTTGTGAGGCAGCTGAAGGACTATCTGGTGGAAACTTCGCAGGCTCCATGGCCTAGTCGCAGGTGTGGGACAATACATAATACGAATACCGGCTCTAGGATGTTCCTTGATTAGACTTGGGTCTCAATGTCTGAGAAATCAGACTGGAAGATGCTGATATTTGACCGATGCTAGGACTAGTAGTTGATAAACGCAGAAGTCAAATTTCATGACTAGTAATGTTACACCAAAAGCCCTGCTCTTTGTTTATTTAACTTTTCGATTGATTGTTCACTATATCGATCGTTACGCGGAGTTAACGTTAGGACGTTTGAGAATTAATTTTGTTTATCTATCATGGGAATCTAAACTTTAAAAACATATCGAATTTGGAAGGTGGTATCCAATTTAAACTCGGGGCGCGGGAACGGGTAAAAAGTCCAAAATAGGCGCACTACTATCAAACCTAGAAAAGATGCGCATCTTAACGGTTGATGGAATCCAGGGAAAGATGAATTGGAAAAGCTTAGAGTACCATCTACTCATAGTTTCGAACCCAGCGTATACCCCAGAGGCCTTGCAAACGAAATTAGCACGAGGTCGCTCGGCTCGCTCATAGCTCTCAAATACTTTAACGATTTCGGATGTGCTTGGTGCCTTGTTTCTTTCGAGAAGCGTGTGTAGACCATTGACTAGACAGCACACGTCGTCGACGCAGAGATTTCCGCCCAGCCCGAGATTTGATGTTGCTTTGTGGACGGCATCACCCACGAGAACGGTTCTCCCGCCTGAATGCCACTTTGTGGCTAAGACGCCTTCTTCCATGGGTACCATGGTGGAGCCAACGAGGTTGGCCCATAGGTCGTTAAAGGTAAAGGCGGGTGTGGGGCGAAGATGTCCCCATTTCTTGATGGCTTCATCCATGTCGGCCTAGCACGAGTATCGTTAGCACTTCTGGAACATTCTCGAGTCATGGTTATGAAACACAAAACTAGCCTGTCCATATCGCGGGCTAGGATAAGGCATCTGCTTATCGTTCGCAATATAAATGGCCCAGAATATCTTTCCGTCCATTCCAGCCACAGCGATACCTCCAACACCATGCTCCGGAAAATAGGAGTTAGCAGCAACACCGTTCTCTAAGAACTGCTTCTTTGGGTCATCAACAAAGTAGTTTCGTGACGTGCATGTCAAAATTCGGAATCGGTTATCGAATCCCGCAGCCATGATCTCGGAACTCTCGGGATCAATTGTTTTGAGCAGCTTCGCCGTTTGCTGACGCACATGACTGTGCACACCGTCGGCACCCACTATAATGCTGCCTTCAATGACACTGCCTTTGTCGGTCCTCAGAGTAACTCCATTCTCGTGCTCGGTAAATGAATCCAAGCCTTCATGTTCATGAACTTTCGACTTCGAGGACTCATTGAGACCGTTGTATAGATTCTGGAGGTAGACCCTGCGGTCTATAAAATATACAGGTCGTTTTTGGCTTTGATCTGATCAGCTGACACGCATTCGCTTTTTTTTGCTCGCGGTGAACGAAAGCTGAGACGAATGTCCACTTACACCTCCTGGAGACGAATTAATTCATCTGAAGAGCAAAATAGATTGCCATCGTGATCCCAGTGCTCACGAACTCCGATCGGAATTCCAGCCTCATGAGTCGGTTTGTCTATGCCTAATTGTTCGTGAACCAGAATGGTGCAAGGAAGTAACAGAATAGACTGTCCGAGTTGTGGTGCTACTTCTCGTTTCTCGAATAATTCGAAATCGATTCCAGCGCGCTCGAGTGCATTGGCTAGCGAGAGACCTGCTACTGAACCGCCTGCAATGAGCACCTTAAACAGACGCTGCGCTTCTGTCATTTTGCTTAAATGAATGATCCTGTGGCTCGTTTCGAATTCTGGAGTGGAAAGCAGGAATACATACTTTTTGCTTTTGAGTTTGTAGTTTTTACCGCAATTCCACTTTTTCCCCTGCTAGCTTCAGAATTATGAGGACGTATGAAATATGGGGAACGATTTGACAACGCAGTCACCATTAACTTTTTTGGGTGAGTTTGCTACCGTGCATTTTTCACTAAGCATTTCAGAAAATGCTGTTGTCTAGATGTTCGAAATGCGAATAGCTTCACATGTCCACGTGTGCTGATGATCGTGTATAATTTTCATCAGCCGCGCCTGAGGCTCTTCTCTTACCTTTAAACACCTGCACCTGTATAGGGGAATTCCTCTGACCAAATGACGCACCATCAATAAATAGTGTTAAGACGGAAAACAATAAGTCTCCAACTGTGACATGACACATGTTGACAATTACATTCTGGATATGATGATCAGGGGCTTTCGCGGTGCCAGGTTTCTCTATCTATCGACTGCAGATCTTGACCAATCTTGACCGTACTTTTCCTCAGCAGTTACATGCGGCACGAATCGGACTGTTGAGATAAAAAGATCTCCCTGTGGCAACGTGGAAAGTTGAAACGGCCTCAATTGTTTCTAGTGGAGTATACGCCGGTTGGCGCTCAGCTCCTTCCTAAATCCCTGCTATAACGTCTTACATGATTATCTCCCCGGAGCGAGGTTAAGGTTACATGAGTCGTTGTATTCATTTGTTTGGATATCTCGGCTCTGCTTATTGAGGTTAGGATAATACGAAGCTAAGAGTGTCCAAAGACGCAAAATAACGTCTTTATTCGGACTTATTAATAGTAGCATACGAGCAGGATGACAGAATAGGCAATTGAAGGAGCACGTTCAAATGAAAAGTGTGAAGTTCCAGAGTTTTCGGATGAGCAGTTCCTATCTAGGACGCAGTGCACAGACTATGCGGCCGTATACCTAGCCCTGTCACATTGTGGTGGAGCAGGTTAGCTTTTCGGCGCTGTCAAACTGTCACACTTAACGCTGCTGCAGATCCACGAAAGTTCAACTCCTTGCACAACGTGGGCGAAATGTTTATACAACTAATAAGTGTAAATTCTGATTACTAAATAAGCATAGTATACTAACTACAAGCAGCTAGAAATCTACTGTGGTATCTCAAGCATTAGGATCCTCTAGACATACACATACCAGCCTCACTGGAATGGTACCTTCGTAGCATTATGAGCAAAGCGATGGAGAGTCTCATCGCGCAACAATCGCGGCCACGCTTGGTTTGATGCACTAACAAGCACTTCCATTGTTCCCTGGGGCGCGTCCGCAGGAGATGGCAAGATCACCTGGAAGCCGGCACAGACACCACCAGCGGGGAATCGCAAAGATTTGATACGATCACCGAATGTAGGACCCCATTCAATGCTGTAAAAGTCAAAATCGCTCCAGTTGCTGAATAGCACATTGCTACCAGGCATATCGAGGAATGCCGTGCCAGCGATTCTATTCACGTCGTCCGCGCGCTCTACGTAGTGCGCCATTTCATCGTAGTATGTGCTTCCACACTTATTGACACCTTGACGTATCAAACATGCGACATCAGCTAGCGGAGTATCTCTGGAAATCAATTGAGAAATTGGTAGAATTGCAGTGGTAAATCCGATGATATTACCCAGTGTATGTGGATGGATGGGCACGTGAACGCGGCGTCGTGCGTCCAAGGCGACCATTCCTATCGAGAGCTTACTGGGATCGAGGGCTGAATGATCTGGATGTTCGGCGCTCTGGATGGATTTCCAGATCAGTGCAGATAGGACGTCATTGGTGGAGACGAATTTTGGTAGTTGTTCTTGTGGGATCTTTTCCTTAAGACTAGATGATATCTTTGCTGGTGAGCACTCTTCCTTGAGCGCTCGGATGGCTTCTGGTGTAAATCGATACACGTGAGCATGGCTTTCTCCTTTCGTTAGAGCCTCGGGGAGTCCAGGAGGAGTGAAAGGTAAATGAATGAATTCTGTGTGCTCCTCTGCAAAATTGGCGCACACGTTTTTTCCGGTGCTCTGCAAGATTTTGGCTCTGTCCGCAACTTGAATCTCAACTGGTTTCTCAATAGTCAACCCCTGTGCTCGGCGTAAATCTTCAGCAAAGAGCTCGGCTAATTTCCACATGGATAGCCCATCGGCATACGAATGGAAGCACAAGTGGTTGAGCAGTAATCCACCCTTGATCAAGTTGGCTTGCATCATTTGAGTTGCTAGGCGATCGACGCCAAATTGAGGCCATTCTCCAACTCGGCCACGCATGCACAATTTTTCATCGTCCATGGCTGCATTGGGAAATCCTTGATCCTTCAACTGACTAAATGAAGGTGCTGTGCTATCGTTACGGTGATCCTTGACTACGAAATCTTCAATCTCGCCATCGCGGTAAGGTTGTAGCTTTAGCTGCCCAGCGGGCTTTAGATCGGGGTCTGCAGGCACGGCCTCAACACCGACCATTGGTGTTCGCTCTTTGAAACTACTCCATGCTGTTCGCAGCATTGATGAGATATTCTCAGCATCGTAGTCTGCTGCCAACTCGAGGCACATCATATTTCGGATCCATCCCTTGGGTCCTATAAGCTCGGAGGCAAGAAGAGGCGGTGCTTTAGATGCTGCGTCCATGGCGAGTGATTATTGGTATGTAAGAGGTTCTTTTTTGCAGAAGATTTCTTAATAGAGACTTCGATAGACGATAGACGACGAAAAAGAGGAGGAACGTGCTGTTATTTACGAAAGTTCCAGTGACAGCACTCGATTGTTTCTCATTAGCCTCTTATCACGGTATCTCCGATAGTTCAGGTTGCAAAGTCTAGATTAGCAATGTCGTACTGCAGATCAATCGGGATGTCAAACAAACGCAGATTCCGCGCAACAGCCTGTATTGTACACAAATTTTTTGCTATCAAACCCCTTCAACTCACTGAAATAAGGGCACTTTAGTATACCCGTCGATCCACTTCCCGACTTCGAGACGGATATGAATGATGAAGTCTATCCACACCTAATTTCTCGATACCCTTCATTGGGATAGTACCGAGACGAACTATCGGCGCACTAAATTTCTTGATCATCCTAATTAGGATGCTAGCCGGCCCCCACAACTTGCTTAAGACATGGTAAATGTCATTGGTGATGGAATAGACTGTGGACAATACCAAACGGGAGCTATTGCCCGATTGATCATCTATGAGCCAGTGGCGGAATGAGAATGGGGTTTCCCGCCACGTTCCCTTTCTTGAACAGAAATTGGGGATATAGTAGAGATACTCACTCCATAATCGAATGTAGGTCAAGCAAGTAAAATTGGATAAGGTTTGATGTAGCAAGGATTGCCCAGGGGTACACCAGCACGGATCGACTTCCTACCTGTATTCTGACAGCTGATGCAGGATCTCGAGAGAATTCAAGAAATTGCTCCTTTGTAGGGGATAGTGGGAAACTTAAATCCATCTTTTTCAGCGGATAGTATCGCAATTGCTGGGATGGCTGATAGGATCGACCTGTATTTGTGTTGACAAATTCATATTTGGTGATTCTTACTTCTTGTGTGAACTTTGGAAAGTCTAAAAGGAGGAAGTGTGGAGCTCTGTTGGAGAAAAAGAAAACTCCGTGACTAGACTAGTTCCAATATGGGATAGTCTAACGGTCAACTCATAACATTGTCACTGCCCCGTAGTTTCACCGGCAGTCGCTTATGGTTATGTTGCATAATATTTTAAGGGTCAACACATAAGACCAACATAAATATCAATATGAAAATAATTGTCAAACATAAAACATATCCCGAGCATATCTTACCAAGAAACAAATCGACCTAGCTGCCCAAGATCACTGCAGGTATCATGGATTAATTGTGAAACTATCGTTGGCGGGTACGCATCGCACATTGCGGATTTTTCGCGCACCACCCTGGCTCGATTCAGTTAACTGGGGCAAAGCCAAGGGATGAGGCCATTCAGAAGAAGACGCTCACTGTCTTGTGGGCCCAATCCTTCTATTGATCTCTGATCAAGGGTGGGGTGGGAGATTGCATCAACAGATGGTAGAAGTTTGAGACGTTGTCAGCACAAGCAGAACTACCGATGGCAATCCTGTAAAAATCGCATCTTCTCAAAATACAAATCCCTACATACCTGGTATGCCCAGAGGTGAGAATTTTCACCACGAGTCTCCAGGAAATGATCAGCGGGACCTTCACCTGCATATAACCATCGCAGGAATTCCGGTCTAATGGGACCGTCAACTTTTATGTTAAAATCGCTTTATGGGGGAAAATTGACTTTTACATTAATTGTTGGTCAAATCAATTTATATTACTATGTCGGGAGTTGATCACTCCATCCAACTCGTTTTCGGGCCGCCTCCTGCTGGTGTTGATTTAAATGAAAGCATAACGGCGTCATATGACATCGTGTCTTGTGTGGTGCTCGGAATAGCAGCTGCAGCAGTATGCTTGCGTTTTTATGTCCGAACTATGCGTGGAGCGAACAGTTTGGCTATCGATGACTGGTTTGTTGTCTTAGGACTTGTAAGTCCAGCTCTTTCTCTAATCGCGATGACTTCCTTTTGCATCTTTCACGATAGCCGTTATACCCCGGACAAGAAAATGAATACACAGTTTCTAACGTAAGGCTTTGATAGATCTGTACCTGTGCTCTCGTGGCGACAACACTTATTGGTAGGTACTCCCGAACTTAGCAGCGACATTCTAGCTATACCTGAGAATTTAGACTGACGTTTTCTACTCGAAAAGCTGGAGCATATGGATCGGGTAAACATGTGTGGTCGACGACATTACCGCGGCTCATGGTGTTGCTGAAGGTATGTTTTAACGATGCGACACTTCGCATTGAGTCTTCATCATCAAGTGTTGTGCTCTTCTTTCTAACGCAGATGCATAGGTTGTATTTGCCGAGCCCTGGGTCTACGCTGCATCCGTAACATCAACTAAGATCAGTATCTTGCTCCTCTACCGGCGATTGTTCTACACAGGCGAAGGCAACATGCTAGTTATTAACCGCATCTTTACTATAATGTACTGGGTTGCCACAACCTTTACCTGCGCCTATCCCATTATTATGTGGATCGTAATGGCAGCCGCCTGTCGCCCATTGAATTTTTTCTGGATGCGATACGCCGGCGCGACAGAAGGAAAGTGCATTGATACTTTGATGTTTTTTCTGGTCTTTGGAATTGTTAACATGATCAATGATGTTATCATCTTGATCGTCCCAATTCCTCGTATTTTGAAACTCCACATGAACAAACGCAAGAAGGCTTCTGTCGCGGGTATAATGTTGCTTGGTAGCTTGTAAGTACTCTCCAGTATTTACCCGTCCGTGCTAACCCGTCTAGTGTCTGTGTTGCCAGTATAGTACGCATCTACTACCTCACGCTTCTGACCACCGCAGTCGACATAACATTCATCCTTGGGCCTGCTTTCGGATGGTCCAGCTTAGAGCCCTCGGTCGCAATTATCGGCGCTTGTCTACCAACATATGCGCCTCTCTTCCGCGGTATTCACAACAAGGGCTCCAATACCGGGACCAGTCAAAAGGGCTCCCACCATATAAATCTGAGCCAGACACCGAATTTTCTCAAGCAGCAGTCGCACTTTCGCATTGAGGAGTCAGATGAAGTCGAGCTGACGAACAAGAAAAGCTATTTCCAGAGCACGGGGGGAAGTCGTGATGGTGAGGGAAGTATAGAGAGTGAGGATGGGGCGAGGTCATCAAGTGATGCGAGGGGAATCACCGTCACTTCGCAAGTCCAGGTGGTGAGGGATGTGGCGAACGTAGTATGAATGTGTTAATAGGCCTGAGCTCCCTTAAAACTTTATAATATAATATGTCTTTTTTCTTCTCAGCAGTTGATGTGTATTGGTATGTAGCTTGGCATTTTCTCCAGTGATCGGGTTGCCAAAATGCTCAAGCTCTGGTCACGTGGGTACACCTAAGGGGCCCAAGCTCTTACTGTCGACCAAACACGATGCTTTCTGCAAAGATATTGAGATTCTGCTCTTAGAGATATTCAGGTTGGAACGATGAACAATGAACCGTTGATGTTGTAATCCAATATGAGTGATATATAAAGAATTAATACCCCAATTCGATTTGAGTACATTAGAAAAGAGGGCGCGACCGCACGCGGGCAATGCGCTCTAGAACAGGGTGGGGAAGCGAACTAACCTCGGTGCTTGAGCGACTGCGGAGAGTTCTAATCTGTTGCTATCTTATCGTCATTGTGAACCTCGCAGCTAGAATACCTCCAGTTCCTTCAATTTGCTTCATTCACTATCATCCAATTGCTACACGATGTCAACACCTTCATTCTCCGTGAGTCTGATTTTACTCTACACACGCAGGCCCTGGATCATTTTACAGTACTAACACCTTGCTCCAGCGACTTGTCCGCTTCTTAGCCAAAAACGGCCGCACATACTATGGAGACGCCATTCTACCCAAAGGAGTCTCAGACATCGCGAAAGCTACTCAGGCCAAAGTAATTACGGGTAAAATATTTGGGAAGCACGAGGTTACAGATCAAGTACAAGATATTCGGCTCTTACTGGCACCTTTAGCAAATGAGGATGTTAAGACTGTGAGGTGCTTGGGATTGAACTATGAGCAGCACGCTAAAGAGGTAGGTAGTCTTGGCTATGGATATTGAAGGGAATGATTGAGATAGGACTATGGTGCTAAATTGGATGATTGCAGTCAAATATGCCAATTCCGAAATTTCCGATTCTGTTTGTAGGTCCATTATTTTTATCACCCTTCACCTTAGATCTCGTTGGCGATTGACATTTATGAGTTCAAACCCATCACATCTCTTTCCGGTCCTACTGATCCCATTCCCATTCATCCAATGGCTCAAGAAGGCACAGGTCTTGACTACGAATGCGAACTTGTTGCTGTCATTGGGAAGTCCTGCTCCAATGTACCAGAATCCAAGGCTTTGGATTATGTTCTAGGTTATGCCGTAGGCGACGATGTATCGCATCGAGAATGGCAACTTCAACGCGGTGGTGGTCAATGGGCGCTCGGAAAAGGATTCGATGGATGGGCTCCTTACGGTCCGGGAATTGTCTCCAGTCAATTAATCAAAGATCCGCAAACCCTTACGATCTTTACAAAATTGAATGGGAAGACAGTACAAGAAAGTAGTACGAAGGATATGATTTTCAGTGTGGCCAAAACCATTGCCTTTTTGAGTCAGGGAACTACATTGCTACCCGGTGATCTGATTTTTACTGGAACGTGAGTTGTTTCTGCATTTTGCTTCATTCCTATGCTGTGATTTTAAGGAGAATACGATGCTGATAAATGTCTAGTCCACAAGGTGTAGGAATGGGAAGAAACCCACAGGTCTGGTTGAAGGATGGTGATGTCGTTGAGGTTGGTCTCGAAGGTGTAGGCAGTTGCATCAACAAGGTTGAGTTTATCCAGGCCAACGAGAAGGCGAAGTTATAGATTATTCAAACATAGAGTGCTGTAACGTAATGTGGTTGAATATCAACAAAATACCTGCATTTTAGGAGCCCTCATGATTTCCACCGCGCCACTTTACTGTCGCTTAAAATTCCTACCCTTTATGGACAATTATGGTTTATGTCGTTTGGACCTGATTGACTGAATGAAATGCACTCGATTTCATATCACCATCTAGTAGTAGCGAGGTGGTAACGAAAGCGGTAGGCTCCCATCCAGGGGCTCTTGCAACTTGGTGAATATATGTCTAGACCTCTGAATTTGTGCCAACTCTAGCAGTGAATTTGGAACATGTAGATCTTCGATTCTGGCAGCCTTGCTTCCAGGTTCTCTTGATAGTTGTGATGCTACTAAATTGCGCGTCAAACATATCGAATCTCAGCTGTCGTTGAAGTATCAGTAAGGAGATTGGAACATTTTCCATCTATGTACTCTTGCATACTATTATAATTCAGCGGAAGCCAAACACCCAACAATTGAGACTGATTTAATGATCAAATTGCATTCGATACTTCAAACCATCTGAACCTTAGAGTTAAATCTAGAAGTTGAGAGTCTCTGATTATCAGTTCTCTGCTGGAAGCTCCGCACTCATCTCATCTTCTCGAATAGCTTAACGTCCACACCCTCAGCAAAGAACCATGTCCCAAGTCTCGCAATTCATCTGCAACTCAAAATCTTTGAACAATTGCCCAACAGTGCTTCTAGGGCGACCTCGATCTCATAGTACTACTGGAAGTATCCCGAGAATAAGATAAAGGCTAGAAAAGCCATCAATTTCTCCTTTACAAAGTCTCCACTGGCTAGTCTATGGCGAATGAGTGACAAGTGTAACATATTATAACAATAGTTGGACCTCCAAACCTCCATTCTGTTTGTAGTGATGAACAATTTGCTTGTTGAAAGATACAACGCAGCCTCTACTCATGGAGCTTGAGGCATGTGATCTGATCCCACTAGGGATATTGTCTTCAAAGGTAGCGAATTCTGAAATGATGGGGAACGAAGCCTCTATGAATGCCAGCTACAGAAAAATCATGACAGAGCATCCAACGAGTCCAATGGGTACGAATCTTCACCCGTTATTCCTAGCACGTTCAGGTCAATTGCTTCAGAGAGACGCAATGCATCCCTTGCGCCCGAATGAATATATACGCCCCAATGTCAGAGAACAGGAAGGACAATACCCCACCCACAAATGCGGAATCCCTCCAACAACAACGGAGCATTATCATAAGTTGAAAGAATTCAATGTCCTGCATGTACAATGGCTAGCATTAGCAATCAAGAGAGACATAGGTATTTCTTGATCCCATAGTCTTGATACGATAGTGACTATAACGAAAGCCTCCGTACACGCATAATAACACAACAATCAGCACTTTCCTCTCGGCAACGAATGAAAGATTCATTAGCAAAGTCTCAACTTCGATCTACGACGTTGATAGATTCGCAATTCAACACATCGAAATCGTCTAGTTGAACAATGGCAACGAGAATTCCAAATACAGACATAGAATAGAACCTAGTATCACCAAAAAAACAATTCAAATCATTAACTCTTATGGTTAGTGTCAGAGTCACGACTCAATGTGCTGCCAGCACTTTGTCAATACACATTACATTCAACAACTAGCTCGGCTATTCCCACAGCCTACTCTTTGGCGAGAACCGCAGAGGTAATGAAAAGAACCAGAAGTGAAGAATCCTCTCAAAAAGGAGTATTAGGATATTCTCCCTACGATTTGAAACAGTGTTGGAGTGATTTAAGAATCAATGATGGCGTGTGTTCTACTGATTGCCTGTTTGGTGTAGATAGGTGCCTCACCATAAGCTCCATGACTCGCGAAAGTGTTATGTGGGAGATGATAATACTATAATGCAAACTTTGTCGAGATTTTTGAGTTCGGAACGGAAGTCTCATTGTTGCCTTAAAATTGAGATATTAATTGCCTGCCGTTCATGTGCAATGAATCGGTCTCTATTTTCACGGTTTCAATATATTTGAGTTCGATGGCCTTCAGTTACTTGTTAACTTGTAGGATGAGTCCTATCTCCAAACTCCAAGTTTTTAGTATAGTATGAAAATGTAAATGTACATCCGTTTTTGGATGGACGGAGTCTCTGACCAACATCATGTTTTCTGCTCCAGGGGCAACCCATACCATGATCATCATACTCACCCTTTTGAAAGTGAGCAGCATGACTTGGGAATTGATATTGGGTCTAGATACCTGTCCACTTTTTTCTCATGTGATAATGGAGATGTCTTCATCAACCAGTATGAATTCAGACATTGACTACCTATGAACACCTAAGAATACCTACTCTGATGCAAAGAGTTTTGCACCGAGTGGAAGATTTCCTGTTGCTTTCAGCACGCCTAAAATGCAAAAATTGTATATATGAACTGGAGCAACTAGCTCTAGTCAGGATACCTATCTTTGTTTCCGCCGAGCTTCATTGCACATACAGTCTAACCAATAAACTCCTCCTCTACTCGCTAGTACTTTCTGTCTCTACTGCATCCAGGCACACAGAGGGCGTAAACGTCACCACTAATTCCGCCAATTACGCAATAGTCACAAACCCATCATTCCAATAACCGAAACATAGAAAACTAACAACCAGGTGCTGAAATTACATAACACCAAAGCCCACTCCGCTCCCGCAAGCCTTTCACACGCATACAATCTACAAACCAATCGCAAAGAAACAACAAAGATCACACCGCCGGAAACATACATGCATCCTGCACATATGCATCCCATCTCATCACATCTCATCCAAACCAAGCATGTAATCGCAGAACAATCTTGCATCCATCCAAACATCTCCACAAGTTCAGCTGCGTTGTGATGCGGCTCGGAAATTTCAAGGAACCGTTCAGATCTGACAAGGGTTCATCTCGATCTCAAGCTTACCAAGACCCCCACCCCACCCCCCAGCCCTACCTAGTAAGCCCTAGACCCGAATACGAAAATATGCAAGATTCAAAAAAAGGTATTAATCGCGAATCGCGATTTGCGCCCGATGCTATGCTCAAAACCCAACAGAATGGATAATACATTACACAGCGTTGCAGATAAAAAAGCAAAAGTATTCTGCTCTCGGCCAATTATCCTTATCGTACATGGATCGCTCAACTTTCTCCTAAAATGACAGAAGATCGGAGAAATCAGCTTGCCTTTTCCAGATTGTAATATTGTATGTTTTCTTTTTGCAGATTTATATTCCCAAAAAGGAAAAGAAAAAGCAAAGGTACGTCAGACCGGCCCTGGTCTTGTAGATTAGATCGGTCTAAACGGCGCGGAGATATCTTGTATAGATCTTGCTTACTAGACACTGCATGCATGTCAGAATGCAGTTTCGCTTTTAGGTGAGATGTGATAGCGAGGTATGGGGCTGGCTGGACACGCCCAACCAATTCTCACAATTTGGTGATCAGGAGATAGACAGGTCATTGAATTCATGGAGTATGAATAGTTGAAACGAGAGTGACAATAAATTAGATGGGTTTGAATAGTTATGTTGAGAGTGAAGATAGTACATCCACACATGCGAGATACATGGAATAAAATGTTGAGAGATTCGTGGGGTTGAGTGGGATGGGACGAACAGAAAGTTATCATTAGGTCATGTGTAGGGCACTACCTTCTACTAGACCAAAGGAAACATATTATGTCCATCGATTTGTAAAGCGGACTGATACGGGTGAGCACTTGTTCTGAATAATGAATCTTCGCATTCAGGTAATGAAAATAAAACCATGCATTCAACTCCAATCCCAGTCGCTCGTATGCACATGTTTTTGAGGTCTTGTTGCCAAACTATAGTACACATTGATCTCCAAAGATCTAGAACACGCAACACATCATTCTCTTACAATTTGAATTTGTAGCGTGGTATCATGCAGTTATCCATGATTCGTAGAAGCCATTAGGCGATATCGTACATCATCATAGCTCCTCTCTACCCTCCGTTTCTGTGAAGTTGTAATGTGGTCTTCTCCAATCCAACGGATCTCCTCCTGGCAAACAAACTCCCAACCTCCAGAAGTAATCTCTATGTGCGAAGAACAGCTGCCAGAATTTGCATCTCGTTGGAATGGGAAGCTTGGGCCATCGCTTTTGAATTCTCTCCATTTCCCCATCTGCCCCGGCTTTGTCATCAGCCTCTCTCATATCCCATTTTACATTTCGTATTTCATCCAGAAAGTCCACAGGGATTATGGAGGATATATCTTCCCCTTGAAACCACAGGCCATCCCCATCACTCCCCGTAATACAGTTATTATCCTCGTCACCGTAACAAAGATGAATATCTTGAGCTTCAGGTTGCAAGTTCCCTTTTTCTATGTATATTTCGCCAGCGTGGCTTCTGTATCCCCATTCCTTCAAAGGGAGAAGGGGTACTGGATCTCCTACATGCGTCACTCTTCTATACCTCCTGTCCATACCGTTGCGAACTCCTTTATTCAGCCCGAATACCCTATCAATGAAGTCCATCAGTCCATGGTTTCCAACCATCGGCTCTCCAAAAGTCGTAATGATTGTTCTCCATCCATTTCCTTCGAGTTCCAGTGCAGCAAGAGCGGCAATTGCCCCACCAAGTGAATGCCCTACCAAATGCAGCTGGTATTCTGGATATTTCTGTCTCAGGACGTTGAGATGAGGTAGGATGAATTGCCGAGTATTGATCCACGAAGTATAGAAGCCTGTATGAACTGTGCAATTCGTACACATTCTAATTGTCCCTCCCAACTTCTGATTCGACGCCGTCGACTTCAATGTGTGCTTCCATCCGAAAGGCCAATATCGAGGAATGTGGTCGAGAAAACTTTGTACAGTATATTTTTCGGAAGTCTCAGTAGAGGTATCCTGAGTCTCAGGCTCATCGGGGTCCTCAGGATAAGGTATGTATTCTTGCGGCACCGTACTCAAATCTGCAATTGTATTCGCAATAGAATAAGTACCTCTAAAGGCCACGATTATCCTGCCCTTCCTCTCATCCCTCACGCCCTGCAATCCGTGATCTAATACAATATATCCAGAACTGTCGCTTTTCGCCACCCCAGTATTGAATGTATCAACCAGCTCGTACCCCGGGAATTCATCACAGCGACTGGCACAATTAAATGGCTTTGAAATACCGCTTGTGCCAACGCAGTAGGATATGTCGACTAGGCGGGCTAGTTCTTCTAGGGAGTGGAAGAGAGGCAGCGATATTATGGATTGGTCGTACGTCGAGGAGTATTGCGAAGGGCTGGACGCTGGATGTGCAAAGGCAGAGAAGGCTAACTGCCAGAGGGTGATGGTTATTATGGTATTGATGCTAAGAAAGCGCATCTTGTGTTGCGGTATATTACATGTTCGAATTCGATGAATTGATCGTAGGAAGGAGATACTAAATATTAGAATGAAAGGGAAAGGCGGTGTTGTTGAGAGTCTTTGAATGTCGCAGAGTTGGTCTCGTGGTGTTTGTTGATGATTGTAGCGCCATTATTCCAGGCTAGTGGAGTTCTACCGAATGTTGGATTACCCCAGATTTTCTTCAAAACAGTCAAGAGCTAGCATTAATACCCCTTACTTATTAATTCAATGGCTTCATTCTCATGCTATTATTGTTCATTATGTTCTCTTTTAGACTGCTTATTATTTTTATGAAATTATCCATGAATATATTTGTTTTCATTGACTAATTTAGACAGATAGACAGATAAATAGATAGATAATCATATATTCGATATATAACGAGCGAATACTCATCCAGGAGTAACAGTAGCTCTAATTCAATAAATCCTCTGTAATTAATAGCACTATTGTCATGGCCCTATTCTCCCAGATATTTTCCCATCCATTAATTCATACATAAGCCTTGCATGTACCTGTTCCCTATTCCTGTTAGAGATGTCCATATCTCATAGCCAGTCTGAACTCCTATCCTGATCATGATAATAAGCCCTTCGAGGTCCATTTAGACATCTGAAAACGCCGTGATGCCCCGATGAATGCTCCTAAGCCCAGCCAATTTTCGTCCCAAAGACCCCTAATATTTTGACATGTACTATACGCCATAAACCCATAGCCCGCCGAGTCGTCCGAATCCTAAACCCGCCATGCAAAATACATAAAGAGAAGAGAAAGAAAATAAACGCTCATGATTCTGAACAGCAGAACCCTTGTTGAAAATTGCCGATGATGAGTTTCTCCATATCAATAACTCTATACGGCTTTGCTAGGAAACTTTGCATGCCCGCTTCCTTCGCCCTCATTGAACAATCGTCTGTTATATCGGCGGTAACCGCGACGATAGTGGCAGTCTCTCCATGAGCTTCTGCCAATTTGGTTATTTCTTTTGTAGCTTCGTAGCCATCCATGTTCGGCATCCATATATCCATTAATATTATATCATATCGACCAGATGGCTTTGACAACGAGGCTTGGTAAGAACGAACGGCATCTGCTCCATCAAATGCAAGTGTAATGTTATCTTCAGAATAGCCGAGTCTGCTGAGAGCTGTAAAAGCGAATTTTCGATTAATTACGTTGTCTTCTGCAACGAGGAAGTTTAGAGGATAGTCTTTGGCAAGATTGGCGTTGGGAGTTGCTCGTCGGCGTGCAGTCTTCGCTGAGGCTGTTGCATAAGGCGATATAACAGCATCCCGAGTAATTCGAGGATGACTAGGTGATGAGCCCACAAGTGGAGTTACAGCCCTTTTCATATCCAGTACCGAGATTGGAAGACGTATCAGGAATTCCGATCCTTTTAATGGACCTTCTGTTGCAGATCTTTCCAGTGTGACATCACCACCAAGGTTCTTCCTCACATGAGCTTTCGCGTTGAACAGGCTAAGTCCTAGACCATCTTTCGCACGACTGATTGATGCATTTTGTTGGAAATGAGGTTGAAATAAACGACATCTTGATTCCTCGGTGATACCGCATCCTGTATCAACCACCCATATCTCAATCATGTGCCCCGTGTTGTTGAGTTTGACCGTTATTGTAATGCTACCCCCATCAGTAAATTTGATTGCATTGTCGATGATTTTTGAGATTGAGAATTGCAAATGCTGCTCTTCAGTAAGGATAGCTTCGGGAACATCGGGCTGGATCACTAGTTCGATCGAGCATTCTTGGATTTCGCCTCTTGATCCTTGTGTTTTTAGTTCAATTATCTCGCCAAATTCCGTTGCGGTATGGTGCTCGCTAGTTGGATAATCGGTCTTGAGGGAATCACTAATAAGGTTTCGCATGAACTCGCGGGTAACAACTCGTTGATGACCAGGATTCACGGAAGCTGGAGATGTAAGTGGGCTAGGGTTTGAATCGAAAGGAAACTCGTTCGACTTCATCTCTATCTCTGAAGTCGTGGTGGTGGTGGATCGAATGGGCATCTCGGGGCTAGAGCATGCCGTGGAAACTATGGCGGAATCGACATCGAGTAAATGCTGTGATATTTCTTCCTCTGGCAAAGTGAACATACGCTTCGGAGGAGATCCTAAATTGAGCTCGAGGTCTTCGGAACGATTTCTCTTCTTTAGATTTGGAGATGAAAATGCCTCTCGTAATTGTCCATCGGTTGGTGGAGAATAATTTTGCATTGGTGCAAAAGATTTTGTTCCGTCGTCTTCAGGCGTTAGGGGAACATCAGGCATCTGCATATTGAGATCGTATGCGTGGACAACATTATCGGCTGCTTCTATCGCCCTTCTAGAGCTTTCTGTGTAAGATGAGTATCAGATAAAGTAACCTTAAGGATGGGGTTTATTTACCTTGCACGATCTCAATATTGGCCTTGAGATCGGCAAAAACAGCTCGAGCCCGCTCATTCTGTTGATTCGCGATAGCATCAAGTACTGTTGAGTACATGATATCAAGCATTCCAACAACTCCTTGCATTGGCGTCCTTAACTCGTGCGACAGACTGCGAGCATACGGTTTTAGTGACTGCGAAGCGGTGATAGCAGAAAGAGGTATGATCTGTTCTGCAGCGCATTCCGGAAGGTTGCCATCTTTAGCAAAGCCGCGGCCCTCTACTATACGTTGGAGAATCAAGTCTTCAAGAGAATGCATGAACATTTCTATGAAGCTCCAACTGAGCTTCCTTCTTTTTGCACCGTCCTCAGACCATATCAATGCAAAGTGTGCAAAAGATTTGTCTTCCATAGTTAATGGCACACCAATGAAGGCCTCCGATTGGCCCCATGGCATGATGTTTGGGTTGTTAGGTGTTACCTCCTTCATTCTCTCGGGTACAATGACCACCTTATCGTACTTCATATAAGCGCAAGGTGTACCAAAGGCTGTATACTTATAATCTCTTTCAAGGTTAGGTTCCTCATCCCCGTTTTTTGTGTAGAAAGCAACACCCATTAAACACGAGCCTTCTTCCCCAAGTTCCGGGAGTTCGACAGCGGTATCCTGATCATCCACCAACATTCGTTTAGCAACCAATCCGCATTGAGCTCCTGTTATATCGCACATTTCCTGCATCAGCACTTTCCAGAAGTCATAGGTGTCAGCCTTACGAAGCTGAGACTTCAATTTCACCAGGCGTTCCGAAGCGTTACTCTCCGCCGCAGGGAAGTATCGACTCAAGATCTCTGTAAAGCCTTCATCTCCACTATGCAGTATAGAATCCTCGGAGAAATTCGGCAAGCACAGTGTTTGTCTGTCAATAAGATTGTGTGGTGCTTGTGTCCTCGATTCCATTACACTCGTCATTTCCTCCCCCGTCCTCTTGAGGAACCGATCTTTTACCGGGGGCCTGGTAGGAAACCGTCTCGCCCTTTGACGTTGGGGTCTGTATATTCTCGAAGCGAATGACTTTCCCTCAGAACGCTCACTATGAAAACGCGGTTCTGGCATTCCACTATGTTGTTCAGGTGTGGGTATGAGTGCATCAAGCATTTAGTCAGGACACTCGCGAGTTGCCTGCCTTAGCCAGATGATCGAACCGAAAGGTCGTTGTCGACAATACACAATGGGCTTGGTAAGAGGTGTGTTTTCGAAAGAGCACAAAGTTGCCAAAGTACTCGTATGAGATTGGCACCTCATCCAACAGTGGGGCTTTCTCTATTGATCGACGAGAAAATAATGGATGAGCAAGTGACAAGTTAATTGACGGTATGGAAACCCCGGTAAATAGAAGTATGAAATTATGCGCGAACTGATTCTAGACTTCTGCTCGATGACAGAAGGTTAGAAATATTCTAACTGAAATTCTGATGATGGTTGAGGGGGGAGAGCTTGTAATTGGGACGAGCGAACGAATAGAGGGTCTAGAGGGCTGGAGAGTCTGGATGCAAAAAGTTTAAACAAACATTGAAACTTGTAAATGGACTGGATGAGTCTAGGTCGGGTTACTGGCAGTTACCGCACTGGGGCCTGTCGTAGTGGACACTGTTAATCAAAGAGCATCGAATTGATTTCCGGAGCATATAACTTCGACATCAAAATAACCTTTGGCGGGGAGGTTGAGTTAGGTTGAGAGCAGACATACGATAGATACTCTTGCCGTGATATGACAGGTAAACACCGTATAATAAATCTAAATGATATACTCTGGAAATCAACAATAATTAGAATTGAAAAGAAAATAGGAATAAATTTACAAGGCTCAGACTTCAGAGAAGTGAAATCTAGAGTGAAAGTAGTAAGAGTAGTGAGTGAGCCGAGAAACAGTATGAATAGTGGAAATAGTAAGTAATAGGTCGTGAGGATAGTGAAAACTCAGGGTAGTGTGGGTAGCAAAGTGATTAAGATGAAGATGAAGTTCTGGGAGCTATGCGTGGAGAATCGAGATACGCTTCTTGGTCTAGAGATTCTTTGGGAAAGATCTAGCCAGGTCTAATTCGAAATTTTGTGGAGCGGCGTGGAGCGGGTAGTCACTGGATAAGCAAGCCTGGTGAAGATCTCTCTACTCCTTGCGTAAGGACTATGATGACTAATTAATGTTCATAATCGAAATGTTCTCCATAGTAGCTTGATTCTTGAGTGTTTGATATTCCCAAAATACTAATCCGGTGCCGATATCCGTACATTCCGTATGCTGTAGAGAAAGTAGTAAGTATCAAGTAAGTATTAGTGTGAGAATCCATATCGAGAGCAGTAGCTCCGATGTCAACGGTCGTAGCTCAGGTACATTGAACAGTATCTAGATTATCGGGATCGGTAGTATGAGATCAACTTTTGCTCTCCGCGATTAGCTTTAAGATAAAAATATAAAGCTTCCTTTTTTCCCCAATAGGCTACTCTGTACGACAAATGCGGAGTATGAATATCCGATATCCGACCCTTCTCCGTTTGATCAACTCGCTGCGTCTCACTCTTGAGTTTTGTCAAGAAGTGTCATCATTCCCTACTCGTGCATGAATGTCTATGTACTGGTTCATCGTCTTACCCCCATTGTTCAATGCCTATTCACGTATTCCCCTCTTCAGTACGAAGTACACGATGTCGAATTCAGTGTGGAACGAAAGACTTTACAATTTTTAACCGCGGATTTTAATAAGATCAACAATGGTCCATCCTAACTACTGATTTTCAGCTCCAAATATGAAGTTGGAGAATTGAAAATCCTTCTTTGATTGGCCAATTATTCTATCAAAGTGCCGCGAGTAGTCTGTTTGCATCATGTTAATCCATTACCCAGTACATCATGGTAAGACATCTAGAACGATCTTTTTTGGAATTAGCCCTTAACTCAAAGAGTTATGATTTGCTAAGTTACACCATCATCGGTACACCCAGCAAATAAATTCTCCACCATATTTTGATACTTTCTCCTGTTCTAGATTTAAAGCTTCACGTACTGAATTCTCCGAAGCAAGAATATACTGATTGTTCAAAGAAATCAAATGGATTGACTATTAGTACACTAATATGTATGAGCTCATATCTGGGAATGAAGAAAAAAAAACTAATCGTTACTCGAGGAACAAAAGGATTCTGGTTTTATAACGAAAGATTTTCGAGAATACGAGAGCATCACAAAATGAAGGGGTACAGGCGAACGGATTAAGCTCCTAAAGAAACTCACAATCTCCTTGCCACTTTTACGAACCTTCAAGACGTTATCATTCTGTCAACCACTACATGAGCTCCGCTATATTCTTCAATCTATCTAAGTAGATGTTATTCACGATGTATTACGTCAATGAGAGAGTATCGCTCATACATTTTCATAACTTTCTTCAGTGTCTTGGCATAGTCATAGAGTTCTTCGGTTTCTATATTAGACATTTTTCATTCATCCCCATTAAAGAGACGCGCAGAAAATGCCTAGTATCATCAAAGACAATATTGCATCAATCTTCAGACAACATTCCTACGTCGTCAGCAAGTGTCAGTACTGTAGCGGTAACACTAGGCGCCAAAACGCCTCTTCCATTGTGTATATTTCTTACAATCAAAGATCAAGAATTCGATTGTTATACCGGTAGTAATGTATGTACACATCTCAGAAATCAGACCTCTTCTAGCACAATGGTATGAAATATTGGGTTGTTAATTCAGCACTGTTTGAATGCCTAATGAAAAGCTCGGCATGAGAGATTCCGAGGAAGTCGTGGCTGGGAATTGTCAGTAGCTTACGGATATCAAGTTCAAATCAAATCTCTGACTGACGACGAGGATACCAACAATGTTGTACTATATGTTACAATACGTGAAGTTTCTCTCTTTCCGTCTCAACATACTCGTGTTGTGGAATCAATGTTGCTTTCTTTCCGAGCCTCGATACCACTGACATGGAGTGTTGAATCCTTGCTCGTACATATACAACTTCAGCCACCGTCTGGATTGGGCAAGCAGGGACGTTTATTTCATTTTCCCCAATATGCACCCCCCACGAATTGTTTCAAAGCACAAGCCCACATCCATCTCCGAAGGAAATTGACGATCTTGCAGCTCCGTTTAAAAGAGTGGGCGACGGCAGTACAGCAGGGCTAATTTATCTGCCTTAGGAACACTTTGCTTTATTTGGTATTGATGGCGAAAGAGTGAGGAGTTGAACATAGAGGGCGCGGTACAGAAAAGGTAGCATAGCTATTGGCAAAACAAAAAGTTTAACTTGCTTGGCTCATCAGGTGGCTTGAAGAGCTTATTGTCAATGGATCGGTATTAACCTCAGCCCGACCACAAGACTCGGTGAATTCCAAACTTTCGGGCATCACAGCTCGTACAAATTGCAAACAACCCAGCTTTGAGTACTACACTCATGCACGTGGATACAAATTCTACAACATGTCCGTGAGCCATGTAACTCAACTTTCCAATCTTTCAGGTAGTGTAGGTAAGTTGTAGCGAAGGCGAGTTTTAAGTTTTATAAGATATAGCACTGCTAGTACCACCGTCTCAAGCCTGAATTGATTTCTAAGAGAAACCAGTCCGATCCTCTTATAAGTTACCATTCCTCAATCCATTCTTGAAAGGGTGTTGGACAAACAGCTCTGGCACGGAGGACTTTTGAAAGTGTTGAAGAAACAATGAAACGGTCAAGTGAAATTTCCAACATTGACTCACGTGATCATATCGTAGAAACGATTACATAATCACGCGATCTCTTGGATGTGAATGAAGCAACCCTGGAAATTTTAATTAATAGGCAGTTGCTGCTGAGCACAAGCCAAAGCTTCATTAAGATCTCCGAGAGAGTCGGTCTTGATGTCTCTTACATCCAAACAGCAATGATTTCATGATATCGCCAGATATCAAAATGCTACTCAGTATTAGTACTTGAAACAATTTCATTCATCAGTTTTCAATTATGTCTATTCGCGTTCTTCTTCGCGAACATCCCTATCGCTCAATTGCTCTTGTGACGCCTACACACACTCTTATCTTCCGCCATAGTCCTTCTACGAATGAATCTTTAAGCAATGGACTGCTCAATCCCCTTTATCCAGTACATCCGCGTGCATCTGCCGACGGAGTTACAGCTCCCAAGTGTATGGTAGAGTTCGCAGACGTCTCTTCGGTTGACCTCAGCGATTACCGGACGTTAAGTCTTATGCCAGTCCATGGTACCCTTGGGTTGATCACCGTCAGCAATGATATATTCCTTTGCGTAATAACAGCCAGAACTGTAGTGGCACAGGTGAGGCCTAGAGAAACCGTTGATAAGATAATAGGGGTAGAATTCCATTGCTTGAACAATGCGGAGTACGACAACACTTTTATGGACGATCTGGATCCCTATAGCTACAACGCTGAAAACACGTATGGCCAGAATTTGAGTCGACGGGATCCGATCGTGGAACACCCTTGTGCTGAGCTGCAGAGGCTATTGGCAGACGGAACCTTCTACTATAGCACAAATTTTGACCTTACAAATCGATTGCAAGACCGGTAAGCAAAGTTGATATGCCCACGATGCCAAACTCTTATACATTGCAGATCTACAGATGCAACGGCGAACGATGTTGAGAGCTTCGACGATTCTTTCCTATGGAATTCATACATGATTGGTTCCTTGGGAAAATTCCGATCCCGCCTTGTGGTACATGAAAGAGACGCCTTGGACAAGTCTGGTATTCTTATATCTGCGATTCGTGGTCATGTTCAAACAAATACTATACCTCCCGCTTCCGATCCTTTACGAACTTCGAGATCAGGCCTCCCATCTTCTCTGACATTAATATCCCGATTGTCTTGTAAACGAGCTGGCACAAGATTTAATGCTCGAGGAATTGATGATGATGGAAATGTCGCAAACTTCGTCGAATCAGAAACAGTTTACTGGAGCCCCTCTGCCAATGTACAATATTCTTCAGAGCAAGCAGACGAGAAACCAGCTGGCATCTGCTTCTCATATGCTCAAATAAGAGGAAGTGCCCCGATATTTTTCGAGCAGGCACCTGGTTTACTTCCAGGCCAACAAAAGGTTACTGTAACCAGATCTCCTCAGGGTACTCAGCCAGCTTTTGACAAACACTTTGAGGAATTGGAGCGTAACTACGGCGCAGTTCATGTGGTCAATCTGCTCAGTGAAACCAAACCAGCTGAAGCCGAAATTACTGCTTGTTATCAATATGGAATTAATCATTCGTCATTGAATAAAACGGAAGAGAAGAATGCCAAAGATCATCAATTGCTGAGGGTCACAGAATATGATTTTCATGCCGAGACGAAGGGACCTCAAGGTTACCAGGCAGCTAGCATGATTCGAAGTATAATTGAAAATTCAGCAGATGGCTTTGCATATTATCTGTCTGAAGAAATTGATGACACAGAAGATGTTCCTGAGAACCAAATCCGAAGAACAGTGGTCGTATTACAACAAGAAGGTGTATTCAGGACCAATTGCCTCGATTGCTTGGATAGGACAAATCTTATTCAAACTATCATATCTCAAATGGCAGTAGAGTCGTTTCTCCTGCATAGGGGGGCTAGAGGCACTTCCGAGTTTTGGATGCGTCACTCAACAATGTGGGCTGACAATGGCGATGCTCTTTCACGAATATATGCAGGTACAGGAGCTCTTAAATCATCGTACACGAGATTTAATAAGCAGACTCTCTCTGGTGTATTTGCCGATGCACGAAAGAGTGCTACCCGATTATATATGAACAATTTTGTGGACAAGGGACGACAAAACACTATTGATGTGCTCTTGGGCAGACTTATGGGGCAAGTGCCTGTGCACTTGTTCGATCCTATTAATGACTACGTGACGGCTGAGCTAAACAAACGTAGCTCGGAGTTTCAGTCTTCTGAGGTGATAAATATGTGAGTCTACTATTCTTTTAGTCGTCGCACAATGTGCTAACTTGACGGTTTAGATGGGCTGGAAGTTTCAATCTCAATGGGCGCACATCTGGTATAGAAGAAGATTTGGCTTTATGGTTATGTCCTGAACTTGAAAAATCACAGCAACATCCTGAAATCGTAGTGGTCGGCTTCCAAGAAATAGTGGAACTGAGCCCTCAGCAAATTATGAACAGTGATCCAACAATAAAACAAGCATGGGAAAAGGCCGTGCGAAAGACTCTAAACAGACATGCTCGTGCAGCTGGTCAGGATCACTACGTGCTGCTACGAAGTGGTCAGCTTGTGGGGGCTGCCCTATGTGTATTCGTTAAAGCTTCAGTTTTACCAAAGATCAAGAACGTTGAAGGCAGCGTCAAAAAGACTGGGATGTCTGGGATGGCTGGCAACAAAGGTGCTGTATCAATCCGCATGGATTATGCGAATACTCAGATTTGCTTTGTGACTGCACATCTAGCTGCTGGGTTCAGTAATTATGCAGACCGTAATAAGGATTATCACACCATCCACAAAGGATTGAGGTTTCAGAGAAACCGTGGCATAGATGATCATGGAAAGTTGATCTAGATGATTGGAAGAATTGTCCACTAACGCTATTACAGATACGGTTATTTGGATGGGTGACTTCAATTATCGGATAGGACTTGGACCTGAGCGGGTAAGTAAACTTCTTTGCAAGCTCGACATTGATTTTGACATGCTTTCAGGTCAAGCAACTGATAAAAATGGGCGACTTGGAGACTTTATACGAGAATGATCAGGTGAGTTCCGTAGCTCAGAAAAAAGTGAAAGCTCGTTAATAGCAGCATAGTTAAACCTGCAAATGGTAGCTGGTCTAACATTTCAATACTACTCCGAGTCCAGGATCACTTTTATGCCAACGTATAAATTTGACATCGGTACCGATACATACGATACTAGTGAAAAGGCCAGAATTCCAGCATGGACTGATCGAATCCTGCGGAAAGGTAACAATTTACGTCAAATCAATTACAACACTGCGCCCCTACGTTTTTCCGACCACAGACCTGTATATGCAAACTTTCAGTGCACTGTTAGTGTCATCGACGATGATATCCGTGATTCTCTTAGTAGAAGCATTTACGATAGGAGGAGAGAGGAGATTGGCGGCGCAACAGCTAGTTCAAAATTGGATGGAACTGACGATGAGGACTTGATTGGATTTGAGAGCCTAGAGCCTGGTTTACCACCTGCAAGCTCCAGTGAGAGGAAATGGTGGCTTGACGGGGGCAAGCTTGCGAAGAGTCAAGTTCAACCGCCCAGCAATTCAAAGGACGTGATACCAAACCCAAGAAGACCGAGCAACCCGTGGAGTGTGAGCGATGAACCTGACTGGGTCAAAGTTTCAAGACCTGGCATGTCTTCACGGAATAGTTCACAGAGAATGTCTCTTCCACCGGCACCTGTTGGAAGGAATGGCATTGTACCACGAAAGCTTCCACCCCCTTTCGACTCTTCTTCTCTTCCTGGTTCTCAGAACAGACTTGGAAATCCAATAAAGGGTAATTCCTCAACTCCAGCTCTGTCTGCAAAGACAGTACTTCCTCCACCACAGCTAGTAGCGAGCAACTTCTCGACCCCGACCCCGACCACAACAACAACAAAACCAGTCCTTCCCCCACCCCAACTTACACGCCGCGCATCGACCGAAACAACACGCTCCTCTTATAAAAAAGCACCACCTCCACCAAGGAAACCTGTACATTTGGCATCTACTTCCGTTTCACCTACCCTCTCAACTTCTTCGTTGGCTTCAAGATCAAAAGATCCGCCACCTATACCTGGTGCATATAGAGATTTCTCGCCGCCTACTCGGAGAGCTACTTCTGGTATAGATAGAAGCAATTTGGAACCACCTCCACCACCACAACCTCGAAGACCTGGACGAAAGTTAGACGATGAAGGGGCAAAGCCAGAGTTGCCGAAAAGACCGCTTGACTTGTTGGGCGATAACGATGATATTGGGGGTTGGCAGGCTTTGGAGCCTACTAAATGATTAGGGCGTACTGCAGTTGGAATTTGGCGTTGATAGAAAATTAATGGACAGCATGGTAGATTAAAATGGGCTATACGTAATGCATTTGATGGAATTAGAGCCATCAGCGGTGTACTTGTTAAACTTAGCGAAAATACATTACTTTTCAGCGTGATTGGCGGGAAACTCATGTCTCCCCCCCCCCTCATTCTGAATCCACTTCTGACTGATTTCGCCGAAATCTTTATCTTCTCCCAAAGTTGGGACTTTGTTAAATCACATTCGTGGTCTTCACTATTCAGATAACACACATGCCAGTCAGTTCCCGTGTTTTATGTATTTTTAGTAGCGGCAATGAATAGGCGGGAAACATCCCACTCCCCCTTTCTAATAAAATCTCACTGTATAAACAATGAAGAAGTATGATTATATCGTTGCCATACTAAAATTTTAAATCCTATCTTAGATCCTTCGGGGGTAGCCGTGTTATGAGGATCGTGTGTGGGGCAATGATTGAGATAGGTCTTGCTCAGCCTTATTATAATGGTGCCTATGTTAGTGCCCAGGTGGGTCTTTCATTCTTCTTAGTTGTAGAGATAATCTGCCGAGGCTCTCTGTTAGGTGCATTCACTGTTTGTTTGTTGCATGATTTTCGAGTACCGACTTTTTTGATGGCATGGTTCTTTAGCGTGTTTTCTTGGCTAGTGTGTGTGGAAGAAAGGTTAAGAGGGCCTGGAATTCTGGGTTTCTGGGGCCCGTTTTGTTCTTTGACGACGGGATATTAGGAAACAACGATATAGCGATACTGGACTCGATAGTTGAAGCCAAAATATCTGGAATCAATAGCTCGTAAATATGGCTTCCTCTTCTGATGAGAAGTTTATGTCAGATTTTGGTCATTTGCCTCTCTCTGTAGCAATGGTGGATAATGGTGATTTATCTCTTTCTCCGACAAACCCTTTGCAAACCTCTTATTCCACCACTCCTGTATCTGCATCTCTTCACGAGCTGGTAAAAGATATCAGCACTTTGGCGGCGAGGCTTTGCTGGGTTAAATGGTCCGACCATGAGCAAAACCCAATCGATGATTTGGTTGATCCATTGGGTTATGTGACTATAGCCATAACCCTTTTCGAATCAGAAGAAATGACAATCAACAAGGATTTCCGGGAGCCATTATTTGGAGAATTCAAGGCTTTGCTAAGCTGCAGCAAGAATGTGATAGCACTGGTGGAAAGTATTGAAGAAGGACAGACTCCCAACGTGCGAAAGAATGATGAGATAAAACAATTTTGGGAGAAACTGGAAGTCGTGTGTGCGTCATACATGGCGCTCGGTTTGGGGGCACAATGGTTGAAAGCTTTTGGGTATGCTCATTTTCCCTTTTATACTTGTATTATCTGGAACTGACCTCTTGTAGACCTGGGAATAAGACTAGTAGAGAAGCTTATCTATTGCACTCAAAAATGTGTGATTTGAGTTGTTTACCAGACTTAGTCGGTGAGTTGGAAGAGACATACGAACGTCTTGATCCGATTGGTTATCAACGATATCTTGCTTTGATTGATGTCCCAGGAAAGGAGCATGAAACACCAGCGAAAGAATGCGATGAGAAATTCGTCGGCAGGACAGGAGTGACTAAAAATAGACCTATCGCTCTTCATCTTCATTCCAAAGTACCACCTCGATATACACCTCCCCTTGCCTCCGCAAAAACTGCAGTAAATGATACAACTTCAACCAACCCGGAAAAGAATACGGGAAACAAAATCCATTACGAGACAATGACTCTCTATCATGTACCTGCCCATATAAAGCAAGATTGGTGGATGTTGCCTGGGTGCGACCTTAAGGTATGGCCAGCCGGACGAAAATACATTATGGAGGAATGGTCATTGTCGGCTGGTACATTACATAATGCCGAGATTCCGAGAATCAGACAGAGATTTCAAGATGCAGCAAGGAGAAAGATGTATGGATGTGGCATGAGAATGGAAATCAAAGCCGGTGGAGATGTGGAGAAACAAATGCGAGAGGATTACTTGAGGGATATTGTCGATAGGCTAGGAGAGAAAGCAGACAAAACACTTTTGCATCTTTGTGGAGGGGGTCATGATGTTTTCTACAGTGATGATATCGTACGAAGATATACAGTCGAAGCGATTGAGACGAGAGAGCTAAGCGGGATTTTCGGTGGACCGAGAATTATGGGTTTAGAGGAGAGTTTGAAGATGAAGAAGGACATAGAATTTGGTAGGAGGAAGTGGTGGAAAAAGGTGAGAGATTTCAAAGGGAAGGAATGGTGGAGAGAGGGAAAGAAGGCTGAGTGGTGGTTGGAGGCTGAGAAGGTTGAATGGATTGTTGTGCTTAAGGTTGAGGACATTGATAGTTCGAAGAGGTTCATGCCAAGGGGGCAGAATGACTTCAAAGAGGGGACAACGAGTATTAGCCAGGAGGTACGAAGCAGCCTGGGACAAGGAGAGGAGAACAGCAGTCAAGAGAACAAAGTTGCGATTGTGGGAAGCGTGAATGAAAAGAAAGATATGAAGAAAGAAGAGACAATGGGAATCGAGGAAGCAGAAAGGAGAATGAGAATTTTGGTGAGAAGGTTGTATGTTGAGGGAAATGGTGATGAGAGGATAGAGGGTTAGATAAGAATTCTGGGGAGTATTCAGACTGCTCTATTTGTTTCATAATAGATGCTGATGCGATTACAAGGCTGGCCTTGGGGAATAGTTACATTGGGTTTAGGAAGGTGTTGAGGATGAAGTGGATCAATATCCTTTTTTATCTTAGGGAAATAATGATAAACGATGATTTTTTAAAAAAATTCTTCCATTGTGAGATTTCTGGATTAACTGTGCTGGGTTGTTCATACTGGGGTCGGATAGAGAGAAATTTATGGATGTAGAAGTTGTTATAGAAATCAACAATGATATCGTTCTGGATACTGAACCTGCCAAGTGGCCTAGATACCTTTTAAGATTGATAAAGTATCTTCGGGGACTCGAAGCCTAATGGCCCACAGGCTGATGATAGTTTATGGATTATCAGATAGTTTTCACGAGTAATGAATGTGTTAATTCAAAACTGGGATGCACAGGAATGAAACATCAATGGTCTATTCGAAAAGCAACTATACAGTACAATCTCGCATCAAAATAATAATAATTTTGTCCTCCTCTTAGTCGTAACATGGATATCCAAGAGTAAAAGTCACACATCCGACATAACTCAAGCCACCCAAATTGCATCTCTTCAACAATCAACCTCTACTCTCCAATCTAAACTAAACTCTCCATACCAAAATCTCCACCCAACCCAACCCAACCCTACGCCAACCCCTCCCTACTCTCAAAACTATTCGTCACCACAATCCCCATCTTCCCCTTCAACCCCCCCTCCTCCACCCCACCCTCCCGCTCATACCTAGCCGGCCCTTCCGCATGCGCAATAATATTCTGCGTCTCGCTTCCATGGGCCGTGGTCCACGGTTCCATCTTCGTGTCCATATTACCGTACAGATTCCGCTGCGAATCATGCGCGTCGCACTGGCTGGGATTTTGCGAGCTGGAGCGCATGGAGCGGAGTGAGATGGCGGATTGCACCGACGCGACTAGGGATTGCACGCCTGGCGTGTTGAGGAGTCCGTATTGTGCTGGGAGACAGGCGGCGATGACGCCGAGGCTGGATTCAATTAGGGACCAGTAGAGGCCTGAGGTGCAGATGACTAAGTTGAGGGGGTTAGTTTGGGTGTGGGGAGGAAAGAGGGAGAAGGGGGGGGGTGTACATTCGAAATCAGCGTGAGGGTCGTAGTTCACGGCGGTGGCTTGGATGAATACGATCATTCGAACGATAGATGCTGCGATTGTGCTTTGGGGTTTTGATGTCAGTTTGATTTGTTTGAATAGGAATAGGCAGTTGGGTAAAAGTTCAACTTACAGCGCTCCTAGGGAGAAAATAGCTAGTATACCTATTTTTCGAGCAACAGTAAGATGTAATCCGAAGATCTATATAGATAGTTAGTAGATTGAGATGAGACTAGCATAGCATAGCATTGAGGAGAAACGAAATGAAAGTCAAGCAAATTCGTTGGATGGGATGAGAATGCGCCGAACACCTAGGTATGTTTGTTGCATTTGATTGTAAGATTCAATTGAACAAATTCACGATAATTAATTATTCAGATGTGCAACAAAACTTTTGTTTGTCCGGAGGAATCGGCCGCTTTGAGAGAGGTCTAGAAAATGGAATGTGCGTGAGGAAGTTTCTAGTGAAGAGTGAAAATATATCCACGCCTCACTGTATCCATGCATCGCTTCTCATTCAGGACTCCTTCCCCCCTTCACAAAAACGACCTCCTTGAGTATAAAAAAGGACACATACCATCGGAACCGGCAAACTAATAATGACGAAATCAGTCACCACATCACTAATCGCAAACGCATTATGCAACATATCCGTATCGACACAATGGGCTTTCTCCACAATAGTACTTGTCCAGTAAGCAGAGAAATCGGTACCGCAAATAAAGAGGATGGAGAAGAAGAAGGAAAGCGTCCAGATGATGATGATCAGGATCATAAACCAAGTGACGATGTTGAAACGGGGAGCGGCGTTGCGGGTAAAGACGCGGCGGTAGAAGAGGATGAGGGAGAGTTTGACGAAGCCAAGAGCGGGGATTTGGAGGAGCTCGCCGGGCCAGAAGGCCTAGGGGTGGAGAGGGTGAGAATGGGAATTTGGATGAAAGAATTAATGGGGTGGGGAAGACTGGAGCGAGTGAACGTACGATATTTGAGTCTGGTTTCCCAATTTGAGTTGATGGCGCCGGTGCTGGATATCCAAGTTGCTTGAGCCCGACCTCTTTTCAACATGAACATAAATTAGTGACTCTATCCAAATTTCTCGATTCTCAATTCCCAAATCCTCTCCCCCCAAAGAATATAAAAAATCGACTTCTCACCAGCCATAATAGCCACGCCCATCCCAACCACAAAAACCTACACGTACCACAGCATCAGTCCCTTCTCTTCCCATCACATCGCATTCAAAGATCTACATACCAACGCCGCCATAATCAAATAATCATCCGCGCCCAACCCGACTTTCTTTAGATGGCGAGCGTAGACTCGTAATGCGACGGTGGCGGTACAGATGGGGATGAGGATGGCGGGTGCGGCGATGGCGAGGTTGGCGTGGATTTGGAGGTCTGCCATTTTTGGGGATTTGGGGGGTGGAGAGAGGATATGGGGATATGGGGATATGGAATGGGAAAGGAGAGAGAGGGAGAAGGGTTGATATTGTAATAACACAATATAACACGATACAGCACGATATAAGTATAAGTATAAAAATAAAAATAAATCCAAATATCACAAGTACCAAGAATCAAATACCAAGAAAACAGGACACCATCCCTCCCTCATATAAGCTCTCCAGAATCGAATCCAGTGACCTTGCTTTCCCGTGGGGAGATAAAATAAAATAGAAATAATAAGTGAGTTTTCCAGGAGTATATTACACAGGCACACGCACACCACGCTTGTACCATGTACCATATCTAGCATGGTGTATTAATCTTTGAACTTTGGATTTTGGATTTTGGATTTTTAAAACGGTACTTACTAGGTATCTACCTACCTACCTACCTACCTACCTACCTACCTACCACTTCCTAAAAGTCTGTAATCTAAAATCCAATCCCCCATCCCCCATCCCCCATTCCCCATCTCCCTCCTCCCCCCCCGAATCCTGATCCTGACAATGAATATGAATTATACCATACCATACCATACCATACTATACTATACCATAAGAGGAATCGATTATCAAGGTAACCTAGCTATACCTAGGTATCGTAATCTACTATGTAAATGTGGAGTATAGTATAGTTTGTACACTGGATTTGAATCTTGATTCTTTTTGAGTGATTGGATGGATGGATGGATGGATGGATGGATAGATGGATGAATGGATGAATGGATGAATAAGCTATTCTCGATGGGAATGTTAGGTGCTATACTATACTATATATACATACCACAAGCAACAAGAATCCAAACGTCGCATCCAAATCTCGCATCCAAATCTCAATAATCCCTACAACAACGTTTTGACAATGTGGAATATGCATGCTACATACACATTTTACATACACATCTACAGATAATAAAAACATGCAGTACCTATCTATCTACCTATCTACCTATCTACCTAGCCACCTAGTAACAAACCAAATTACAAGACTAAAAGACCACAAGACTAAAGAGACGAGATGGTACGTGTATTACTTTCCAATTTTCAGGTGCGTTACGTGTGGGGATGGAGACGAATGGGACGAGATGAGATGGAGGGTTTGTGTGTGTGGGACGGAAAGGGGAGGGGAGAGGGGGGTACAGATGGGTTGGAGGATTAGGTAGGTACCTGGTATGTATGTATGTATGTGTGTATTTACTCACGATAAATATGCGTTTATGATTCGAATTTTTGAATTTTTGAATTTTTGATCTTGAGATGATAGCGTAGTATTCTTTCTTGCGTGTGATTGCGCGGAGTTGCACGAGCAGAAATGAGAGGAGAGGAGAGAGGGGAAGTGTGGATTGAGATTGAGAGATAGTTAACCATACCTATGGGGAGTTCTCTAGGTGAGGATTGTATTTCTTTCGGTGATGGTGTGAAAATGAATTTGAAGTGCATTTTTGATGAGAAGTGGAGCGCGATGAAAGAAAGAAAGAAAGAAAGAATAGATGGATGGATGGAGGTACATGGTACAATCGGCCGTACTACTTGTACTTCCGGAATTATCTTTGGTGACACGATGTCCGCTTGAGAATATTGAGGTGGGCTGATTCCTATGCCCACGAGTGGTAAGGAGAGTCGTACAGAAAGGTTATTGTCGAGCTTTGAGAAGAGATCTTCTTGTGATATTGTACATTTTCCTCCAAAAAGTAAAGATTTCTTTTCATCTGCAATAGAGGAAGATGATGCGTACGCAGGTATAGAAGGGGCAAGCGCAGTGGGGAATTTTCTTCGACTCCGTCTTACAGTCTCGGGAGTATTGTATCACCAAGATATCAGCGGTCAAGAGATCCCGTGATTGTATACCCGTTCACTGTGTGTGGAAAGGTATTGATTCCCACGGACCTAGAATCCTGACCGGACACGCCGTACATGTACTTTGCATCGCCATGCTCACCATGCCACTTCCATGCGCGCGCGCTGCAGATAACGTTTTGCTGGCTACAGCTGTGTACACCCTCGATTGTGATTTGAGTTTGATCTTTACGTCGTGCAAGCACGTATAGATCAGATGTATTTCCGGGTCTTCAAGTTTCCTATGAGCAAATATCAAAGCCATGGAGCAAAGGATCTGAAACTGTGAATTGACACACCAAGCGGTTTGTGAAAGGCGTGGCAAATGAGTCGGTATCCGTCGAGGCGTTGACAGCAGAGTGAGATATATGCGGGTATCCATCAGGGTATCGAGAACACAGCTTTCAATGTAAGAAGTGTGAGGATATAGCTTTGTGTTTTATTTTCTAGAGCCTAGCTCCGCGATTTCTTCCCTGATTAAGGTTGGTGGAAGACTCAAGTCCTGATTGTATGCAGGCACAGAGCGTGAAGGGTTCGACACTAGACTCGTTTGTTCAAACCGTTCTTTACTCATCATGCAGTTACATTCGCGTATCAAGATGCTTCAATCAGGAGTCAAGCCTTGTTTTCGTTCAATCCTTCTAGTCCTCCCTTTAAGAACGAGAGAATAATCTTTATGCACCACTTCAATGGAACCCTTTTGCCACATTGCTCCACGTTGTGAGATGTGGTGGCCAGTTCAGACCAATTGCCTTTAGTAAAGCCGCATAAAATTCTAGGGATGGTTGAAATAAATCCCACGATCAAATAATACACTAACAAGCTTTTGCTAAGCATCAAGGGTAGTGGCGTTAATCAGGATTGTGCATCTGGTAGCAATGTCTCCAAATTGTTTCCATGTGAGATGATTTCTGCTCAAGGAAGAATCCTCGAGATGATCGATTTTGTACACAGGAAGATGAAACGGTGATGGCCGCGGAGACAACGTTGGCGTACGTAGTAATTCATGTGCCTAGCACACAACCAATACTGATATGCCAGGTAAATCCCCTCACCGCTCATGGAGAACCTTCCCCCTGTGGAATTATCTCAAGAACATCGAGATTATCCCACAACTTTTGGAATGATATCCAAATATTGAGGTTTCTACTCTAACAAAGTTGAGAATGAGATAGAACCTACAATTCTGTACATTTATTATCTCTTTTGTTAAACGTTCTCTCTCATTTGATATTGTGATGGGAGATCGAGTATTGCGATTCCAAGACGATTGATGCAAATTGTTCCAATATTCTTGTTTCCTTTTGAATATATAGTCCGGCGATTTTTTGGTTCAGTAATTGTGACAATCGAGACATCTGGATAAACGCTGCAAGTGTTTCTTTTCATCCTCTTTTTATGTCAAGTCCAATTTGATGCAGACTTTTAGCAAGTGCGAGTTGTGAAGCTGTTCACAGCATTGATTGATAGAGGATGAATAGAGGAGCAAGGCTTCTTCTATCGATAACGATGTTGATGTTAGTAATCAATCGAAATGATTTAACACACTCGCAAGTCCTGAATCAGATGAGATTCTATAAAAATGGTGGGAATTCGCGTGTTCTTCGTTAATTTGGGCCACCGATGTGGCGGGAGTGTCTCTCCATCGATACCAGATCGATAATCATTTATGGATCCCCAAGATCACCATTGAGATTACTGATAAAGATAATCTCAATGGTGATCTTGGGGATCCATAAATGATTATGGATTATGTCAACTTCTTCCTTTTTCACTCCGTAAATCCGCTTGATGCAGCAATAGAGGAATCTCGGAATCTCCTTTTCAACCCCCAACCCCCAACCCCCAACCCATATCGAAAACGAAAAAGTCAGAAACGGGGAAATGATGGGAGCTGGCCTGGTCCTTGCAATGGTGTAGCGTGTAGCGTATCCCGTGTAAGATACGTGAGGCTCGAGCTGCCAAATACGGTGTAACGAATCAGGATAGATTGTTTTTCTTCTTCTTCTTCTTCTTCTTGCTTCTTTGTTTGTTTTGAAAGAAGGGAGAGACATAGTGGATAGATACGAAACTCAACAGGGAAAGGGAAAGCTCACCGTGGTCCCATAGGCAACGAAACATCTTGGCAATGTGGGAACCGAGTTTCTTCGGCTTCAGATAATGAAGATTATGATAAATTCGGGCGGCTGGCTACCATGACATGTCCAAGCTTCAGTTGGTATGCATCAATACATTTCAATACTTCATAGACTCACCTGGGCAGGCTGTGATTATTGCCAACCGGCAGTCTTTTGAAGATTTACGTGGCAATGAACAATGCCAATACCAATGCCAATAGCAATAGCAACAGCAACAGCAATTCCATATACCAATGCCAATAACATTAACAATATCAATATCAATATCAATACCAATACCTGAAGAGTCATCCGGCGAAGCAAACGCTCATGAACTACCAGGTGCCCAGCGAGCTAGAGTAGTTCAACGGGAAAACCGTGCAGCAAATTCTCTTTATAAGGATAATTCGTTTTAGAGTTTATCGTGGAGCAAGGGATGATAATATACAGACAGCAATGTGAAATACCAAATACCACCCCTCCTCCTCTTAAGCAGAAAAGGGCAAAGTGTACCCTTTGCCCTTCGTGCCATCCATGATCCATCCATCAGTTTGAACTTTGATCGAATTTCCTTAGATGGATGACATTGACAGATGTCAGGGATATTTCTCAATTCATAATATTGACGGATCCATTACGGACATTCAAAGGTTTTCCTATTTCCGAGAAAACAAGGGTCCTTAACTCCAGTTTCGAGTCATTAATATGAATGTGGTGAAATATTCTGACTAACACGGGAATGTTAAGCCAGTGATTAGCCAAACGGCTAAACTTCAATTGGTAAGGTTGCATTCAACAACTGCCGCAAGTACTCCGTACAGAGCTCTGTACATTGTACAGGAAAAATAGAGTGCGCGCCGCTTTAATGGGAACCAGAATCAAATCCTCACAATCCCCACCAGAACCTTTGAACAATTTGTTCTGGAACAACCAAAAGTTCTCCCGCCGCTCCAAATCGAGCTAAAAGTGGCGCCACTTTATCTTTCTTGCACGAACACCTGTGATTGCCCAGGAAGCTAGTAATGATCTTTGCTTTTCAACTGCTCCGTAGGTCCCAAATCTTAAACCACCCACGATAGTATCTACCTGGTACAGGTGCTTGTGCAACAACACAACAAACACACTTACCGTCACTCTGACTATTACTCATATCGACTCACATCGGTTTAGATCGATGCACACAAAGAAAGTCAATTATGCCTGCATTTGAGCGTTTGAGCATTGGTGCCTTGGAGGATTACCAATCCACCCAAGATACGAAGACTCCAAGACTCCGAACTGACTGACGATTAGCCTTACATCAGTGGCTTGACAACATGGGGTGCAGGTGCAGTAAGTGAGAGCAAATTGACTCCTTCCCGCCGCCCGGGGCAATTTCCTACAGAGTACGAGTAGATACTCCATATGTGCGTGCATATACGGTACCCCTCTATCAACTAACTTACTTTATGTATCCATCCAGGGGCAAGGCAAGATGAGATTGTGGAAGATCGACAAGGATATCATCCTTAGCCACGGCGGACGCGCCCTCAACCTTCCATGCAGAAAAATGCTAATCGATACCTTGTCAATCTGATATTAAATCCGAGTGGGGACTCTCTATTCTTTTGCTGTTCACATCTTGAGATAGATATATGAAGAAGGTCCCTGCGAGATTCATTAAAGTTTTTTGACCCTTAAAACCTCCCATTGTTTGGATACTTCTCCGACATTATTTATATCTATCTCTTAATACCTACTGCTAATTTTTCATTTCCTTCTTCTTACATCTTGTCCATACGCGGACATTGCTTTCACTGTTTGGGCTCAGTGATTACCGTTTTAATTACATATATTTGTTATATTATACACATTTTAGCTACCCTTATCATTGATACACACCACCATGGAGAAAGACAGAGAGGAGACGCAGTCTCTAGGCGCAACCACCAACACTGCTCGCGCATCAATTGAAGACTCCGAAACTCAACGAGAAAATGTACGGAATGCCAACCCTAATGGTTTCGTCAGTACCAATCAGGGGATCGATGTTAAAGCTGCAGAGTCCGAGTTCGCCCAACTTCAGCGAGAGCTGTCAGGTATCAGTACCAAGAGCAAGGCATTATCCAGAACACGTTCGAGGACCAAGACTGTCGATGAAAAGGACGTAGAAAAGTCAGCAGAATCCGTTTCTGAAGCCGAGGAGCAGCAATTCAACTTGGAGAATACCCTCCGAGGCAACAGACAAGCAGAAGTAGATTCTGGTATTCGTTCAAAGCATATCGGAGTAGTATGGGATGGACTTACTGTTCGCGGAACAGGAGGTGTATCGAATTTTGTCAAGACATTCCCAGATGCATTTGTCAGTTTCTTCAATGTCGTTGAGACTGCAATGAACATGTTTGGTGTAGGCAAGAAAGGCAGAGAAGTAAATATTTTGCAGGACTTCAGGGGTGTAATGAAACCTGGAGAGATGGTTCTTGTGCTTGGACGACCTGGATCTGGTTGCACAACTTTCTTGAAGGTTATTGCAAATCAAAGATTCGGGTACACTGGTGTTGATGGGTAAGACTCACATTCTCCTGATTTCCCACCCTTCGCATATCGCATTTCACTGTGACATACAATAGTTCTTCCTTTTTGAAAAATGATTAGACGCTTGCTCACAATATACCTAGTGAGATACTTTATGGCCCTTTCACCGCTGAAGAATTCTCGAAGAAATACAGGGGAGAAGCCGTCTACAATCAAGAGGACGATATTCACCACCCCACCCTTACTGTAGGCCAAACTTTAGGTTTTGCCCTTGACACCAAAACTCCAGGGAAGCGTCCTCTGGGAATGTCGAAGGCCGACTTCAAGGAAAAAGTAATCGATACCCTTCTTCGAATGTTCAACATCAGTCACACCCGGAATACCATTGTGGGAAATGCCTTTGTTAGAGGTGTATCTGGAGGAGAGAGAAAGCGTGTGTCTATTGCAGAAATGATGATCACAAGCGGCACTGTATTAGCTTGGGATAACAGTACAAGAGGACTTGACGCTTCAACTGCACTCGATTATGCGAAATCTCTTCGTGTTATGACCAATATCTACAAGACTACCACGTTTGTTTCATTGTATCAAGCAAGTGAGAATATCTACAAGCAATTCGACAAAGTCTTGGTTATCGATGGCGGAAGAGAAGTCTACTTTGGACCAACATCCGAAGCTAGAGGCTATTTCGAAGGTCTTGGCTTCAAGGAGAAGCCCCGTCAAACTACACCCGATTTCTTGACAGGTTGCACCGATGAGTTCGAGCGCGAGTATGCAACTGGTCGCTCTGCTGCAGACTCTCCACACAGCCCTGAGACATTGGCCCAAGCTTTCTTGGAATCCAAGTTCTCTACTCGCCTGAGCGAGGAAATGGACGCTTATAAAAGACAAGTTGCCACAGACAAGCAAATTCATGACGATTTCGAGGTTGCAATAGCTGATAGCAAACGCAAGGGGGCTTCAAAATCTTCTGTTTATTCGATACCTTACTACTTGCAGATCTGGGCTTTGATGCAAAGACAATATTTGATCAAGTGGCAAGACAAATTCTCTTTGGTTGTCAGTTGGATTACTAGTATTACTGTTGCTATTGTATTGGGTACCGTGTGGCTTAACTTGCCTAAGACTTCTGCTGGTGCATTCACCAGAGGTGGTTTACTCTTCATTTCGTTATTGTTCAATGCTTTCCAAGCATTCTCAGAATTGGCATCTACTATGATGGGCAGACCTATTGTGAACAAGCACAGGTCTTACACGTTTCATCGTCCATCCGCACTCTGGATTGCTCAGATCATCGTCGATACTGCGTTCGCTGCCGCTCAAATCTTGATATTCTCCATCATCGTGTACTTTATGTGCGGATTGGTGAGAGATGCTGGTGCATTCTTCACATTCTACCTGATCATTCTCAGTGGTTACTTGGCCATGACACTCTTTTTCAGAACAGTTGGATGTCTTTGCCCTGATTTTGATTACGCGATTAAGTTTGCTGCCACGATCATTACCTTTTTCGTCATTACATCTGGTTATCTCATTCAATATCAAAGTGAAAAGGTTTGGATCAGATGGATTTACTGGATTAATGCTCTCGGTCTTGGATTTTCCGCTTTGATGGAGAATGAGTTCAGTCGTCTTAATTTGACCTGTACTGGTGCCTATCTTGTGCCATATGGTCCAGGTTACGATAATCTTGACCACCAAGTTTGTACCCTGCCCGGCAGTGTTGCTGGATCAGACATTGTTAATGGTGGCGACTACATCACTCAAGGATTTGACTACAAGCCTTCTGATCTATGGAGAAACTTTGGTATCATCATCGTTTTGATTGCCGGCTTCCTGTTCACCAACGCAACCCTCGGTGAGTGGGTGTCTTTCGGTGCCGGTGGAAACGCCGCAAAAGTTTTTCAGAAGCCAAACAAGGAACGTGAGGAGCTCAACAAAGCATTGGCTGCCAAGCGCGATCAACGTCGTTCCACAAAGAGTGATGAAGAAGGATCGGAAATCAACATCAGCTCAAAGGCAGTCTTGACTTGGGAAGGATTGAATTATGATGTCCCAACTCCAGCTGGAGAATTACGTCTTTTGAACAACATTTTCGGTTACGTTCGACCAGGTGAATTGACTGCGCTTATGGGAGCCTCGGGTGCCGGAAAAACAACACTTTTGGATGTCTTGGCCTCAAGAAAGAATATCGGTGTTATTTCTGGTGATGTCCTTGTTGATGGTATTAAGCCAGGTAACTCTTTCCAAAGAGGAACTTCATACGCCGAACAACTTGATGTCCACGAGGGTACTGCAACTGTCCGTGAAGCACTTCGATTTTCTGCTGATCTCCGTCAACCATTCCACGTTCCACAAGCCGAAAAATACGCCTACGTCGAGGAAATTCTTAGTCTCCTTGAGATGGAAGATATGGCAGATGCAATTATTGGAGATCCTGAAAATGGTCTTGCTGTCGAACAACGAAAACGTGTCACTATCGGAGTCGAATTGGCTGCAAAGCCTGAATTGTTACTTTTCTTGGATGAACCTACTTCCGGTCTTGACTCTCAAAGTGCCTTCAACATCGTTCGTTTCTTGAAGAAATTGGCAAACGCTGGACAAGCTATTCTCTGTACTATCCATCAACCCAACGCAGCATTATTCGAGAACTTCGATCGATTGCTCTTGCTTCAACGTGGAGGAAGATGTGTCTATTTTGGTGACATCGGAAAAGATGCTCACGTACTCCTCGATTACTTCCATAGACATGGAGCTGACTGTCCTTCTGATGCTAACCCTGCTGAGTGGATGCTTGACGCTATTGGAGCCGGTCAAGCCACCAGAATTGGAGATCGTGACTGGGCTGATATTTTTGCTGACTCGCCTGAACTTGCTAATATCAAGGATCGTATTTCTCAAATGAAAACACAACGTCTCGCCGAGGTTGGCGAAACTACTCACGATGACGAGAGAGAATTTGCCACGCCACTGATGCATCAATTGAGAGTCGTTCAAGCACGTACCAACTTGGCTTTCTGGAGATCCCCCAATTACGGTTTCACTCGTCTCTTCAATCACGTTATCATCGCCATTATCACCGGTCTTGCTTACTTGAATCTCAACGATTCAAAGGCTTCATTGCAATATCGTGTATTCGTTATCTTCCAGGTCACCGTTCTTCCCGCAATTATTCTCGCTCAAGTCGAACCTAAATACGCTTTATCTCGTATGATTTACTACCGTGAAGCTTCTTCGAAGATGTACAGTCAATTCGCCTTCGCATCATCTTTGGTCGTAGCTGAGATGCCTTACTCGATTCTTTGCGCTGTTGGTTTCTTCCTTCCGCTTTACTATATGCCTGGTTTCCAGACATCGTCTAATCGTGCCGGTTACCAATTCTTCATGATTCTGATCACAGAACTCTTTTCCGTCACCCTCGGTCAAATGGTCGCAGCTCTCACTCCATCCCCATTCATCTCCGCCCTTGTTAACCCCTTCATTATTATTACCTTTGCTCTCTTCTGCGGTGTCACCATCCCTAAGCCTCAAATTCCCAAGTTCTGGCGTGCATGGCTCTACCAACTCGATCCTTTCACTCGTCTCATTGGTGGAATGGTCGTCACCGAACTACAAGGTCGAGAAGTGAAATGTACTTCTGCAGAATTAAGTCGCTTCACCGCTCCTGCAGGTCAAACATGCGGGAAGTATATGGAGAATTACTTTTCAAGCGGAGGTATTGGATACATTGTCAACAACGCAACAAGTGCTTGTGAATACTGTGCCTATAAATATGGAGAACAATTCTACGAACCACTCGCATTGGACTTTAGCAATAGATGGAGAGATTTGGGTATCTTTTTGGCGTTCATTGGAAGCAATTTGATCATTCTTTTCTTGGCTGTAAGTTACTCCTTTTTCATCTCACTCTCTCCAAAAATATTTACTGACAATGCGAATAGTCGAGATATTTCAACTTCAATCGTCGTTAATCATTGCATTGATTTGCATCGCGTTGCATCACTTTTTTTTCGATACCACAACATTTTGCACATAGTACATACATGTACTTGGTTATCATTGATGGTCACTAGATACCAAAGCTCATTCGTTTCTTGCATAAAGTTTGGGGATTATTTATAGCGGCTTATAGATTACGGGGTAGATTCTTTTTTTAGAGGACGGATGGTTTAATTACATTTAGATGAGAAGGGAGTAGAGACACGAAAATTATTTTCATGGTTATGTTGACGAGATATTGGAATTTTAATGTATGATTTGAATGTGGATGGATGGATATGAGATAGGAGGAGATCTTCATGAGTAAATAGTTAACTTTAATGTACTTCTGAGGATGAATTACTAGTGGAGGGGCAGATGTATATGTATGTATATCTGCACGTCTACATAGAGTGAGGAGGGAACTATATCTATAACTTGCAAGAATTTATATGGGATTTTGTGCACCTGTACAACGCGAATTCGCTCAAAAAGAGATCATGTAGTGTCCGGACCGAGGAAAGGTGTACTCATCAAAACCAAAGCCCAAGCGAAACACAAGGGTATTTGATTATCGAAATCAAAGATTTGCTCAAAGTGCCATATACAAATCAAATCAAATAACATCTCGAGGCAAAGTTGCCAACTCTCTACGCAAGGTGTTGAAGTGCAACAGAAGATAAAACTAAAACGAATCCCGGCTATCGAAATGGTAGCGAGAGTATAATTGGCTGGCTATTCAGGGTTGGAATCGTTCGTATGGGTAGGTAGGTAGGTAGGTATAGTTGATAATGGTTGTTGTGCTTGTGGTATAGTTGCGCGAGAGATTTTATGCTGGAGGTTGATCTGAGGTTGGTTGATCTGAGGTTGGTTGGTTGGTTGACCTGGGGGGGTTTGATGGGGGTTGGTTTGATGTGGTGGGATTGTTGGGTACTGGGAGGTGTGGAGGTGTGGAGGTGTGTGTGGTGGGGTCTTGGTCTTGGTGTTTTGAGTTGAGTGAGTTGGGTGAGTTGAGTGAGATTTGGTTGCTGGAGATGATGGATGGGAGAATTTATTGATGATTCCTGAGAAACCATTTTTGAGAAATCATCTTTTGAAATTGGTTTATCAGTCAGAGCGGAGTCATTGCGTTTCTGATACCTACTTGCCATATGATCGTTTACGTTACAATCAAAAGGTCTCTTTTGACCGAAACGATGATGGTGCTGTATTCGCGCTTTGGAATTTATCGTGTTTGTTTTCTCTTGAAGGAGTTTTATTGATGGGGGTGGTTTTGGTGAGGTTATTTTGTGATGGTTAAATAGAGTGGGTGGCTTTATGGTTGTCTGTTATGTATTAGAGAGTCTAGAGGTTGTGTTGTGTTGTGTTGTGTTGTGTTGTGTTGCTCACCGAGCATGCTGATCGGTTGGCATTTTGTGAGCTGAATGTTTGGAGAATAATGTTGCGAGAGTTGCGAGAGTTGGTAATAGTTTGCTAATAAGTTTGAGTTGTCGATTACTAAATTCTTAAACTGAGAACATAAGATGTCGTGTGTAACAATAATCATACCTATGTAAGCATGAATGGGAACCAATAAAACACAATTTGAAATCTTACTATCGAGTCGGTATCGGATCAATTCAACAGTCCAGCTGTCATAAGATAGGTACTCTACAACATGGCACCGAGTCTTTATATATGACCCAGCGAAACCAACTCCAACTCACAGATCTCAATTTCCAAACTCTAGAAATCAATTCTCACCAGTAATTTCCCAAGCGTGGTAAGAATTTCCCAAACGACAGACGCGCATCACTCTCACCACGATGTCTATCCCCGATACCTCTCTCCGCGTCCTCCGTCTCCTTCCCGTGATCACATCAACCGCCGTATTAATGTTTGCAGTCGACGAGCACATATTCCTCGGCACCTGGATGGCGCCTACATATCGGGCGCGCGCAAATATGCATCTGCCCAGTTGGTTCCAGCTCTGGGGACGCCGGGGTCGCTGGGTGATTTTGCTCGGATATCCGGGTACTTGTGTTCTCGGGGTGCTTAATCTTCTGATCGGGCGTCCGCAGCTGAAAGTAGTGGATGCGCAGAAGTGGTATGCGATGGGTCTGCTGTTTAGTGTGGCGCATGTTGCGATTTTTGGGAAGAGAGCATTGAAGTTGTTGGCGGAGATTAAGGAAGATGTTCCTGAGGGGAATAGTACGTTTTCCATGGCGGCTTGGTTGAGGATGCATGTGGTTAGGACGTGCACGACGGATTTTCCGGCGTTGGTCTTTTTTGTTGTGGGTGCGCTGAAGGTGCTGTGAATATTGTGAGCATTGAAAGGTAGATGTGTGTGTAGGAGGATTGTCAAGACCAAGCCACACATCACAGATTGACTTATTGACCATTGTCCTGTTTTTTCCAGCAGTAGAAGGTGACCTCCTGGCTTTAATAACGATCTGAAACTTTTCAGTGTTTCCTTGCGCAATGCTACAATCATATCAAAAGAACTGGCTTCGAGACCCTACTTCATCGGGTACTTTTCAATATTAAAAGTTATGAAGATGTTTTTACTATCATTAAGTATATCTCTTGCGCGCTCAGGAAGCCTCATCCTGCATGATTCTCGATATGATTTGATGAGATTCTCAATACTACTGCTCCCAGTTAACTCGCTGTAAGAATGCATTGGAAGAATGATGTCTTTTCAGCATTGGGCAAAGATTTAGTTTATGAAAGAAATCGTTTTTACAAATTTTCTCGTTCTGCTTTTCATTCAAGAAAGATATGATTGTTTTGACAAAAATAATAACACACTTGAAACTTCTATATCAGTATGAAGTACTGTAAATAATAATGTTTTCAAATTACATCCACAACATGAAACAACCCAAGCTTAAGCATGATAACAAATAGCAATTGGAACAATTCTCATAAGCTATATAACCAAAATTCATATAACCGAAAATATAATCAAAAGCTATGCGCTCGCGAGGTGGGTAGAGGGAATACGCGAAGTGTGCCCTCTCGCCCCCGAGCGTGCTTAGCTGCCTTCGCTATCTTGTTCCAGGTCCTGCGTGCAATGCACACGCAATATGCATAGTTCTTTATGGTTTGCTATCCCATTATTCCTATCAATTCCCAGCGCTGGGAGCGATGGGAACTGGTGGGACGTCACATGGTTGCTGGCCAAGGGCTCTATTGAAGGTACCTGTGGATCCGGGCGATTTGCCTCCGAGCCCAAGGTCCATTTAGTCGCCATGTGACCTGAGTCATAACAGTTGAGTAACCGCTAAGATTACTGATTTATAAGATAGATTTCAAATTCATTCCCTGGAGATTAAACACCTTTTACCTTTTGGTGACAATAGGAAGAATATATTAGGGTCCATATCTCCATCATTCATACCATCAAGTGTGGACACTTTAGCATAAGGAGATGCACGGAAGAAAATTGCAGTGGCCAGGCGAAGTTCTATTTCAGCAAGGTGCTGTCCTAAGCAGACTATATTTGACTATTAGCACTTTGACTCTGTATCAAGACAATTAATAGTGTCAGAACTAACCTCGAGATCCACCACCGAAAGCCATAAAAGCATCTTTCATTTCCTTTGAGGGATTCGTCCATCTATCAGGCTCGAAGGATTCTGGATTTGGGAAAATTTCCGGTTTGCGATGCAAAGTGTAGGCCTGGGTGGATACAGTCGTTCCTCCTGGCAATCTATGGCCAAGAAACTCAACGCCCTCTGCTGGCACTATGCGGGGCAATGCGGACGGTGCGGCGCAGTATAATCGCAGAGTTTCTTTGATAACATTGTTCAGGCACGTCAAGCCACGGAGATCTTGTTCAGTGAAGTCTTGCGGAAGAGAACTGAGCTCTGCCACTAATGCATCTCTCACTTGAGGATATTTACAAACAGCCCACGTCAGGTACGTCATAGTGTTGGCTGTCGTATCGCTGCCGGCAATGATGAACGCCATTGCGTTGTCTAAAATGTCCTTATCAGACAGCCCGTTTTCATCGCGGCGAAAAAGTTTCTTAAGAAGCATTGGATAAGATTCCATCTCTGCAGCCACTTTTTTCGATCGCTGAATCGATTCTTCCCCGTATTGTCGTAGCCGCTTTGCAGAAGCAGCTGCCGCCTCGAAAATAGGTATTGGGATCACTTGGGATACCTTTACCATGAATGGGAAGGTGCCTCGAATACCTCCGGCACGCCCATTTGCTTCGAGATCCAGAATATATTGGTTTTTCTGCGACTTTTGTCAAAAACTAACACCTCGAGATACACGAACATGCGTTAGAAAGGAGCAGCACTTACCTTACCAAACTCCAGCATTTTGAAGGATTCGCCAAAGCTGAGTTCTCCAATCACATCCGTCGCCATGAACATCCACCACTTAAAAACATCCGCTGCACCTCGTTGTGACATTTCCTCGGTAATACCTTTCACTGCGAGGTCTACATTCCGACGAATGAAAACTTCGACATGTTTAAGCGATGATTCAGACATAGGCGATGAAAGAAGGCGTCGGAGATGTCGATGAAGTTCAACATCGCTAGTGTTGAATACATTCAAGACAGTTGGAGGTGTGAACGACCTATACCAAGGCGACTTTATGAAAGAACTCTTGATATTATGGATCTTTTTTGTAGCTGCAATATCGGAAATATGGACTTCAGTCGGGCTGACTCTGACGATCGAACCTGCACGAGTGAGCAATGTATACGCATGGCCAAAGTCGTATATTGCCTTGGATGAAAACTTACCATATTTGCAGTGGAGGTCGTGAACATATAAAGCTCTCCTCCCTTTGATAATGTTATACTTTAGGACACCCGATGTCCATTTCGTATACCAAGGACCCGGTACTCGAGACAAGGGATCGATAAACACATTGTAAAATATAATCTAGATGTGTGTAAGAACATCAATAACTAAAACCATCAAGAGTATTTGGCGGCAGTGGATAAGGGAAAAGGGGGTCTGTCCCTACTTACAGTAGAGATTGCGGCAGCCACAGCGACTATCGTTGTGAGATTGTCAAAGGACAGAGACAGATTTTGAGGCAGCATTGTCGATATTGATGTGGTCGATAGAACATATATCCTATTTGGATGCCAAGAAAATACTGCTGAAATGATTTATTTAATACTCTTACTCACATCTTGCTTCAAGTACTATTACTATTCTGACAGAGTCCGAAGTCCGACGTAACATTTTCCCAACTGGACGCCGGCAGTAGTCCACGCCCGAACTACCAGGCGGTGAGGTACTTCTCTCCACACAAAATGGAAAGCGAGCTTGTAACCTTACGCGGGGGCCCTCAAGTACCGATTTCCGGTGTAATCGGTATTTTTGTGATTGGTGCAAATAAGGTGTAGTCCGTCTGGGGTTCAATCCGAGGTAATTATAGTCAAAGTCTATTCGGACTCTAACCCATATTGTTAGGGAAAGTACAGTGTTGTGCTTCTTTTTACTCACCCCAAACTTGTGCGAGAAAATCAAGCCGTGGTGGTCCCGGTTAAATCTTTTGTACGAGTCGCATCACGTGACCAAGGAGCTTTGTTATTTGTATATTGTTCTGCGTCGGTGTGAGGTCCAGCTTCCTAACAATCAGTTGTGCGATGATCTGTAGTTGCGCAGATGAAGCGTCTTTGCGACCTTGTACATATTTCCGGATTATGGAAGCTTCCACACTTATGGCACTGAAGAACAGGTTTCTATTTGGGTGGCGGAATTCGGATAAATACCTCTGCTCCGATCACTCTCGCTTCGCTTTCTGGCTGCTTCTTGCTTGAACCAGGCTGTAACTGTATCATTATAGCACCCATTCTTGTTGTACTTGCTGAGGTAAGCCTTGATAGGAGCTTGTCCAGTGTGGATAGCAATCTCAGAAGTGAGTCCTTGCTTAATGATCTTTTCAATTTTGTTTTCAATTAAATCCCATCTTGTAGTAGAGACTCTGGAAATTATTACCTGGGTCCGCTTGTCCCCAGCTTCAACTTTATCCTCTTCAAGTAGTGCCGAGAAGGTTGCTGAGTGGTCTAGTAGGAGCGTACTCGTGCGAAACCTGAAGGGATTGTATCTATTGTTTTGAGAGCTTGAGTGATTTACGCAGGAAGCTGTGTCTTTAAGAATACCAAGATATCAAATGTCTTCCGAGCCTTCCACTTATTGTTTCCACCAAGTCTGATGAAAAATTTAGTATCTTTATCCTCTCTCGACTTTTCTTTTTTGTACAGAGGAGCATGGGCAGTAGAGGTTAATGTAGGTTGTTCAGCGTGTTTGGCAAGGGCTGCTGCATATGAGGGCCAGCTTTTGAGAGGGCTTGTTCGAAAGTTTAAGCCAGTGTGCTTGTCTGGCAGAGGCTGGCTTGTATTCCATAGAATTTCGTCACTAATTAGAAGCGCAACCTGGTACTTTATAGTAGCTTTCAGGGCGTTGCAGAGAGAAACAGATTCCGATTCGATAACGAATGGGGCTTTGAAAAGTTCAGTAATTAATGCTTTGGCGCAAAGAGATAAGAGAGATTGTAGAGTCTTTTGACATTGTTCTTCTTTAGTGAGAAGCGTTTGAAGCTCTGTTTTAAGAGGTTGAGAGGCATGCTTCGTGTCGTGGATCAGATCCAGTCACGTGTACATAGCTAGTATAAATATGCGCTCTACGAGCGATAGGCTCTTGATTCTGGAGTTGTAGATCCTAGGGATAAATTATAACGCGCTCTTGCAGCTCTTTTAAGACAAAGCGTCACACTTGGCGGTTTGTTGAGAATCTAGATGTATATTTGTGAAATCAAAAAGTCTTTAGAGAGTATGAAACTGTTACCAACTCTCAAGGTCGTGTTTACATCCATGAAGGCATCAACTGTGCAGAATAGCGAAGCCAAGCGTCTCTAAATCTTAAAAAACTCCCATGCGATCACATCGCCTTCCTCTTCCCCAGTGAACGCAAATCCTCCAGTCTCCCCTTCCCCAAGTTTCGCCAGTTTTCCCCCTTTGATCCCCACTTTCCACAATCTTTCCCAATGCGTTAATAGCAGATAATATCCTCCCTCTGGTACATGTCTTGTAGTAACTCTCTCCCATCCATCGGCCACGCTTGCAGTACAAACTATATCATCCCAGAAATTGTGTCCCAGGAAACAGCCGGAAGCGGTGTTCTGAAAATGGAGCCATCCTTTGATTTCGATGCATTTCCACTATCATCGAGGATTAGCTCAGCTTGAAACAGTGGAAGTGGGGACTGGGGAAATGTATACTTACGTAGATGCCGGGATTCTTTCCAGAGCGTGGGCCAACTAATGTGACAATGCCTGAGTTTGAAGCGAGGAATTTCCCAGATGAGGACGCGCGGATTACGTAGGTAAAGTTGGGCAAAGGGTGAGAGCGTTGATTAAAGAAGGCGGTAGAGCTAGATGTATATCTGGTAGATGTGATTGTAGCAGTGGATGCCCCGATAGTAGAACTATCGGAGTCGGGAGAAAGGGCTGGACCAGTAATCATAGCTTTCATGTAATTAAAAAACAGAAGAACGATTAAAAGTACCGCAAGAACCTTTCCAACTAGGGTGTATTCCGTGATACTTCCTGCCTTTGGCGCAGTGCGATTTCTGTTGGAGGTTTTCGAGGAATGGGTTCGAGCTGTTGGGATTGAGCTAATGTCATCGTCACTGGAAGTACTTGGGGTAGAAGTGGGGAGCATGTTTGTATTCTAAAAATCGAGAAGGTTATGATTCATATCAACTTAAAATCTGATTTCAGCGGTTTCTTCGAGAAAGGGTCTATCAGCTTATCACTGGAGATTCACGGGATCAATACTGGAGTTGGCGCGAGTTGTTAAGAGGTCTCTTGGGTGTAATGGTGTGAGGGGGGTAAGGTAATAAAAGAATCTTGATGCGAATTCAAGAATACTGCAATTGCCAAGCTCACATTATCAAAACTGCCACGCATCGGTTCTTGACGAAAACCAATGAAAAGGAAAGGACGGTGCGGGGTCGAACCATCACAAGTATGAGTCTACTAGGATTATTACAGATGAAGTGACAGATTTCGTAGAGTCTTATCGTATATTAAACTAATTAGAGCAATGTATTGATTCATGTTCTTCTATCAATTTGTTTCCCATATCTTAATCAATGTTCGCAAGAATGAATAGTCGTCGGATATCTTCATTGTCCGTCTTCGGTCATTCTGGGTTCTAGCCCACTCAGCTTTATAGATACCGATGACATCATTTTTGATGGAACTCAAATAATATAACCCCTCCGATTGATAGCAGTGAACATAAACAATGCACAATTAACAACTCTGACAATTACCAATCATGTCCTCAACCGCTATAGTTCAAACTCTCAGTATTTCCAGCTCTCTCCTTGCCTCGGGAGGAATAGCAACCCTCTCCCTGTTCAACGTTCCCGAATTAAGATCCCAACCAGCATCCCGCGCTCTACCATCAATCCGCTGGCTCTTCTCTCGAGGCTCGCATCTCTTCCCGGAAGCCGCAGCCCTCTCCAGCGCAGGCTTTGTTTACTTAGCCTATGAGTCCCTGGCGCCGGGACAGAGCGCCCTACAATTATTGAAAGTCGTCAGTAATAGCAGAACGATCAACGGATACTTGGCTGCAGCAGTTTTGAGTATCAGTATCGGGCCGTTTACTTCTTTTGTGATGTTACCCACGAATTTCGCGCTTATAAGCATGAATGTGGAGATGGGTGGTGCCAGGAGTGAGAAGTCCCAGGTAGAAGGGAGTGGTTCGGAAGAGAGACGTGCGAAAGATTCTGTTAACGGTGATGGAGAAGCGGCCGAGTTCACAGACCTTAGCGGACCTCAGGAAAAGACGCAAAAAGAGAGTTCGGCGGCTGATGATGAGAAGATGAGGAGTCTTTTGGATAAATTTTCAGCGTTGAATTGGGTTAGGGCAGGATTGGTCGGTGGTGGGGGAATTTTGGGACTATGGATTGCTCTTTCTTGAAGACGTGGCTTTGAAGATATGCTTTTGAGCTGAGATATTTGTACTGTGAGATGAAGTGACCTGAGTATTACATTTTTTATCAGGTGTCGCTAAAGATGTTATAATAGATATTATAAGGTAATCGTATGATCAAGGGACCTTGAAGTTATATATATTGTAGATTCTAGTATTATATAGTAGTCTATATTGGGATATGATATTATATAAATATACTAGTGAGATGCTCAAGTATAGCAGTCAGACGGGTGTGGTGGTACATCTATTATCCTCAATTCTCATTAATATATATCACCTACATAGGTGTTCAAGTATTATTATAGCGTCCTCCTTATCCCCAACTTGATAGAATATTATCGTTGGAGGAACTACAATCCTAACCATCTACTCCGGTTACTAATGTCAATGGAAATGAGGTTGAAATCCTAGAGTCGTTGGAATATAGTGGTCGTCATCTCCTAGACTACAGCTGTTCGGCAGACGGGATAAAAGAGTAGTCGAAATGGCTCAATAGGGTACAATACTTTGGCATATGAATAAAAATACAGAAGATAGAAATATCACGGATATAAAAGACAAGATCGGGTAGCTATCAACTTTAGTCATTCATTTATAACAATCTCAAATTTACGCCAATTGCTATCCAAAATAGAGATTCTTTGAATAAGAAACCAGTTGAGCCATGCAATTATCTCTGTTGAATGCTATACTTAGGTTTTCCTCTAGCAGCCAATTTCTATTTTTCAGGCAGACTGGTATCCGGTAGCTGTCACTTGAGTCGAGTTACTCAACACTGCCTACCACTTCCACTCAAACCTATTCTCAGATGCGGCCGTATAGACCTCAATCTGACATTCAACGTGCTCAATATCGCCGAAAATAGCTACCACAACAGCTGGGAACCTATCCTAGCGAATGTCTCATCTTCCACCTATATATTCCGGCTCGCAAATAGCGTGGTCTGGACAGAACGCACCAGGGCGATAGTGGTACATCTTCCTCTTTCTATTTGGTATCCCCTACAGAGCTCACTGGTTGGCAAGCACCGGCCAAAGCTGCTAGTTTCCTCCCTCGGGTTCAAAGATAAGAACAGCCTTGACAGAGCTTATGCACAGCACAAAGCTTCTTACGAGAGCATTCGCTCGGTGCTTTTTTTTATATTTAAAAAAAACAACAGAAAACTCCCTTGGATGACCTGAAGGACATTCGTGCGAGAGTGTTGCATGACTGTAGTGCAAATTGGCTCGATAAAAACGTCTCGTACATATATACATGGGAAACTGAGGGACTTCTAACCATCGAGCTAGTATTGGTCAATAGCCAGATCATATGCACAAACAGAAATGACGCACAGCATCAACACAGGAGTTTACCATGTTCAATACGCATTTGAAAAGCTCTCATTAAATAGATATAGTCGACTTTTGAGAATATTCATCTTTTTTAAGGCTTATTTATAATGTCGTGAGACTAGAATGGGATGACAGCACCAGTGACGAAACCATGGGACTGAAGACATCTTACAGGCATGATAAGAAAGAGTATCGACTGTCCGATCGTACTCAGACCGAAATTAAATAGACTGCTAGGAAGCTCGAACTATACAAACGTGGTACCAGAGGAGAGCTATGGCATTTATATATATTTTGTCTTTTAAACATCATTCAAGAAACACAAATTCCCAAAACGAAAAAGCTCTGCTTTTTTATGCTGGGCCCTACACTGGCAGATGGCTTAGAGTTACCAACCCATCAACATCGGCGGATAAGAGACTTGTTATGAACTCTACAGTGCATGCTCCAGCAACTACCGCAAAAAGATAGTAATTCTCAACACTTGTTATGTACTCTGCAGTACCTGTTCCAGTAATAAACAATGTATAACCACGCACAAATTCTAGGAGGACCTCCTACAGACTCTCATTCGCTGCCACGTATCTGCTGTGGATGATTGACGACCAATCTCGAATTTCGCACTAGGCACGGTCATCATTGAGAAGAATAAACACAAATTGATTGACACCAAGAATTAAGCCAGTCAGGCACATCTGACGTAAGAAGGCGTACGTGTTCATACGTTTGGTCTCGACAATTGGATGTACTTGAAACTACTGTTAGTACGAAATACTGCAAGTAATAGGTAGTGAAAGGGTTCCAGTGCACAATTCATAATTATCAACAATCTGACAATATTAATCTAAGTAAATCCCAAAATCATGTAAAAACATACAGGCTTAAATAAACTGATTATGCACTAATTAAAGCAATCTTAATTGGCTAGATATATGATTACATAATGGGGAAAAAATATACGATTGATAAAGCTTTTCAAAACTACGTGCTCGCGAAAGGGGAAGAGAGGGTGCGCAGAGCATGCTCTCTCGTCTTCGAGCCCGCTTATATGCAATGCACACGCAATATTTGTGCTCTCTCATGCTGTGTACCTTCGTCATATTTGTTGCTATGGCACGACGGTACATTCATACTCGGTATGGACATATCTTTTCTTTTTCTTCGCCGAAAAATCATGAGACATGCGCGGACTCTGCCCGGGCTCTAAGTCCGAAAGACCGGCTCAGGTTAGCGAAATCGTATGAAGGCTCTACTGATGGCATGTCTATATATTATATATTATATATATTTGTAAACAAGACCTTCCCTTTCCATTCTTCATATTACTGCAAACCCTGCTTATTGAAACCCAAGACCATTCGACCATTCATCTGCACATAATATAAACTTCGACTAAAATACACCCTCACATCACAACTCTAGTCCCCCGCTACTCCACTAACATTATGTTCAACAAAATCTTCACAAGACCAGCGCACACTGTGCTACGCAGCCAGCAGAATACATTGGCCCTCGCGGCCGTGGCCGCGACAATTGGAGGCTTCTCCTACTACTCGATTTCAGACAAAAAAACCGAACAAGGCACGAGTAACCAGCACTCGGGGCCAAAGACTTTTGGAAGAGGTCCAGCTTTCACTTCGTTGAAGCTACACAGCGTCGAGAAATTGAACCACGACTCGAGTCGTTTTAGGTTCAGCTTGCCTACTGAAGATTCAGTCAGCGGCTTATCCTTAATCTGTATGCTTGGAGAGCTCCCCAGAATCAGTCTAGTATCTTGCTGACACATGAGCTTGCAGCCTCTCTTTTAACCCTCACAAAACCTGTTCGTATTATCATGCGGCTTTCTTCTTTTTGAAATGCCACTGTTGACTCCAATCAAGTCTACAAGTTACCGTCGTTCCTATTGTGATATAGCAATACTGACTCGATTCTCTTTTTAGGCTGACCAATGGCGTCCGGTAGTCAGGCCTTACACACCGATCAGCGATCTAAGTATGCTGCTGTCTCCGTCCGATCGAAAAATCAAACTAACTGGAAATCTTAGATGCGCCTGGCTATGTGGATCTGGTAATCAAACGTTACCCAGGAGGCCAGGCAAGCCAGCACATCCATTCCCTCAAACCGGGAGATTCGTTGTTTATTCTCGCAGCTCTCGGCGGGTACAAGTGGAAGCAGAATGAATTCAATCACATTGTTATGATTGCCGGTGGGGCGTAAGTACTCGGACATCCGATTCCGTCCTGTGCAGCATAGCCCTAACATTATAACTAGAGGTATCACCCCCATGGCTCAACTCCTGAGGGGCATCTTCTCCAATCCCTCGGAAAAGACCAAAGTAACCCTTCTGTTCGGCATCAACACGGATGAGGACGCCCTCTTCCGCTCCGAATTTGACAAGATTGCAAAGACTCACCCGGACCGCTTCAGCGTCGTCTACACCGTTACTCGCCCCAGCCCAGACTCGGTCTTCCGCAAGGGCCGAGTCACGAAAGAACTGATCAAGGACGCGTTATCCAAAACCTCGAATGTGCCTGAGAAGGTGTTTGTATGCGGACCGCCGGCGATGGAAGCGTCGCTCCTGGGCGAGCGCAATGGGAGTCAAGGAATCCTTGGAGAGTTGGGATTCAGCAAGGATCAGATTTACCAGTGTTAGATGCGAAAAAGTGTTAGTTTACTGCTTCTGGAGTTTGTCTTCCCGGTCGGGAAGATGGGAAAGTCTAATAATTTGCCATATATATTCGGAGTTTGGGGCTCTCGAGTGGGTTTTATTGGCAAGCCATAACATCAGCCCAGGGGGTGGAAGGATATATTTCACATCCAGATAGTAGGCTAAACAGTATAGTCTTGAATCCTAAGTAGTCAAGTATGCTGTACTATACCTACGTATCCAATCACGCAGCGCGAGACTTTGCTTGATTGCCTGCAGATTTCAGATCCTCCAGTGAAGTACTATACATCTAAATCACTACATGCTCATGATCTAAGTGGAAAGGCACATGTATATTGAGATGATAGTCATCTATAATTTAAGAAGGGGATAAATTGTTTACTAGTTTGAAATTATAAGAGTTGAATACTATAATACAAAACTTTACCTCAGAAGAACTACACGAGCAGAGTATGATTCATCAGGTGTATTAGCGGCGCAGTTGCCCACTGTCAGTCTTTGAGGGGGAAAAGTAAGTGTAATCTGGCGAAGGGAGTATATTCTTAGGGTTTCTAATGCATATCTGTAGATCTGGAGACGCTCTACTCGAAGGAGAATTTGCCCCCTCTGTGAGCATTGAAGAGGAAGTAGGACCCAACGAATGTTTATAGATATAACTATCCGCTGATTTCCTCAATCGAAGGGGAACAGTCTTCTGAATACTTTAGATTTATACTACAGCGACTTGTTTAACTACTTAGGTAAGTCAGTGGTATTATCGCAGTGCTGATATGGTGCATGTCATCATAGAGCGCGTGAATATTTGGTATATAGCTTAGTATCAAATGATCAGCTGTACCATATATTATTAACATTGCTGCATCCACCGGTCCCGAGTCATCCAACCTCAGATTTCATTGGAGATCCCTTTATCGAAATAAATATCTCTCCAGCAAGCATATAACCCTACCGCTAAACTTCCTCACAGCCAGTCTATCTCATGCAAGTCACCGGTCCAGCGACACTGAGCCTCATCAAGCTTCCTATCTTCCTCTTCTATTACCAAGTATTCTGGTCGTTGAAGTAGTGCTAATGAGCTATAATCGCAGACGGAAGCTTCAACAGCGTATTTCATCTGACAATGACAATCTTACAATTCTATTTCATGACCCCACGTCCAGGTGAAACAATAGGAAAGCACTTTGGAGGGAAACTGGCTCTCAAAGTGACGAAACTTTCCGCTTTCAATACTTATATATTTTGTAGGCCTGCCATAAATATACTACTCCTTGTTATAGCTCTGCGAGCAATTACTTGACTACAGATAGCGAAGAAGAAGAAGAAGAAGAAGAAGAAGAAAAACAAGAAGAGACTTATTCTATCTTTTTCATGGACATATCACAAGTTATCCAAAACATATTCATCTATCCAACGAATAATACACACATACAGCCAACTACTAAAAACTACAGGACAATAGTTAATTCTATTCTCAATCTTTCTTTCAAGATCAGAACCTACGTCAAGCCAGATCTGATAAACAATCTCATCCTTGTTAATTTCTTTTTATATAGGTACGTATTCATGTCCTACTCTATAGAAAAAGATATCCGACATATAATATATCTTCTCTAGTTAGTACTATCGAGATAATCTTTAGAGTATATATTGCCTCCACATCACTCATTTCTCATGCATTCGATATCTTGCTAGTAGAAAGAGATGATTATAAATAAGTATAAACCAACTATCTCTAAAACTATTCACACACCGCTCTTATTTTTCAGATAAATACTACTCCAGTACGAAAGAAATTCTAATATTATAATTTTAATCTAATAACCAATTCAAAATAATCAACGAATACTAACCTCTAGATGAGTAAGAAGAGCTCTATTATTCTAGTAATTATACGATAGAGGAATATTATCTCAGAAGAAAGTAGACTTTTAAAAGTTATTTAAAGGATATATGTATATCGATCTTAGATGATAGTTTGACTAATCATTGAAAAAATATCTGACATTGAAGAATTTCGTTCATATAACTTGAGATGATGATATATTCTAAGATAATATTTTCACATTTATCTCGAAGTGATGGGGCACGTGAGAAACACGTGATATCATATCATGTTCCATTTTATATACGCACTATGTTCATAAAATTCCCCTTCATATGAAGGGGTAGACAGAATAACAATACCTTCTAATCTTGTATACCTTGTGTATACATCTTACCAAGCTTAATCAGCACAAAGAGATATACATCGTGAGCATTAGATTATCAGAGTATAGAATTCCGGGATTGAAAAGCAAAAATACGCATATGATTCTATTTCCTATTGTTACGCTATATCAGGTACTATGCAATTCCAAACTAATCGAAATTTCATCTCCTTTACCCCGGCATTACTTCCTGATGTAAAACATTCTTTCAGCCTGATGATTAAAGCACTTGGTATCTCCTAGCACAAGCCAAACTCCTCAAAAACTCCCAATAGACCTATGTAGCCTAGCAAGTACCTATTAATAGCCACCTTTAACCTTCTCGAATAGACCAACTTCCTCCTTGGTAGGTCTACTGAGATTGATAGGAACCTGATCACTTCCATCAACCCGACGCAGTCTCTTCAGTGTGAATCTCCAAAATTTGCCTCCCTTTCCATTGGTTTCGACATTGCCATCTGTAACTCGATATAGTCCATCGTATCTAATGCCAGCGGCAGGTCGATTTTTCCAAGCACAATTAGAGCTTCTTAGAACACGAACTGGCTTCTTGGTCTCCATTGATCGTCTCAAGATCATTACACCTGAGTTTTCCGAATCGGCTTCCTTGATGATGGATTCCTTAGCACCAGGTGCAGAATAGTATACTATATCTCCTTCATCCATATCGAATCCTTCATAGTGCTTTGAAATTACGATGCTATAGGCGCCTTCTTTCTTATCTCCAACGATTCCAGCTTGTGGAGCTCCTATTATAAGAGATTAGTCTAGCTTCATGGGGAAATGGGGTTGTTATGAGTGTCTAATTACCATGTGCACCATCGCGAAGTGCTGCCATTTGTCTTGGCCAGCAGTCTCCAACAGTGAGACCATTGTGACCATGAATTTTCGCGTTCTCCTTGAATAGGTGCGCCTTCTTTTCGTCGAGAATTACATAACCACCCTGTTTCCATAAAATGCCACGCATGATACCATTATCTCCCCAAATATAGCTAGCTGATGCAGGTGGAGCCGAGTAGCCTGTGGGACTAGGCACCGGGCTTTTCCGGGAGGTGGAATTATCCTTAGATCTCTTCGAAGAGGTAGGAGTCTCGCTGACTGACTTTCGCTTCTTATTTATATTTGCATTAGCAGATTGTGCGTCGATAGTCAATGCTGCTGGTGGTGGAGGTGGAGCTTCGAAACCATTTTGAGCCTCAATTTTATCGATCAGAGCTTTTGCAATGCTGGAGTATTCTGTAGGGCACTTGAATACTGGATTGGTAAAAAGCTTAAGGACCTCAAGGAGTCTGAGACGCTTGCTATGATGGTGGTTAGCTACTGTATCGTAGTGGATACTATAAAAGCAGTAGAAATAACAAAAAGAATGACCCCGTACCTAATTTCTAGTGTAATGCTGCCGTCGATGTGTGAGATTATATAGAAAAAGATCTTGACTTTTTGCCATTGCTCAAGAATTACATTGTGACCATTTTTGCAAGAAACCGCAGCCTCTTTGACAGACTTTTTTATCTCTTCGAGTGTCTTTAGGGCAGCTGTGGGTTCAGTGTCGATATCGGAGACTTTAAATCCAGGTCCCATACTGATTTTCAACAGCTTTTCGATAGCATCTTTATGGTCGAACTGAGGTTCAATCGATAAGCTGTCAATATTGTCGTTATCTTTGATGTCCGGCTCATTTTCTATAGAAACTTCGGTATTTTCGGGAACAGTAAGTAATTGAGTATCTGGAAACGGTTCAGATTTTATACGCCATTGGTTCTAAGTGAAAGTTAGTTCAATATATTAGGTTGCTCAAGTAGATATAAAGCTCACAATTGTGGAGTCGATTTGGCCAGGAACTTCAGGTATAGTAGAAAGAGGAAGCTCTGGCACAGGGTCCTTCTTAATTCGCAAATCCTTTTGAGATTAAAAAGTTAGCTTGGAATCTCAGAATTCTCGATAAAATCCTTCAATAGGAGCTGCAGAGCCAAAATTAAGTTATAAACTTGTCATCCTTTCGGAAATATAACTATGCCATGTATGATAGTGTTCATAATTGATGGATTGAAGACTTACAAGAGCAGATGCCCCACCAAGTGAAGCTACCCCTCCATTCTCCATACCCAGGGAACCCATGGTAAAGAGAAGGAGCGTTAAATAGTAATTGGAAGTAGCGATCAGCGCAATGAAGCAAAGAGATTATTATTTTTATAAAAGAAACTAGTAAAAGAGGAAGTGGTATCTGTTGGTACTTCTATTTTGTTGAATTGAAGTGGAGAAGAAGGTTGTAGAAATATCTGCCTAGGCTTGGGCCAGGTCCTCAAACGCTACAAACACTCACTCAATGCCACTGATTGGCTAAAATCGGGAAGGTATGAAGGATTGATCTTACGAAGAGTGATCAGGTGACGATTACCCCAGTAAGATATCTTTTAATTACTTAAAAAGGGTTTCAAGATATATTCTTACTATGAGTAGATATAAACACGTATAAGATCACTAGTGGATATAGTCTACCAGTTGTTATCAAAAGCTTTCTCTTTTACTAGTAGATAACAAAGATTCTCTACTAACTGAAATAGCAAACGGGGAAGGACTTCTTATAGAAAGGAACTCCTGTCGGCGCCTAATTAAACTTTAATGTTATAAGGAGTATATAAGCCATTAGGTATTTAGAGAATTCTACGAAACAGCGGATATTTCAATACTTTTAGGAGATACATACGATAAAGAACTTCCTAATCAAGTATATACCTTTGAAAATATTATGGGCTTCCACCCTCTATAGCATTGGCCATTTTATCGTTTTAAGGAATGTGAAAATCAATTGTTTTAAGAAAGGTCTTTCTTTAGATCAAGTTGACAACATTCGAGCTCACTGGTGTTTGGGTCACCGGGGAGTGAAGTGGTGGTGAGGTGGCTTCCTACCCCATGATACCCTCAACTCTATACAAATACTACAGCAAGTTCCAAACCACACAGGTAAGAATTAATAATTGGAAATCAATTCTGAAACAACTTTCACTATGTCAAAGTCCTGGATTTGGTGCCAATTTGCTCAACATACAGACAGTTGTTTAGTTGATTGACACAAATACTGATCAAAACCTATTTCCTGAAAAAGGACTGACTACAATCATGGAGGAATTTAATAATTCTTTCTTAGACTCCCGCCTGAAACATATCCAAGATGAGTCTGTCTTTCTTTCTTTGCTGTGTTCTCTTTTATATTTTTTGACCATAGAAGTGCTGACCAGTAGTGTGCCATAGATCATGGAGTCACCCCTCACACCATCTCTCTCTTAATTCACGTTCTACAGTCTACAGTCAACCATCCATCACCATCATAATTCATTACAATGGAGGACTACGCGCACCAAGAGTTACTGAGTTACTGAGCATATGTCAAGGACTATGACTCAGTCTTGTCAGCAAGCACACGGGTGGTCATGAACTGACGTAGAGGGTTGTGGACATGGACGGGGAATCACTAGACCGGGAGTACAACAAAATATTGAACGAACACATCACTGATGGAAAGACAAAGTTGGTGGAGATACCGTTCAATCTGTAAGACAAAACAAATGATACAATGGAGACAATTGGGGGACCACTGGGAAGGAACACACAAGCACACAATTCTGGCGATGTTCAGGTAGTGTGCTAGGAGCAATGCGTGCAAAGTTGCCATGTGCCATATGCCATTGAACAAGAGCTCTCAAGCCAGCTCAACATCCTGGAGGGTAAATACAACTCCAATTGTCCACAACAGACATCAAGCACAGAAAGCCCCTCCAAACAAAACATACGATTGAACGAACCAAAACTAAACACGAACAAGGAACAATTGATGGAAATCACACAGATTGAACAACCAAGACAACATGAGGCTGTAGAGATGTAACGATTATTCTCAAAGGCTCGAGCTTGGGTTTCGATAAGAGATATTTTATTACAATCGACACTAAATTATGCTTAATTCGACCCGAAGTTCACCCAGAGAAAGTTCAGTCACCTGCAGTCCAACCAAAATCAAGCACCGTGGTGGCAGTACCAATAAAGCATTGGGTGTGGAATTCTGGAATGAAAAGAACTTCTGGGGATATTATTACTTAAGACAATTTCAACATAATTACATTTCAGACTACAGTATTTAGATTCTACGATTTATCCCAAAGGAAACAGCTTTTCATCATTCAGGATGATATACTCAGATTATGAGTTCCTGATCAGATAGCAGTTAATCATGTTGATATGACAGAAACGAGGTGGAGAGGTGGTTTTTTGCCACTCCATATGCTCTAGCTGCCAAAGTTTGAGCAGGGCAAAGTCGAGGGAAGTGGAATCTGAAGGGGCTAGTTTACAGCTTGACTTTGTGCTTTGAATATATCAACCAGCGAAGTAAGTGAAAGAGCAGAGTCTGGATTTGAGGAGCATTTATAACAGGAGCTCTACATGATCATTCTCAAATCAAGAATGGCTCCAAAATCCATGGGTAGAAAGTTACATTTATAGTCGTTCTTGGCAGTAGCTCATGCTGAGCACCTAGGTAGATTTCTCCTACTCCTCTCCAACAAATCTTCATACCAGAAGCGACGCCCAAATCGCAAATATACTATTCTTCAATAATCTCAAGTAACATATATTTCCAAAAACCAGGTACCAAAGGATACTTACTCTTGGACTCCAAAGAACATCGAATAATCTCAACCCCTTCCTCTCTCCCTTCCATACTCCTTCCAAAACCCTGGCAAGTGCGCAACCCACAGTCTGGAAACGAGAGTGTCCCCATCGTCAATCTATCACAGCTCACTGAAGTATGCAAAATACCTCCCAAGGTGCAAGATCTCGACAGCCATGCCAGATACTACACCTGCCATAGTCACTTCCTATTTTCGATTTCCCCGTTTCATGTCTCCCATTTGTATACACCTCCCGGATGCAGCACCAGGAACAGCTTTTGTAGAAGTAAGTATCCAAACCTTACGCACAGCAAGAGTCAAGGACGATAGAATTAGTATCTAGATCGTGGATCATGTAGTAAATATCGCGTACCTTCTCTCACACATCTAGCGACAGTGCGACAAAGATACCAAATCTTTCAAATCTTTCAAATCGTGCATAAACAAAGACAAATTCATCATCTCCACATACACACACACATACATACACCCCAATCCCAAACACCACCATCACCCACCCTCGAATATCCCACCTCCCCTCCCATCCTTTCTCTATCCCGAGCCACCAGAAATCTCGCACGTATCACGCACCAAGTAGATAATAAATAAATAACTCCATAACCCTCTTAATTCTCTTCTCTATTCATAGATGGTAAATGATAATCATCCTATATACATTATCATCCTCTCCCCCAAAAACCAACCTCCCAAACACCCATCCTTGATACTCCAAAATCTCGCTAACTCAATCCAAACTCCGAACCCCATGCTCCTTACTCCTTGCTTGTGAGATTTTAACAAAGAAAATAAAATAAAAGAGGTAAATAAATCCTTCCAGCTGATTCACTCCTCTTTCCGCCGACTGGAAAAGAAATTTCCATCTCAAGGTAAATGCAAGATTTTCGAACTCTTGTGGTTCGGGAACCATGACCTCTCGCGCGCTATCAATCAAGCATCTTGAATTTTTCAATCCTCCTTCGTTTGTTCGTTCGTCTCCTTAAAATACCATTCCTTACACCCTGTAAATCTATCTCATTCTTCATCAAAGAGAGTACCATCCTGACCTGCAACTCACCCATTACTCTACTACCTTTCCCTCTCCCTCTCACTCTCATCCCTTCCCCTCTCCTCCTCCTCCTCACCCTGGAAATGCAGCCGGCGGTCTCGGCGGCGTCATAAGAAGTCCATTTCCATTCCCGTTTCCATTTCCGTTTCCATTCCCGTTCCCGTTCCCATTCGCACCCCCATTCCCACCCCTCTGCGAAGGCGCCATAAACGAAATCTGTCTCGCCCTCGTCGGTTTTGCTGGCATCGCTATCACCTTCGCAAATGCCTCCATGCTTGCTTCGTGATCTCGGAGTCTCCTTTCGTGTTTCCTCATAAACTCTACGATTGTTGTTAGTTTTTACATTCCTTGATTGTAATCTTAGTCCTCTGATTTCCTCTTCTTTCACGTGATTCCTCCCCGTTCCTTCCTCCTCACCCCAAAAGCTCGAGACAAATAAAAATAAATAAAACACACCTTCATGCTTCCTCACTTCTTCCTGATGAATCCTCATCTCCTCGGCATGTTTCAACGCCTCCGTCTCATAATACTGTTCCATCTCATACTGTTCCTGCGCGATACGATCCGCCTCGGCCTGGATGCGCATCTGGGCTTCCATCATACGGTCCTGCGCCGCGCTCATCTCGTCGAGTTCGCGCGCGCGCTGTTCGGCCTGCCGCTCATATTCGACGATGCGAGGGGGTTTTTGAGACATGGTGGCGAAGGAGCAGTGGTTGTGAGTATGATTGTGGCTAATTGGTAGGTGTGCTGATTGAAGATTTGGGAGTGAGGATGAGAAGGGTGCATGTGTGAATTGAGAGGATTTGTATTCAATCAATCAATCAATCGAGTTTCAATTTTAGCAAATAGAGAGAGGAGAGACAGAGAGATAGGTATCGAAGATACGTATATAGATAAGTAAGGAAGTTAGTTAATCGACCGAACGACCGACCGACAAACAGACCGATATAAATCCCAACAAATGAAGAAAATAAAGAAATCCATCAATTCGCGCTCCTCCCCTTCTCCCAAAAATCAAAACAAATTAAGATTAAGTTTTGACGAAAATCTCGCCATCCACGTTTCGACACGCATCCGCATTGTCATATTCTCCTCACCATCACTAATATCTCACCCATTATACACCATACTCATCTCCAATCTCCATCTGCCCTTCCTTCAAACCCACACCATCAGACGTTCCTGCGGTTTCATTTTCCAATTTTCCATACCGTACCGTATCCAGTTGCCGCGCTGCAAACCTGTAACAGATGGGTTTGAGACAAGTCGTGTATCAAATCTTGGGTGCTTGGGCGTCTTGCAATTCCTGGCTCAGGCGAAAGATTTAGTTCATCGTCGATGTTTTAGTGTCTGGTCTGCGATCTCCACTCTTGCTTGGCATTTCTGAAGCGAGAGACAAGAGATGTTTGTTGAAATTTGTGTATGCGCATGGGGAAGAAATTGTTTCGTTTGGAATGTTGAATGTGTTCTTAGGTTTATCACAAGAGTTATAGATCGGATTTATCCCATTACAATGTGTTCGAGTTTTCGATCTTCGGACAGCTAGGTAGGAAGAATGAGAAGGTTGAGACGGGTATTGTTTCTGGCTCGTCCCGTGATTTAAGGCGGATATATATGCTTGGTAGATGCGCACGACGGGTTCATCTTAACTTTGGTACGATAGACTTGTTAGAATACCTTTCCTGTATATATAATGACTTTCGAGAAGGAGATCGATCTTTCAACTCGTCGCCTCTTATTTCGAAATATTTCAAAAAGGATTTGATGCTAAGGATTATGAAATTATAGCATCTAAGCTTCGAAGAAAGATATTTGTTGGAACACGTGACTGAGAACGTGTATATAGCTTAGCAATGCCCCCTTCATACGAAGGGGGCAGACATGAATTAATATATTATTGAACCCAATACACCCCCTTACTAGGTCAATCCAACAATATTAGAGCATAAATTAGATGCCCTTACACCTATAAAAAGAAGGAAGATCTCAAATTCGAAGTTTATAGGGGTTAGAGCTATATTAGAAGTACAAATTATAATAGAAGATTATAAAATTTATAAAGATAAATTTTTAGATAATATAGAAAGTAATATTATATGAGATTTCATAGAAGTTGAACAATGATGCATTTGTTAAGGTTTAAAATTTATATATTGATTTTTTTGAGATGATTGTAAAGTATAATATAGAGCAGGTAATTTATATAATAAAATTATAATATATAACCCGATCAAGACTTATTAGCGCGGAGCGCTCATTGTAACCCCGTAGGATTATAGGTATATAGATATTTGTATATAGTTAGAAGGAGATAAAAATCTGGATTAAATTGTTTCGATAGAATTATTAAGAATTGGAAAATTGTGACGAACCCAACGAGCGTTTAGAGATGAACCTTAGAATTAAAAGCTACAGAGCTAAAGAGAGTGTGCTACGAAGCTATATATGCGATCGGCTCGAAGCTTAGTGCCGTACTTAGCCCGATCGGACGCGATCACGTGTATATCGTGACAAAAATCATAAAAGAAAGAAAAGAAAATCAATGAGGGAAGGTGTAACGATTCGGTCCCTTTCGGGTTCCTTTCTTAGTCATCTATCTTGAATCAGAGGATTATACAGGAGACAAGGATGTTATACATGATGTGTCCGAAGTTGTCTCAACGGTCCACCATACTATCTAGCTTCTAGGATCTTAACCTAGCACGTGATCCATTTATTGTATATAGCTCAGAGACTTCAGTCTCTTTTCTTCCTCTTCCCTTTTTCTCCTTAGCTTTATATTCCAAAATAGAATTGAACCCTTTCGTGACAGCTCTTCATGTTTTTGGTGTGAAAAAGGTAGTCCAAAGGAGGGGTGATCCGAAAGTACAGCACTCAGCTTAACTTTGATAACAGATCCTTTAGTTCTGCTGTCACACCGTCCTAAGGCTTCTCATTAGCAATCTGCCACTCCTCATAATCAATGACATCGACATATCTTTCTTTCGTCTCTAGAACCAAGAACTCAGTAGAAATAGCACCGAGTGGTGGCCGTGAATATAGTGGGCAAGTGCAACCCCAGTTTGTTCAACTGTCTTAAATAAGCAAAATTCAAACCAGGATATATGAGAAGCTGTATATGTTTAATAAGACACAATGCTTCAAAATCTATCCTCGCTATTGTTGAAATAAGGTCATGGATGCCACTTGACTACCTGCTACTGGATTTACCAGCATCCGCAGAATCTATAGTTATGGCAAAGCTTCCCTTGTTTTTTTTAATAATCAATCAAGTTATTCCTCCTCAATAATACACATATATTTCAATACATTACGAGCTAGAAATTCCGCTAGATATGGAAACATGAGTAATATTTAACCCGTATAGTTATTGGGAAATATATCAAAAGGAGAAATAATACCTACGTTACGAGGCATTCCGATTTTAAGCTCAATTACCAACCTTTTATTGAAGTCGTTCTTTGTGTTTTCACTGCCGCTTTGAATAAGAAAGATGGTATTAGTTCACAGTCCCAGAGAAGTACAAATGACGCAGTCAGAGTTCAAGGTATGGTTGAGTGGCAGCACACATGAATTCTGTTAACTTTTAAAAGGTACAGCAGACAGTAGCCTCGATTCTACTGATAGTAATGATGCATCAGACGACTTCCTCCCCTCCAACTATTGAAGAAGTGTTACGGACTACTGTTATTACAGGTGCTCAGTAGCAAAGCTTGTCGAACCTAAATACGGCTTTCAGCATCCCAGCAAGCTAACCATCGATGCGACTGAGATGCCTCTCGACGAAATGGAGTCAAGGGGGAATAGTTGTCGAGGTGATAGTCGAGGCGTTTGAGGTAGGCGCCCCGGCTCTCTTAAGCCACAACAAACAGTCTTGCCAATAAGTGTCTATAGGGTGGCTTTTTGTTTTTCTTATTCAATTATTTCTTCTTGCTCTACCCGAAGCATGACTACAGGTGTCCTGCGGCAGGTGTATCACACGATGAAAATAGCATACCCATTCTACGCACATTCTTCATGCCGTACCAAATCTTGATCCATTATTTTGGGCTGCGACACCATATAATGGTATGTTGAACATGCGGAGATCCTATACATCTTGTGTCTTCCTGTCGCAGCTAAGGTCAAGCAAAATTTCTTATGCTTTCTATTTTTCGGCTACGTGAGGTTAGTCAAGGCATCATATAATAGCTGTTTTTACTGTTACTCACTTCTCACAAAGTCCTTTTTTCTTCTTCTCTGCCGAACTGCAAATGCAGCTGCTCCTAGTACTGCTATTGCTGCTATGAAAGGATTCAGCATGTTGCGTCACAGGATAATACAACATATTTTAGAGACGTACCCAAGACGCCCAAAACAACAAGAACAATGGTTCCATATCCTACTATAACCTTATCCGTCTTTGAACTAGATGTTAAAGCGGCGGTATCGCTCTGTGCTGACCCAGAGATTGAGGTTGTGAAGCTTGAGACAGCAATTGAGATTCTTGATTGTCCTGCAACAACGGTGATTGTCTGAGGAGCTAGAGAAGAAGTCACGAACACAGTTTGGGTCGCTGTAACGGATTGGATTGAGACGTTGGCTGTCTGTTGCCCTGATACTATCGATGTGACAACAGTTGTTTGTGATGGTCTCGTTGTGCTTTGCACTGCGGAAGCTGTGGTACTCGCCGCTTTCGTTGAGGTTGACTTCGAGGCTAACAGATTTGACGTTGTGAATCGACTCGAGGTTGGGGTGTCGTCGTTGTCTCTCCCGCCGTCCAAATCTTCATCTCGGGCGATGTATATTGGGGCTACCTTCTGTTTGACTCTCGATAACCTCGCCATGTTCTTGATACATCTCTTTAAAGGGACCAGCCGAGCCTCTTTATTGCAAGTCTATGTATGAATGTTCTTTCCAGGGGCCATCCCAACCTCTTAAGCGAAAGTGATGGAAGAAAAAGTAGAGTGATCTAAATGGGTTACATGAATCATATTTGTATCACACACTCTTTTCAGAAACAAAGTAAGTTTAGGTCGTGGTCTCTGTGTTAAGGATTTTGAGGCTAGAATAGAAGTGTCACGACTGCGGGGTGAACCCCGCGCAACGGACTCTGCAGAGATAGAATACCATTTCCCCAATAAAACAGTGCAGTGGCCGTGCACTCTGTAGGCCTTTGGGCTACGAGTCGAGTCCTGGGAATTTGTTAGGTTTTGTTTCAAACAGCAGAATGGTGGTTAGGGGCAGCGGTGTAAACCTTCTAGCATGTCACTATTGCACCCTATGGGGAATAGTTGAGACACAACACATCGCGACTGAAGCCTAAAAGACTCTGAGGATTCATTTTGAGTGATACTGGTGGCTTATAGTCCAGCAAAATTCTGTACGATGCCAACATCTCACACACGACAAGTTTCGAAGCCACTGGATCACTCATCCACAGTTCGGAAATTGAAAATGGCATCCGTTCTTCCCCTAATATCTACGTCTTCGCACCTGACTGTGGCCTAAGCAACTCATATCCATCTTCAGCAAACGACTTTGATAGCCGGCGGAAACAAGATGGACCAACAAACCCCCCCCAAATCAACAATGGCTGACCGGGCTTCTCGCCGCATATCTACAATGGAAAGCTGGAAAGATATGAGAACTAGCGTCTACTTTGCAGCAGGAAATGGCTTCCGAGCATTATCTGTCCAACAACAGTTCGATCCCGAAAGATACGACAATGATGAAAGAGTTGCAGAAACACGCATCTCGAAGCGGGTATCAAATCTCTACGCATACGGGACTTACCGCAACTACGACACAAGATCCGAGTACGGGGAAAGTAGACAATTTGACTTGGAGCAGAAGCAGATGGATTATGTGTACACGTCAGATAGTTATGCTCCTCCCCCTCCTCCACCTCTTAATCCATTTCATGACGCCCACGCCACAAGGTCAGAGGAGGGCGAGTCACGTAATCCGTTCGTAGATGCCTATAGAGTGGATCCCCCGTTGCATGAAAAGCTACCAATGACGCCTATGCCAGAGGAGCCGTATCACATCTTCTCACCAAAGCAGAAGTGGACTCTTGTCATTATCATTGGTGTGGCTGGATTATTCTCTGGACTGTCCTCGAATATTTTCTTTCCATCTCTAGATGCCATCTCAAAGGTCATTTTTCCCTAAGAAGCTGCTAGGAATTTCTCACTAACGTCAACGTAGGATTTAAATGTCAGCCTTAACACCGTGGCATTTACCATAACATCGTACCTCATCATTCAGGGCATTTCTCCTGTGTTCTGGGGTTCTCTCGCCGATACCTTAGGACGTCGACCAATCTATATGGCCTCTTTCAGCGTGTACATCATCGCCAACATAGCCCTCAGCTTCTCTCCCAATTTTGCTGTCTTATTGATATTCCGAGGAATACAAGCTGCTGGGAGCGCTTCAACTGTCAGCATCGGTATTTTTTCTCAGCCTTCTGACTTCCGATAAGTTCTCTGACAAGTCAAAGGAAATGGTGTGATACAGGACATTACCCCTCCTGCCGAAAGAGGTGCGTATATCAGCTTCTACCAGGCCAGTGAGTTGTTTCCTCCCTTTTCACGTTTAACAGCACTCTTACTTTACCAAAGTCCGTAATTTCAGCATCGCTGTTGGTCCCGTCATAGGTGGTATCCTTGCCAATTTCTTTGGGTTTCGGTCAATCTTCGTGTTTCTTTTGATCCTATCATCATTGACACTCATTGTTATCATTATGTTTCTGCCAGAAACATTACGCAGCATTGCCGGAAATGGCTCCTTGCGGTTGTCCGGCATTTACCAGCCTCTCATTCGTCGAGTGCAGACTGAACCATCGTACATGGAAGATCCCGACAAGGATTTCGTTCAAAAGAAAATCACGTTCACAACATTTATCGAGCCGCTCAAGCTTCTCTATCGGAAGGACGTCTTGTTCAATCTGTTATTTGGTGGTGTTGTCTACACAATCTGGAGTATGGTTACATCCAGCACCACGGGACTTTTCAAAGATCAGTTTGGGTTAAACGAGTTACTTCTAGGGGTTGTTTTCCTACCTAATGGTAAGCAAGATTCTCCTGCTGGTGCATGAGCTTGACTACCTAGTCAAATGCGGCTTTAATTTTGCTGATATTAAAGGTCATCTAGGTCTAGGGACGATCGTCGGCTCAGCCATCATTGGAAAATTGATGACCAATGACTTCAAGGCAGCAGAGGAAACTTACCGAAAAGTGAATAATTTGCCATTAAGCTACAAGCTCCCCTCGAAAAACCTGCCATCGAACTTCCCTATCGAGCAAGCCCGCCTTCGCCACCTCTCATGGATCACAGCCATCTTCGTCGTTGCTACTGGTATATACGGCTTTACGCTCTCTATACACTCCGTATTACTGCTACCAGATTGGATTGCCGTTCCTCTCTTCCTCCAATTTCTCATCGCCGCAACAAGCAATGCAATCTTTGCGCTCAACCAAACCTTGGTTTCTGATCTGTGTCCCGGGAAAGGAGCGAGTAGCACAGCAATTAACAATCTTGTTCGGTGTGGCCTTGGTGCTGTCGGTGTCGCATTTGCTGAGACCATGATTTTCTCGATTGGTGCCGGAGCAACCTTTCTCGGGCTTGCGCTCATAGTTGTTGCGTGTACTCCCCTAGTAGTTGTGAACTGGTATAGTGGGCCCGGATGGAGAGCAGAGAGAACAAATACGCAGGAAAACTAGCGAAATTGCGCAGACTCTACATTGATCGACTGTGGTTCAGGAGACCTCATAGAGAGAAGCACGTTCACTAAACAGATTACTGGTTTGGGCACACTGGGACTTCGGAGGTTAAGAAGGTTATTAAAAAGGTATAGAATAGATATAGATAGAACATAAACATAGTGTTATGTTACGGGAACTGCCTTTAGGGTTATGTGGAAGTGTTTAGAGATTTTTTCGAGATGATTTAAAGTCAACTTCGAGTAGGAATACGATAAGGTTATACCGGTAATTGGTTGCAATTCTTGTAATTATAATAATAAAACTAATGATTGTCTTAAGCACGAAGCTCTATATTGTAATGAAATCCATTCCCTTATATAGACCTTCGTTCTAACTTGAACAGCGGCGCGGCTCTAAACAGCAGAATGGTTTCTGAATGACCTGCTGTCCATCACGTGGTATATAGACATGTAACGGTATACTTTGAAGTCCATCGTCATACATATGTCCGAGTGCCGCATAAGTTACATTATAACAATTCCTAAAGAAATTCTTTAGAATTAATTTATATAAAGGCAAATAGTGTTTTGCAATACTTATCCTTTCAATCTCTATATATATTCTAAATGTACTAGCTATTCGGAGATTTTATAACTCGATATACCCACAAATGACTTCCTCTCCGGGGGCGGGGGGTGTGGAGGCGAGCAGTAGTACTGGTCGACTCCCACTTTTCAACTAGCGTCAAAACGCAAGCGCTAAATTATCGATGTCCCACCAAGCCCACAACTTTCCGATGGTTAACTTTCTCCAATACTGCAATCAAACTCAGCTTAAAATGATATCTCTGCTCTGTAATTTCCCACGTCTGCCTATTACATAGAAGCCTACTAACTGACGCTCTCAACTAGGATATTTGATCAAGTCAAGAATAAATATCGCGTCGGGCGTAAGCATTGGGCTCAGTGATTAGAATGATGTATTGTCCATCCAACTGCGTCAATGCAGGGAGCTGTATTCTATCTTCTGGAAGCTCTCGAACAGACTGCATATCTCTATTTATAGGTACGAACTGCTGGTTGGTTGCATTCGCCTCTCGCTTTGCAATAGTTAACATAGTTGAAGGGGATGAACCATTTGGCTGCAATGCTACTAGCATGTTGCGATTGACTTTACTTTTATCAGCCAAAATTTCAGGATTTCTTGCAAAGAAGACTTACAAGGTACCAATATCTGGGCCTCCACGTTTGTGCCGGGCTCACTCGTGGTATTAACCACCCACATGTACGAATTCAAAGACTGCGTACCCCCTGGCAGGCTCGCCGGATCAATACCTTGCTTCAGATCAACGTTCAACTTTAGCGCATTGTTAGATTGGACGGAGAATCGCAAGCCATCAACAAACTCCGCCTCTTGGATCCCAGGTCCTCCTGTTACGTTGACGGTTCGTGTAGCCCCTTGGCCATACTGAACGAAAATGTTCGATGTGTCAACTGATTTTCTTCCCACAAGCAAGTACTCCCCATCCAGTGAGGTCATCTTGATAATCCTGGTGTTGTTCTCGCTCCGGTGGACGTTCCGCGTGGACTCGTTGATAACCCAGCTCATTTTGTCAGGAGCAAGAGTTGCAACATAGGTGTTGGATTCTTGGACCCCTATCATCGTGAGCATTACTGGATCATATGGAATCTCGATCTTGGCGATGAGATCGTTGGCGGTCTCGTTCATTCGAATTATGTATGAATAGTTGGATAAGGCAACAAATTGCTCTCCGGTGGTACCAGTTACGAATTGTGCACCGAGTGGTGAGGTATTCTGTGTAACGACAAGAGTCCGATTCTTAGGAGAGAATAAATCAAGTGCGAGGCCATCTTGGAAATCTTGATCCGTCCTTTCCATCTGTAAGTATTAGTTCATGTGACGAAAACGGAGGAGCACGTGGCTTACAGCACCCAGAATTGGAACCGAATCTCCAAAGGTTGGAAGCTTCTGCGTCTCATTCTGTGCATCGACGACATGTATGAAATTGGAGAAACAAGTGATAAACAAAATAACCGTGCCAAGCCATCGAGAAGAGAAAGCCATTGTTACTACAGGGTGAGATGAAAACAACAGATTGGCACCTTGGCCACAACAAAAGTACAATGATAAAATAATTCGACTGATCTAGAGTTTCTGGGGATTGATATGTAAAATGTGGGTTAATAGGTTGCGATCGTGAAACCCGGGGACATTAGTGGCGTTGTAGAATATTAGCCAATTAGAAGCAAGGAATGACACACAAGTGTCCTAGCGAACATTCCAAATACATTACTAGATCTGATTATTGTATGAGAGTAAGCCTCGAAACACGCCATAGAAGTTAGAACTTTCATGGACACCTGGAACACTTTGCGCAGCCTATAGCCTCAGTATATTGCTGGTAGCTGAGGATTAAACGAGAAAAACTGAACGAATGGATATGCGCAGAAAAAGAAGCACATCATCACAGGATGACTTATCAGCGTTCAAAATTCTGGTTTGATTCTACTTGATTCTACTTTTCTCTGCATCAAGATAGTGTACCCTCATCGCGGCCTCTAGTTGAAGCCCTCGAGCCGAACGCACAGTGGAGGACCAAACATCGTCGACTACTGGACTAGCGTAACTCATCACCTTCCCAAATATAGCATCGCCGTCTCTACGACGTTCTAGACGCAATTGTTAGACTTTGTTAGATTGCATGCGAGGTGATGATTAAAATATTTGTTGGAGGTTTACCTCCTTAATATTCTTGTTATCCGCAAAAACTGAAATCGTATACATACAAAAAATGAGAACTTTCGTTTAATAAAGCTTGATTCAAGTAATTTCATTAGTTATAATGATTTTATAACTTTCTTGGTATTATAGCGTTCTAGCATAAAATATGGGGTTCTAATTAAATTTATTGAATATGTCTAAAAATGCAATATAAAAGAAGCTTGTAATCCTACTCTAACTCGTCGAGATTTAAGGTGGTAAACTAACCCTTTGTATCAATCAGCCCCGTAGCATATAGGAAAAACATTATTTTCGAAAATCAACTTTATCTTACAAATGAGCAGCCGCTGCTTCTTTGTTTCCTCGGGTGAACTGAGTTCTTCTACTCCTGACTTCTAGTTTTTATCCTCTAACATCAAGTTCCATTTCATTTTGAGATGAATTCTCACGAATCGCACATCTTTCGACTAGATCTAGCTGGTCCCCACTAGTTGTGGAAGGGAAAGAATTTCCTCTCGAACGTTCGTACCCTTTATTTGTCGATATCGATTTGGAATAATCTGCGTGATTGCCGGAGGCAGCAGACTGGCGCGCTTTTCTGTCTTTCAAAATCTTCACGATAATTGGTTTGGACATCGGGATTGAGGCCACAAGAACCCATGTATTAAGTTCTGTAGCTGCCCAATGTCCGGCATCGACATCATCGACTTTAGAACTACCCTTAGCCAAGTAAAGAGAGGTACAGATCAGGGTTAACTTACAAGAAGGGTCAGGTCCAGGAAGCTTTTCAGCGTGAACAAGTCTCCATAATCGGAGGTAAGATAGTATTGTCACTCTGTTTTTTTTTTGTTGTTTTTTTTGAATTAGACGATAGGTTGCGTGAGTTTGCGAGGAAAATTTACATCAAACCCACTAGGAATGTGCTGCTGATGGAGATGCGATGCGACAGAGATTTTTCGATTGAAGAAATGAAGTATACTGGCATCAAAAGCACTACGATATCGAGTGCAATTGAGAAAGCTTCGTTGGATAGGAAGAAAACCGGATAATTTATGCATTTTCCTTCAATTGTTGCATCCTCGAATGATGCGATCAGTACACATAAGAAAATCCCAGCAAGCACCTACACATGAATCAATAAGACGGCAAAAGCAGAGAGCATAGAATCTTACAGCAGCTGTCATCCAAGCAATATTTACTGCTGCGGCCACAATGAATGGCATCTGACCCTTTGGGACGCGAAAGATTCTCCAGTATAGAGCAAGAAGGGAGGGTTTGCTGAAAGTCAAAGCAATTGAATACATTATTGTGGCCACATATAAGCCTTTCACAAAGGACATGAGATGAGGTATATCCATCTTTCCTATGTGTTGACCGTAATAGTTATGCTGGACCTCGAAGATTAGCAAAGCGCTATATGCAATTGAAAATGCCTAAGTTCCTATGTCAGTCTCAAATCATCTTCATGTGTTTTGGAACTTCCGCTCTTACGGCGCCGATAAGAATCAGGTAGTCATCAACCCAAAACTCTATTTTCGTCCACCATCTTGAGAACACGCGAACAAAGATTGTGATGAGAGAGATGCCAATGAAGACCCCAGAGACAGAGTTTATCTTAGGTCCCTCATTAGCATCTAGATTGACGCCGGGATATACTAGAGTATGAAAAACTCCGGCAGTAGACATGCTTGAGTTTGAGTTTGAGTTTGAGTTTGGATTTGGACTGTAGGTTACGCTTCTGAACAAGCACGAGTAATAGGAACACGAGCTCTTACTTATCAACTTCTATTAACCAGGTTCCATGGGGAATCAGGGAGACTTGTGTAGCATAGACTACCTTTGGTCCTGCTTATTTAATGTGGTTTTGATGGGCAAGCGGCGTAGTCTTGGGGGTGGGGAGCATTGCATATATATGCTGATTCTTTGCTTACGATGTGAATAGAATGTACGCACATGAAAACGAGACTTTCATCAAATTGCTAATTTAAGGTAGCAACAAGTATTTTTTTATCGCACAGGCGTGAGGTTTTATCAACCACAGGAGCAAATGGGTACGTTATAAATAAACATCATTTTATCCTAATCATCCCTCGCCGCAGCCTTCATACAAGATCCTTTGATTACACGGCATGACGCCGGAATCAGACTAGAAAGCTGCCGTTGCTTCTTGCCAGGAGGTAGTTCTTGCGACACTCGTCTTGATCTGTCTCCGCACTACGATTCAAAGCTTCCCACTTCGGATGATTCTTAAACAACCGAATAACACCACCGTACTGGTGAGATGTATTGCGTTAGCTAGATATGCTCACTAGACTTAGTGCTAAAACAAGGGGTTGACTTACGCTCGCTTCGTCAAGCGTAAAACGATGATAAATTCCCGCAGGCAAGACAAGCAAATCTCCCGCTTCGGCCTTGATGCGAACCCACTCGTCCTTTGCATTACGAACGTCGAAATAACCAACACCTTTGAGAAAATGACGAATCTCTTCATCTTGATGAAGATGCTCCATGAAGAATTTTTTAAGAAGTGCCTCAAACGCAGGACCCATAGTCTCTGGGGAAACTTCGAGTTCATCGCGATTTGTATAGCCGCGAGTAGCTGCGATGTTCTCGAGCATTTCTTTTGAGTCAGTAAAATCTACTGGTAGACTGAAGTAAAGTACACCGAGGGCTGTGAGACCTTCTACTGATAGGGGGGTTTCCTGAATCGTGTGGGAGACGAGAATCGCCCTGGTAGGCACGGTCTTAGCTTCGTTTCCAATCCTCGCAGGCATATGCTTACAGGTTTGTTGTCATCGAGGTAAACCTTCATTTTGCGTTGTGATGATGGTTTTGGTGTTGTTTGTGGTGTTGGATGTGGTGTTGGACTAAGAGGCTTTCGATACCTACTACAACAACCTGCCGTTTATAAGGCCAAGACCTGTTACATCATCTTTATTCACTGCTCTTAGATCTTTTCCAAATAACTAATTTTCAACTTGTGATTCACATGACGGACGGTCACCTATTCCTCTGTGATTATTCCCCGCCACACTCAAACTTCTCGAACCGTTACACAACAAACATCTCTTATTTGCGACTGTCCGTTCATCTGACCACGCCATTCTTTGCCGCATCTAGTATCTTCTATTTGGTAGTACATCATACTCGGCGTCGTATCTTCGGGTCTGCAACTTCCAATCAGCATGACGCAGCTTGGCTAAATTTATTCAAACGGCCTAGTGTTAGAGTCTTGTGGCTTTTACTCAGAAAGATCACTTTGATGTTATAAACAAAATTCAAGCTGTGACGACTGTGTTCCCTAAGCTCAAATGAAAGGGCTCAATATTGGTTTAATCTGACCTTGGAATTATAAACTACATAATTGACTACAGGAAGTATCCCCTTAGGGACGATAAGCACCTTTTTGTGGCCCGTGCACGCGCGCGAATCGCTTTAGATCAAGACCTCCTTAATACAAGCCTTTTTGACGGCTTTCGACTATCGTCTTACTACAAAGCATCGTGGCTCATGACCTATTTACAAACAAGAGTTTAGACTAACAGAATACATATGATATAGTCTATACAGATTAAATTATTCAAAGCTAGAATCTAACTACAAAATAGAAGTGATGTGCATAATGGATTGCGTGAGTGTATGTGCTATATCTTTCTAATACAATACACAAAAATTCCGCAACTAATCAAACTCCTGCTCTAATTTTGGTTCCAATTCCAGTGCTAATTCCATGTTACTACACGCAGCTCGACCTTCCTCAAATCAAATTACCAATCAATACCGCCTCCCTCCCCCCCTACTCTAACTTCTCTTCTCTTTTCCGCCGGCTTTCTCCCCTTCATCCTCCCCCCATCCATCGCAAACCCAATCTTCTCATCCAACTTTTTAAACTGTCTTTCGCCCGCCTCTCCTTCTCTCACTTTCCACCTCTCCATTCCCAACACTCCATCTAACTCATAAACCGGCGGTAACTTCAAATAAACCCACCCATCCTCTCTCTCCTCCGCCTCAAAAATCGCAATACTAACTTCCTCATCATTCTTACACCTCCCCTTATCCTCTCCATTCAAATTAAAATTCCGCTTATGATTCGGACACGAGATCCAAAGATTCTTTTCCTCCATCCCATCACTCCCAGGAATAGAAACCGAACCATGACCCGAATCTCCAATCAACCCATCGCTCAATACAAACGCCCTCTTATGTGGACACATCTGCTGACTAGCCAACCACCTCCCCTGCACTCTCCAAACCGCCAACTGCGTATCCCCCCTCTTCACACTTGCCGAAATCCCACTGGGCGCCTCATCCGCGCCCTTGAAATGATCTTTCTTAATCACCCTCTCCCAACTCAAACTCGTCCACTTCACGTTCCTAAAATCCGTCTTCGCGCTCTCCTTCGTCCAATCCACCGGTCTGGTTTGTCCCCGCTCAACCTGCACATCCATATTTTCAACCCGATCATCACAGTTATCAAACTGATTAAATCTCTTTCTCATTTCCTCGTCCTCAATCGCAGCTTTCCATTCATCAAAGAAAGTCCCCACTAACTCCTCCATCTGCGCTTCCAAACTCGCACAAATACCTAGCTTATCTTCCAAGATAACTTCGCGGAGGTATTTGATCCCGCCCGGAAGAGCTTCCAGCCATCGAGCTGTACGTTGCAGTTTATCGGCTGTGCGGATATAGAAGATGAGGTAGCGGTCTAGGATCGAGATAACCGAGTCTGGGGGGACATCTTTGGCTAGGAGTTCGCTGTGGCGGGGTGAAGCGCCACCATTTCCGCCCACAAAAATATTGAAACCTTTTTCTGTGGCTATGAGTCCGAAACTATTATAGCAGATTAGTATTGATATTCAAGAAATAAACAAGAAGCAAGCCATTGAAAACAGAAACGAGGAAACTACTCTTTATTCTGCGCCTCAGCACATTCCCTTACACAGCCACTTACACCCCCCTTAATCTTATGCGGCGATCGAATACTCTTATACCTCTCTTCCAATCTCACCGCCATTCCCACCGAATCTCCAATACCATATCGACACCAAGTAGTTCCCACACAACTCTTAACCGTCCGCAAACTCTTCGCATACGCATGACCAGATTCCATACCTCCTTCTACCAGCTCCTTCCAGATCGCCAAAAGATCCTGTTTTTTCGCTCCAAACATGTCGATTCTCTGACCGCCGGTAATCTTCGTGTAGAGACTATATTTCTTCGCCACACTCCCTATAAGAATCAACTTATCCGGCGTGATCTCGCCCGCAGATACTCGTGGCACAACAGAGAAAGTACCATTTCGTTGAATATTCGCCAAGAAACGATCGTTAGTCTCTTGAAGCCCATGCAGCGAACGCGAAATAACATGTTTGTTGTAGAGCGAGCTGAATATCGATCCGATCGAAGGCTTACACGCTTCACACCCTAGACTCTCGGGATCATTGCCTGCTTCCCGCATTACCTCCGCGAGGGTCTTTAACCCCTTGACGGAAATGATGTTATAGAGATCTGCGCGTGAGTAGTTGAAATGAGGGCAGATGTGATTTTTTACTTCTTGACCCATGGATTTCATCGTGCTGTTGAAGATGCTGGTTACCAGGGGCATGCAGCCACCACAACCTGTTCCAGCTTTGGTGCAGGATTTGACGTCTCCGATGCTTTTGCAAGTGCCTTGCTTGACGGAATGAACGACGTCTCCTTTGCTGACATTGTGACATGAGCATATTTGAGTGTCGTCGTCCAAGTCGTCTCCACCTTCATCACCTTCCTTGCTGGCTCCGAGAATGAATTGACTAGGTGGTACATCTAGCATTTTTTGATTCTTCACCATAGGCACCAGCTTGACATAATCTTTCGTGTCTCCAATCATCATACCACCCAAGAGGTATTTTCCATCCATAGTAAACAAATATTTCTTGTAAATAGCTTGAAACGGATCTTTGTACGTAAGTGCCTTAACCGGTGAAGGCCTAGGTTCAGTCGTCAACTGCATCGAAGAATCCGAAGAATCTCTATTCTTCTTCTCGGCCCTGATCGGTAAATTCTTAGGCCCATCTCTATCCGCGAAGAAATCGCCAAAACTTGCCACCTCCACTCCCAACAACTTCAACTTCGTGCTGAGATCGGGTCGCTTAAATTTCCGATACGCATGCATCTTCGCCTGTGTCAAGTTGAAAGACAACACATCTGCCATCTCGATTCCCGGCGCGATCAGTCCGAAAGTCTGATTTTTCCAACTCGCACACTCGCCAATTGCGTAGACGTCTTTGACACTTGTACTCAAATCATCTCCGACGACGATTCCTCCGCCGCGCTCCGCGCATTTCATGCCTGCTTGACGGGCAAGTTCATCGCGAGCCCTGATCCCAATGGCAAAACAGATCGTCGAGCATTCCATCGCTTCTCCGTCTTCAAACACTACCCCCTTCACCTCATTCTCGTCCGTCACCTCGATCTTCCCAACGCGTTTGGACAGCATGACATCCAAACCTAATCCTCTCACCTGTTCCACCACCAAGCCTCCCGCATCAGAATCAAGCTGGCGACTCAAGACCCACTTATTCCGCTCAATCAGGTGTACCTTCTTATAATTCTCCAGATCCATCATAGCTTTCGCAGCTTCGAGCCCCAAGAGTCCTCCACCCACTACAAGCCCATGCGTATCCTTTTTCTGATTCGAAAACCGGATTAGATTCTCCAAATCCTCTATATTCCGATACACAAAAACACCCTTGGCATCATGCCCGGGAGTTTGCGTCGGCACCAGGGCATCGGAACCCGTCGCCAGAACTAGAATATCATATGCGACCTCTTCACCCGACGCACACGTAACTTTCTTGCTCGAGTGACAAATCTCCACCACCTTGGTATTGATATGATAATTGAGAGAACCGGCCGGAACATCCGCATACTATTCCCAGCATTAACTCATAAAATCGTGTGCAAGAACCCAAAAGTAAAAAAAAACGTACCCAAGTCTTCGGATTCAGATACAAATTCTCCACAATCCGGTGTTGAAAGAAACTCGTCAGACCAACTCGATTGTATGCGAGATGGGATTCTTCGCCTATAACCACGATGTCGTATTCTCGCTTCTTCGCATCCAATTTCATCAGTTTCTCTCTGGTCGGTCATTAGCACACCTCCTAGAATCGAAACTTATCCAACCAAGCTAAACATCAACTCCAACGAAGAAACCCCATATCCAGTAAAGCATAAATAGTCAATGAAAACTCACATAAAAGCAATCCCCACCATCCCCAACCCAACAACCACCACTTTCTTCCTCTCCGCCCCTAGATTCTCATTCCCAGATGCATTTACCCCATCCAAACCCCCATTCCCATTCCTTAAATCTTCTACCACCTCAACCGGAACCTGCGATTGCAACTTCGACATGCCGATATTCGATATTCCTGCCCCAGGACAAGAAAAAGGAAACTCTTTGATTTTTCCCAATCCGTAGTATTTTCGACTGCACTGAAGAGAAGTCCACTATACGGTTATATCCCAATCGAGTCTCTATACACGTAGATATATATACGTTTATGTACAAGTATATTAATATACTTTCATCACCGTAACAATAATAAACTGTTCACTTGAGTTTCGATGAAAAAAGAAGAGAAAATAAGACACCCACCCACACACACACACGTATATATATCAAGAAGAAAAGCAATAAAATTTGATGAAAACAAGGGATCAAAAATGAAGGAAAGGAAAGGAAAGGAAAGGAAAGGGAAGTACACAGTATATAGATATATACATGCATACATACACTTATCTCCAAGCCCGCCACAATCTCTCTATCAATCGCAGGAAAACATCGAAAGATACCGAGGAAAAATGGCATACAGATCGATATCAAAATCAAAATCAAACCCAAAATCAAACAAATCAAATCAAATCAACCTTACCTCACTCACCAACCAATCCATCCATCCCTTCAATCCCTTCAATCCCTTCAATCCCTTCTCTCCCTCCCAATCAACACCCAATACCCAATACCCAATACCCAAAACCCAAAACACCTTCCCCAATCCAACACCCCTTCCCCCCTCAAACCTCCTCCTCGGAAACCCTTCAACTTCCCATCCCAACATCCCATCTCCCCCCCCTTCCCCCCTCCATCTCCCATGCACTTCCCACTTACCAATCAAACGCCCTCAAAAACAAACCCCAACCCCAGTTCTCCCCTCAATTTTAACAATGACATTTCCTCGGCCGGTCAATCATCAATCATCAACCACCAACCACCAACCACCAACCACCAACCACCCATTCTATCCCATCCTATCTACGATTATCAATTTATCACACAGAAAGCACGCACAGATATACATACTAGGTACATACACCACAAATGAAAACACTTCCCGATAAGAAAAAGCGCAAGGTGGGGCTCCCGACAACGAAACGATACGAAAACGATAAGAAGATTCCTTTCCCGTCCAAACCTTCACTCTAATTGGTCAATTGGAGCATTTCCATTCTCTACCGGAGAAGGATCGGAAATGCCAATTCTGGAGAATTTTTAGTCAGTGGTTTGCGTGTGAGTTTACTTCGTAGACGGGGGCAATGATGATGTGGGTAAATGGAGGGAGGGTCATCAAATAGCTGTACGGGAGTACCTGTGCTATGCGTGTCGGAGCAAAGATTGTTCTATCTACGAGTAGGTCTGTAAGACAAGATGGAAGAAATGAAAGGATAAATCAACAGGCACAAGATGATTGATTGTATTAAGAGTCTCCAGGGCTGTTAAGAGAAGTACATTTTTTATTGAAGTAGAGCCTATGCATTTACCCACAAACCAAAGCAGCGCAACGCAGTGCTCTATGATACTATCGCATCTAGATTAAACCTCAAACGCCAATCAGTCCCGACATTCGCTTACCTGGTATCCATGACGATTTAATAACGAAAAATATTAATACCCCTTGTGCCGTTCCAAATGCCAAAATTTTGTGCCGGACAAAAGATTTTGTCAGGTCTTGTCAATCCACGCTTTTGAAGAAAGTTGCAAGAAAAAAAAAATGAAAATGAAAATAATCATCAGCATCCTTCACTGTCACCGTCATCACTCATGCTACCATAGCCCGCATCGTTTTCCATGCCAACAACTTGTGCAGTAATGGTTAAGCATTTCTCCACCATTTCTCTCTTCAATTCGGTCTCCAAACCACTCTTCTCACCATCTGGGCCACCGATCCAAATTCTGAGGTTGCCAGCAAATTTTTCCAACGAAGTAGCACAGGTCGAGGCAATCAAAGTATGTTCATGCATCTTTTCAACAAGCTTGTACATTGCCGTGAAACCAAGTAAAGTGAGGTTGACCGGAACAATAGAGTCGATGATTTTTGGCGCGTTCTCAGGATTGGCTGGCATAGGAAAGCGTTCCAAATAAGCAAGGGCCATTGCGCAATGGATCGAAGTTCGAATGTCTGGTAAATTGGCGACAGATGTTTTGATGTTGACATTTGATGACACGGGCATCTTTTGTTGTCCTGCACCAACTGCCTTGAGAGCCATAGCGATACTTTGGCCACGCTTTTCCTTGACAAGGACGGCACGCGCAACGAGAGCACGAATTTGAGCTCCAGATCCAGGAGGTGCTGTTTGGATGGCAATCTTGATAGCATCGGCAATGGTTTTGTAACTTGCAGCATCTCCATCCTCTACCTCCAAACTCTTCGCCAATGCTTTGCGGAGTGTGAGACTTGACCACCAAGCTGCAACAGCATCAAGAGGGCTCCGAATAGCAAAATCATCCACTACGCGGTCCATACCACAGTTTACCTTTGTGTTGCTGGTGGTGGGTAGATTCCATGCAAGATTATAAGCACGTTGTACAACGGCATCGACCAAGACATCATCGCACTTATGCTCAAGAAGGGTAGCGAGGTGTTCGGGTAGCTCATCATGTTGTTCTTTGGACTGGGAAAGAACTTGCTGCATTTGTTTTGCTTCGTTCCATTTCCATCTAGCCATTTCCTGAGCACACTTTCGAATGATTTTTGATCCAGTGAATCCAATCTCGTTTAGCTCCCATAACAAAACACGAATGTGTAGTGCTTTGAGCATTAAGCGGGCTGGAGTGTCAGGAAGTGTACCAGAGGCCAATAAAGTCAATGTCAAACGGCTTTTGCTGACCTCAACATCACCACCAGTCAACTGTGCGTCAAGAGCGATAGTCCAGGCTTTAATTCGAGCAACCTCTTGCTCTTCGGTGGTACCAGTCAAGAAAGAATAGAGCGAAGGTCCAACAATGTTGCGACAGGTGAACTTGCCAACCTTCATACACAAAGCAGCTGCCTCAAGAAAGAAGTTATGCCTTGGCACCCAGACTGTTTGAACAGCTGTAAGCCAAGCCTGTCTTCTGACTTGTATAGAAGAGGCGAGTGAAGGCGCGGCGGCTAAGTTGGCGGACTTGGAACCTTTTGCATTCGGCTTAGGGCTGAACAACGAAGGTAAGAAAATGTAGAGGAAGAGACCGAGTGCGAGAGTATATTGAAGGTAATGTATAGTCTGGCTTGCTGGCAAGTGATATCCCTGGAAGTTGACCTCCAACATTGAATGAAGACCACGGCTCAAGGCTTTAAGGAAGTGAGTAGGAAGGGCCATGAGACCACGAGCGCCGGGTGTATCAGTATCTTGCTCTGCCTCTGAGAACCCTTGCACAATCATTAGACCAGCAAGAGAGCCGACCATGAGCTTGCCAAAGTATCCACCATTCCATGCGTTAGGACCGATTGGTTGGCGGTTCTGTGTGACATATTGCTCGGGAACAGCAAAAGTTTCTTGACTCATTTGCCCATGTAGTCTGCGCATAGCGTCTGGTACAGGTATCATACCTTGATCGGAGGAAGGTGAAGGACCTGGTGTGTTGAAATCTTGAGCGTATTGATATGGATTCATTGGTTGTTGCATGGGACCGAAACCCATAGATCCAGATACAAAGAGCTTCTCGAAAGCGTTGATGCGTGTCTTCATTTGATTATTCTCATCCTGTAAACGTGAATTGCGCTTCTCTAAATGCCGAATGTATTCAGTGGCCTTGGAGAGGACCTATTTAGAGGAATGATTAGCATGGCATGAGCCTTACAGGTAAAATGAAGACATGAGATAGTGGCGTGATTTTGAGACTCGCATGACATGTTGTCCAACTGATTGTCATATCCGCAGATACATCGACTCATATTTGCATACTAGAAACAAGAAACAAGAAAACAACGTACTGTAGCTTTGTTCAATTTATGAGCCGGAGTTAAACCTTGTAATTCGTCTCGATCATCAGCTGTCACTTCACCACGAGCGCTCTTTTGCATTATCCGCAGACTCGGTACACTGTCCCGGAGAGCCGCAATCTTGTCGTTCAGGTTATTGCGATATCTCTTCTCAATCATATTGTGCGCCGTCGTCTTCTTGGCAGGTGGGTGGTGTCCTCCAGACTCGTCGTCGTCCTCATCGTCGACCTCGGCCGAGGATTTGCGTTTGCGACTCATATCTTGCGATTCGGGTGAGGAGATCGAAGTGGTCTTGGAAGTGATCGAGACTGGACTGTGTTGAGTTTGGTACTGCAGGTGAGGGGGCATGGCAATATCGCGCAATTTTTCTTGTTGAGCTGCCGTAAGTCCACCGTTCGAGTTCATAGTATTGTACTGCGGACCTATATCCTGAAGGTCTTCTTGTTTCGGCATCGGGGGATCCCAATTCAACGGGGTCGAATATAGTCCACCGTCGTAGGGCGGGGTAGTCTCGTCCCAATTTGTTGGAAACAAAGGGTCGTCGTCGAGGCCTAGTGAATCTGCAAAGATGGCTGTTTGATCAAATTCATTGGAAGATTCGAGACCGGCTGATATTCCCGATAACGTCGGATCGAAAGAAGAATTCTCAGATACCATGATTTGGCACGTCACCTCGAAAGGTGTCTTATTATACAATAGGGTATGCTATGTGGAATCTGGGGATGTGGTGAGAAATTTGATAAAGTGGTTTGATAATTTGGAAGGTTCTGAAGATCAAATCAGATAAGACAAGGATTGAAATGTGTATAAAATGTACGAATCGAGACAAGTTTGCGAATGGGTGAAATGAGTGAAATGATTGGAAGTGAATGATGGTATAGAAGGAATGGATTCTGTAGTTCACCATTTGCTGTGAGAGTGAAATTTGTTAGCATTGGAGGGAATTGGGGGAATTGGGGGAATTGGGGGAATTGGGATATATTGAATTATCGACCGATAAGCCGTGGTGGTCTGATTTTATCGTATGATGGGCCGTTGCGCAGGAATTTAGTGGGAAATGAAAGGAGACTAACGATATTAGGGCAAGTGCATAAGAATACAGAAGTCAGAAGTGAGAATACAGATGTTGCATGAAAATCACTTGCTTTTCTTTGTCAAATACCTGGTACGTACTGAGGTAACGAATGATACCCAAGTATTTGCTTATTATGATGATTGCTTTTCTTCTTCTTCTTCTTCTTCTCCTTCTTCGATTGCGAAATCTAGCTGCAACTATCTTCTTGGATATTACTGTGAAGCTGGTCAATCAATCTTACATATCGTCAATAACTGAACAGAAGGTATACCAGGTAGGTAATAGCTATATTCTGGAAGGGATCGAACACAGCCAGCCCAGCGAGAACAATGGTTTGAGGATTCTAGAAACCTTCATAATATTGCTTGATGACGCTCCGCTAGGCCACTGCCGTGGAGGCTTTTTCGCTCCGCTCTATGGATGGCTGAAAAGAAAAGGAGAATGAGAAAGAAGAAGCTTAAGGAGAAGCTCAATAGGTACCGGTATATGTGCGGCAAATTGCAGTGGATCCGATCCAATCGAATACACCAAGAACATATCTACCAAGGTAAGTGAGGACTTAGTCGAGGAGCTTGTTTTAGCCAAAACGCGGGGTGAACAATTGCAGGTAATAAGTGAACAAAGAACGAACCCTAATGAATCATTAGCTACGAGGTGTACTCTCTAACCTCAAGGCCTTGTAAGACCGAGGTACGCATTTTGATTGTATCTCGCTGTCGTTAATGTGGGTTTCTATGCATGCATGTCTTGAACATGAAAACTGTTATATCCTGCATTCAGTCTGTCCATTTCAATAAACCTAGAACGACGACCTCGAGAAGCCTTCCCAGTGGAGTTGCAGATTTCAATCATGTAATCATCTAAGACGCAATGTGATCTGGCTGAAGATGTCAGACTAGATTTGAGGTACACCATGCGAAACAAGCGAAGGAATGCCGTTTGGATACGTGGGTAGTTTTGTGTACACGTTGCCCTGAATCAAGTGTCTTTCAACCAATCGTGCTGTCATAAGTAAACATGCCTTGAAGACAGTGTAGTTCACACTATCAAATAAAGCTATGTGTCAAGATTGGGGAAGGTGCTCTTTTGATCGGGTTATCTGAAAAATTCAAAAGCCGCTTCAACATGTATTTCTTGCTATCATAGTCCACCCAGGAAGCTTTCCTTGACAGTTTGAGCTATATGAAGCAGCCGTTCAATGGCGATACGCCTTCGTGATACTTAACCTGTTAGCATGTTCTTTGTATTCTCGCTTTCTATTCTTAAATCTACAAACGTTATTATTCCTTTAGCATTGATATTCATGACTACTCTATTTGCACCTTGTACATCTTTTGTATCAAGTCCAATCGGATTGCTCAAAGGAAATCCTTTCTCATTATTTCAAGATACAAAAAGATTCAAGTCCTCCAGGTGACACAGCAACAAAAATGACGACAAATATTGGTTTGCAATATTCCTTAGCGATGGTTCACGGCGAGGGGAACGTTATGGTCTAATACTAGCTTCGTGAACTTGTCATGCGCTTTTATACTTATGATTCAAGAAAAACTTGAAGCATACTGGCAGATATTTTGATGACGTCGATTTATTCGATTCAAGTCAATTCATGAGCCATGAACCAATTATTGACTTTTTATCTATGCAAATGCTGCACATTCCCCGTTGTTACAGGCCAAATGTCAATGATGAATTCATCAGAAGTTTTCCAAGTTTGTACTCTGTTATGTTTTCATCATTGACGTTCGAGACTCAAGGTCGGTAAACTCAAAGGACAGACAGAGACTCAAATTCCTTAACCATACGCCTTCTTGTGCTTGTCCCTCTGCATGCCCGATCCAAATCATTTGAATGATTTAAGGCGGATTCTGTCGGAAAATAGAACGATTGCCGAGTCCGGTTGTTGTTATCTCCCCGATAAAGGTGGATTTGGCCCGCTAACAAGCAGGATATCTCCTGGTAATTCTAGAAAGTGGGGTCAACCGACAAACGGCTCCCTCTTTCTCAACCTTTTCATTGATAATCCGGGGAGAAAATCATGTAATGAACATAGCAATGAGTGCTTGAACATGGGGTGCATTAGGATGTCAATTAGTAAATTCATTCGGCATCCCACCTCGGCACCCTCAAATCAACGGTGACGATGAAGTGTCGTCAACTAATGACCCACCGATGATTTGGTCGGCGGAGAAGATAAAAGTATAATATTCTTTGCGGCATTTCCTTTGCGTGCCACCTTATCTATAAGTAGCAAGGTATTTTCTTATTTCAAAAGTTCCCTAGACGTTATTCCGCCTATTCTCTGTCGTCACTATGGATTCTGCTAAGTTCTCTCAATTCAATGTTTCGGTCAAAACCTACAAGACAGTCCGAGACCATGAAATCCAAGCCTACATTCTCGTACCCAAGAATATATCTCCTGGACCCCATCCTGTGATCGTGAAAATTCACGGTGGCGGCTCGGTAAATAGCTCTCGAATGCCCCTCCAATTTACAGATTCTAACCCCCAATCTAGGTAGCTGGATCAGGAGTCTTTGCTCCTTGGTTTGCCCAATACCTCCTGACCCTCGCGCTTCGAGAATCTGCCATCATTATCGCGCCAAACTATCGACTCCTCCCAGAATCAACTGCTCCAGAAATGATCTCCGATATCTCCGATTTCTGGACCTGGACGCGTACATCCTCATTCCAATCTTCTCTTCCCCCCAATATCACAGCCAACCTTTCTCAGACTCTCTTGTATGGTGACAGTGCAGGTGGGCATCTCGCCATGCTATCCTCACTAACCGAACCGGAAAATACCATAAAAGTATGCATAGCCGCATATCCGCAACTAGATATCGAAGATGAGTGGTTCTGCGAGAAATTCGAAAAACATCCTTTTGGTCTACCTATGCTCCCCACGGAGATCTTGGATAATCATTTAGAAAAGATGGAGAAAGATCCAAGTAAACGAGAACTCATTTCCGATACAGTAGATCCATGGGAGAGATTGCAACTTATTCTTGTGGTGTTGCAGCAAGGAAGATACAAAGAGATGTTTGGGGAAGAGGAACATGTATATCCTTTCCGAGCTCTCGAAAAGATATCCAGAGATGAGGTGAAGAGAAAAATGCCCTTCCTTTGGCTATACACCGGAGAAAAGGATACTGTTATACCTGTTGCCGGCATCACAAAGTTTGCTGGAAAATGGAGGGAGGCGTTTGGAGAGGAAGGGTTGATGGCACATGTTGAAGAGGGTGCAGACCATGGGTTTGATAATGAGGCAGATATTGATGCGGGGTGGCTGAAGGAGAGATTGGAGAAGGTCGTGGGAGTTTGGTTGAAGTAGAGGTGATGGAGTATAATTCATATTTTTATTCAATCAGGCGCTATTGATGTATGTGGACAACATTGTGACCGTCATAAAACCCGGCTCTTAATTCAAGTAACCGTATTTGTTGCTGATGTGGTCAGGGAAGAGTTCATCCATGGAGGTCAAGTCTTGATACTCTATTGGCCTACGGAAATACAAAATGTCACGTGATGCTGATCATCTAAATCTCGTTTGTTGATTATAATCTCCCAATTGTCCGAGAGTTTTTGCAGAGATTCAACTCATGGATTTTGGAAATTGTGAGACTACTTCTTGAGTAATTTTCGCAGGTCCTACAATTGGCCAAAAGGTGTGCCTACACGTGATGAGGCACCAATCGGTGCCGAGGCGCTAGCGCTATCTATCTCCTAGACGTTTCTAATTATATCTTTGAAGTATGTATCTTTAAAATTCACTGGTGAATTATTTTGTGAAAGGCAGTATCACAAACCTAACACTATACACCTTGGCTTCTACTAGAAACAGGAATTTCGCGCTCGAGAAATTGTAGACCGTGAAGGCCGAGGGATTGTGCTTAGCAAGTTGTTTCAACTGGAAAAAATGGACCTTGGCATGATTCTACGCTCCGTAAACCTTCACGATCAGCACCAATAAACCACACTCGCCAGCGCTATCTTCGGGAGTGGACATTCTTCAAAGACTCACTGACCTTGGGAAATTGGTATATACTCTCTCGGACGTCATGGCTAGAATTATTTACCAAGATACGAGGGGGAAAGCTGTTGGTAACCCAAGGTAGAGCACATTCCGCCACCGAGCAAACATGAAAATTAAGTATGGGCGAAGCAACGCTACTTGTTTGCTATCGGATATTCCCCACACTGTCACTGCCTCGAGATCATGTGTGCTCATTGCGGTGATCTATTATTGAAGCTCTTGGAGCGGTTTAGATCACCGAATAAGTAAGTTATGAAAGAGTTAGACATATTCGCCTTACAACAACGTTATTATTTCCATTCGTCTAATTCATTCTTCTATTCCATTTTTACTTTTTTGGAACTCGATAAGCATCGAATCACTTCAGCACTTGATTCTTCTCTGGCAGTTTCGACGATTTTACAGTCGTGGAACCCCAGAGGAAGGTCGTGGCCATGTGGCTTTGAGACTTAGTAAGTTTCATTCGAAACCGTGCCTCCTGGTAAAATCAACGCACAGAACAACCCCAATCCTATCACGATGTGCACTTGTCCAATGACTATTGTTATTTTAGTTTTAGCCTTTGGTAGAACATTCAATTTTCTCAATGCCGGTACCTGTCATTGTTAGAGCTTGCGTTACAGTTGCCTTCAACACTTGTCCAAGTTGGGGCAGTCATTCCAAATTGAGTAGATTTCGGTGCCCTGATCGTCGTTTAGGAATCCACTCATTCGGTGTTTTCTTGAATCCCACGATACTGCTAGAGGCATGACAGCCTTACTATGCACCCGTCTTGTATTCTAGTCTCATGTACTTTTCATCAACCTTAAACATCTTCGATATTAATAATTACTGTTGTTGACGACGCTGGCGCCGAACATGAGCTCGCGTTGATAGCTAGGAACATAATGTTCACTCATGATTTTCTATTCTTGAATTCACACCCATAGATTGGGCTTTTACATTTTAATAATTTCTTTTGACGTTGTCTCGTAATGGCTATACCGGATGCTATTCAGACGCTGTCTGCTGCTTTCTCATTGTTAGTCCATCTACCTCAAGTATCTTTGATCATTTTCGCTAACAATCACTAAAGTGGTATTCTTCTGCAGGCAGCAACAGGCGCATTACTTATATATGCTAGGGGTCATGGTTCAAATATCTTCAAGGACGGCCGGAGGCTGGTCCTCGTTCTGTTCTTGTTGTTTTCTGTTCTATGGGTACAGATTGGTTTTCTAGAGCTCTTAATGCCGACGACGGGTATTGGAGTTTGTCAGGTTGGGTTAATATTTACAACAGGCTTCGATCAGTTGGCAAGGGTGGCAATCGAACAATTTTTGTTGTGGTCGATTGGGCATGGGACGAAGATCACCGTCATTCGAGTTATCTTGCAAGGACTATTGGTTGTTCGATTGGTTGTGGGAGGCGTCTTGGTCGGAATCACTCGCCCTCAGTTTTCACCTACATGTGTCGCCGAAACCTCGATAATACCCGTGGCAATTATAGTTCTAGTTATGGACCTTATCATTGCTGGAGCTTTGCTCGTCCAGGCCGGCTCTTTGGGAATGTTTGGGGATCGACGTGAAGATCGAAAAGTACAGAGTCGAGCTCTATTGCTTGTCATTGCAGGTTTCGCGGTTTGGACAGGAGTATGTGCTTGAAATATTCTTTCGCCACCGTTACTGACAGGAAGTTTAGACCAGTGTACCCATGATTCTTGGTATACCTAGTATCGTCTTGATCGTACGGACCGTCGTACCAGCAAATGGTCTCCTTGTGCTCGTTGGTGAGTGTTGATCATCGATGATTGTCGCCATGTACTAATATTAATATCTTGTAGGCATAGTTACTATATTTCCGGTGGCATTGTTGTCGCCGAAGCAAGAGGATTCTGTAACCGCTGGTGCAAAATCTCCATTCTCTACCAGCCCGATGGCATCATCTCGAGGCATATTTCAAAATGGTATAGGAGCTGAAGGATCCCCAATAATTGGTCGTACTGGCACTGAAAATCAACTCTTTGTAGTCAATCCTTCCTCAACACCACCTCAAAGAGATGTACGGGGCTTCACGAAACTTGACGACGATGGAGATTCAGGGACAACACAAGTTCCAGGTGGTGTATTCCCCGCCATTTTTGCTGCATCATCACTGGCTTCGGGCCAAGCAGCATCTAATTCAGCCTCCTCTAAACGCCCAAAAGTATCCGTTCGAGGTCTTGCTATCTCGAAACCTATAGTCGCTGATGAAACGGATCCTAATACACCTTTTGCCAAGATAGCCACGATAGATCTTAAGACTGCTGTAATGAACGATCGCGAGCGAAGAGAAATGACCAGCAAAAAGTCCCCATTCAATACTCCGAGAGCAGTTCCTCTACGACCAAGAATTTCGCCAGAAGAAATGTTAAACAAAGCCAATGAATCTGCAAGGAAAGGGCCATCATATCAATCCAAAGAGTGGACGGCGGATTCTGGACTTTCCACTTCTGCATTACTTTCTCCTGCACAGGAAGTGCGACGTCGGTCACCGCGAGGAATTAATAATTTAGAAACCTTGGAGGAGAAGCAGACTTATAGACCTATCGTCGGATTATCATCTGTGCCTAGAGCTCAGAATTCAATGCCACCCCGACAGAATGCTGTACAGCCAGAAACAGTTATGTTAATGAATGACATAATTTATGATAATCCCACAATAGTACAGTCGATTATCAGCAGAACCCCTGGCCATTCCAAACAAAAGTCCTTGCAGGAACTTTCACCCTTGACTCCTTATACTTCGACGTTCCGACCACGGGAGTCTGTAATTGACAGAGCGAGACCTATTCCCAGGCACAAAAATACTGGCATGTTTGGAAATGAGCCCCTGCCAGGCCACAGGCGTACCAAATCAGGCTCTTCAATCTTTAGCCGGAAATCTCTCTTCACTGTTCCAGATGATGCACCAGAGCTGCCTCCACTTCCACCAAAGCCACATCCAGTGTATACTGCTGCCGAACTAAAGAAAATTTTACCTAATGATACCAAAAGTATGACACTTAACGAGAAGATAGAGTTCCTATTTCCAGCTCCGCCAGAAGCCAGTTTGCTCAACAATCGCCGGTCGTCTGTTCCAGATCTTCCCAGTATGGCTAGTCAATCAGCTATTGAGGACGAGACAGATTTCCAATACAATCCTATTTCCAAACGGACGACAATCATCGCAGCAGTTAGTCCGCAAGTTTATCCAACACAACAGGATTCGGTAGAAGCAAATCTCAATCGCGAAACGTATCGTTCAAATGCGTTAGGAAGTCCGTCAAAAACGTTGGTGCCAAGTCGGATCTATAGCGACGCAAGCATTCTCAAATCGCAGAGCGAAACCATATCAAGTAGCTCTCGTAGTGAGAACGCCCATGCGTCGACTCCTTTGGATGAAGATTTTTTGAGCGAGAGTAGTCCATCAATTGCATCTGACACATATAGAAATTCTTCGTATTCGGCATATTCGCCACTGAGAAGTCAAAGGTTTACACCTGATGTTGGGAGATTGGAAAGAATGGCGGAAATTCCAGTAGAGGACGATGAAGATGAAGGAGAGGTCATGGTTGTCATGATGGATTCTGCCGAACATCGAAGATCTATGGCGGAATCAGCGGCAGGTGACGATAGAGAATCTTTCATTTTCGATATCAATGGTTTACCCATTGAAGCAACACACTCTCTCCCCACATGGCATCGACGTATCGGCGATGAACTGCCTGCATTTTCTGATCGAAGATCAAAGCATGGATCCCGGAAAATTTCACCTCCGACTGCTTTACAGTTGGAGCCACCACGTGGAAGAGCATCTCCAATTCTCATTCGTAACGCAGAAGCATCTCCATTATTAGACTCACCAGGAAGGGCACTTCAAGAGATTCAAGACCAATTGAATCGCATTGAAGAACCAAGACGTCCATCGTTGGGATCGATTCTACGTCGTATGCCAGCTACAGAAGAGATCGAAAACCTTGACTATGACGAGGGTATGGAGAGGTTACGATTACTTGAAAATCTCGAAAGGGAAATGGGCGAGCAAGAAAATGATTGGCAACAGATGCATCAAAATTTCAGTCCAGACTCTGATTCGTCAATTGGTTCTCTTGCTACGCCAGAATTCCAAGAGTCCCCCAAACTTAGAAGATCGACCATGGAGACAGCCGATCCAAAGAGATTATCGTTGGGATTACGCCGCACTTCATCTCGAATCATACGTCAACGGATGAGAGAGAATATGGCTGAAACATCTGCGGAAGATGAGATCATGTCTTCCCAGGTCCAAGAGAATCCCAGTTTGGGTGACTGGCAGCAGCGCTTAGCTAATGCCCAAATGTCTTACATGGAGAATGCACCAGCGATCTCTCATTCGCGAAGTAGCAGTATAAACTTCTTGTCGGTGTCCAAGGCACCAATGGGAAGCCCTGCTCCACTCGAAACCGGGCCAGAGACCGAGTCGGAAAGCGAATATGAAAGCGAGGAAGAAACGATGGATGATGAACCGCTAGTTGCTTCGCCATATCACCCAAATTTGTTGTGGCAGCCAGCACTGCACTCACCTGAATTAGATACCTCGTCACTCTGGAGCCCTGTTCATGACAAGGCCTCCCTAGAACTCAGTCAATCTCCTGAGCTTCCAGCAAAGTATTTACGTCCCGCACAGCGTATATGCGATGTTGAAATGGTACTCAGTAGCAGTAATTTATGGTCTAAATCATCTCTGAACATGCAACCCAGCAGTGGTTCAGCACAAACGCTGTGGGGATCCACATCAGTCCAAGAAGTTGCTGTTAAGGCTCGCCCGGTGACTCAAAGACCCCCTAGACGATCCAGGCGTATCACGCTTTTAGCAGACATTGGTGAGTTATTATTAATATTCTGTTACTAAAGATAGGAACAAGCAGCTAACAATAAATAGTCGAAAATCCCGAACCTCTCCCTAACAAACGCGACACATTAGGAATATTTCAATTTCCATGGGGCGAGCGATCTGACATAGCTATACCACAGCAAACTTACAATGCATCGTTCCAGGCTGGTCCACCACTGAACGCGATGCTCGACTCGAGGTCCCATCAATTGAAATCTGATGGACTGGAATATTCATCCACATCTTTCTTTGATTACGACGAGGAAGAGGAGTTTGACTCCGAGATGGAAACTGAAAGTGACGATGATTTCGACGAGACCACTCTCTGGGAAATTGCAAGCATGCTCAAGACTACTGACCTTCCTTCAAAGGATAGCTTATTGCCGCCACCAAAGTCTTCCCAGAATATCGTTGATGATTATGATGATTATGAGACGAGCTCCGAGACTGATTTTAGCTCGGAGAATGAAGATTATGAGGAGTTCAATAGTGAGTATTATGGAGACTACAATGAGGCTCGAAACTCGACCATCATATTTTCTCAGGAAGATATTATGAACTCTGAGGATATGGTTATTTCTCATGTAGCATCACCACTCGTCGTATTGGATGAACAGAGCTCCCAAGAATTGTTCGAGTTCTCGGGTGATTCTTCCAGGTCTCTGGTTGAAGACTCGCTACTTTGGGATCATACCCCGTCACCGAGCACCAAGGGATTCGAGTATGGCTTACCTCAACCAACTTCGGATGTCTGGCAATCTTATATCCCATCATCGCAAGACACTATTCGAACAAAATCTCAACCGTCGCTATCGGTACCTGAAATTTCGAACCACAGTCTTTGGAATGAGGAAGATAGTGATATTTCTGAGGAACCAGAGTCTGATCTGGAGCTTTGCTTCGAAATTCAATCGCCGCCCACCACTATCAGAAGTCTTATGTGGACTCCTCCAGTTGCTTCTTTTGAAGTTCCAAGTTATGGAATATTCTCTGTCGAATCCAATCGTCAAGATTTCCGCACAACTACACAAGCACCGGCTGCAAGCGATATCAAGAAGGTCCAGCGGGCAAACTCATCTACGCTTTCGGCACTTTCTTCCGATAAGTTGTGGTCAATCGAAGAACTTGTGCCACGCACAGGCGAGAACTGGATTTTAAAAAGTACGATTAAACCAGCTTCATTGACAGTTGCCGCTAGCCGCTCTTTCATGTGGACTCCAAATCCGGTCGTTGCTGGTGAGATCATTGAAGGTCTGTTTCAACCAAGATCATCTCGAACCAATTATCGCACGACTGAGCTAGAGCCAGCTGCATTGATTTCGACATCCAAAGCAAGAAGTGTACCGGGAAGCCTTTCAAACTTGGTATCCCATAAGCTTTGGCGTCAACCATGCTTATTGCACCTAAAGCGTGATCATGATTGGATTTCGGAATCTTCCATTCGACCAGTCAGTCCGTCGATAGCATCCGAGACAAGTTCAGGAAGATCTTCACCTGATATTTCAGATGCATCTTCTATCGCTTCAACAAGTACTAAAGCATCTTCATTGTTCTCTTTCGCTTCCGTCTCATTGGCTTCTGTTTCCATGCGAAGAACTCTTTCAGCCAAGAAGAAGGAAGAAGTTATTCCACCACCGCCACCTCCTGCTGACCCAAGCAAGTATCAATCCAAGCTGCCTGTTCGTCAGGTATCTCTGAAACCAACTCCAAGATCTCCTCCAAAAGCTTTGCCTTCAACACCACTCAGACAGTCGAAGGTTTTGTCTTCCAGAGATATATTTGAGGCACGAATTCCTCCCAATTCAGAGATCCCTCAATTATCGAAATTCCGCAGATCTATGGTGCCGATGAAACCAGCCAAACCAGCTCACAGAGCTATTAGACATCAATACAGATCTACCGTTGCTTTCCGTGCCAACTGGGACGATGCCTTGAACGAAGCTATCATTGCAGGATTACCTAAATCTAAGACAACATCTGCCGAATGGAATCTTTCTCTAAACGAAGTTATAACTCTTGGAACCCCACCGACTATCGAAGAGCCCCAGACATCTTCGGATCTCTTAGAGTTGGACCTCATAGAACCCATTGCAGAAAATACCACCGGGCCAACCTATTCCGCTATCTATAATCCCGCAATCCTCCACCCCGTTTTCTTTACCGAGACTCTCGTCTCGGATGTGGACACTATTCATCCCGCTGCTGTTGGACACACAAAGCTTCTATGTCTCACAGCGAGCGTTGATGATTGGGATCGCGCATTGGGAAAAATTGTGCACACAGATACGACGCGTGTGCAACGTCCAACGGTGTTTGCTTTTATGTGGAAAGATGCGCTGAAAGAGGCTATTGCTGCGGGGACTCCGAAGGAATTAGAGAGGTCTGATGTTGTTGTGCTTCAGAGAGATACTGTGGTGATGACTGAAAGTGTTCTTCCTAGCGATGTTTCACCTCCTCGCCCAGAATTCTCTACAGAATCCATGATGTCGAGTGCCAGCGATGTTTATCCTGCGGCTTTGGAATATGTTCAAGATTCAAGATTCGACTCTGCTATTCTTCACCCAGTCTTCTTCGCTGATGTTCTCATTTCATCTACAATTGACATTCACCCTTCTTGCATCGGGCATTGCATCATCACAAGTTCTCATCCGATGTCCGAGTCTAGTCTCTGGGTACCCAAGTCGGCGAGTATGACGTCAGTCGTCGATAGTGGTCTATGGACAGAACCATCAATCTTTGTTTGCGATACTCAGCCACGATTTGAGATGTTAACACTCGACCATTCTCGAAGAATTGTTGCGCAAAAGGATCTTGAATTGTCTACGCTGGAATCTTTTGAGCTTTGGCAACCATCTTCGGTTTCACTCATCTCAAGAAGTTGGCTACATACTTCGAGCAAGCTTAAGGCTACCCGCAATCTCCTATTCCAGAAGCCTGTCGTTGAAGTTATCGACCAGAGTGATGCTCTGATATGGGAATTATCGACAAGAACCGTCAAGTATATTCCGGATATCTTTTCAGACTTGAAGCACGATCATATCCAAAGACCTTCAAGTGCTCGTTCTTCACTTCTTCCATCTCTGGAATCTACAGAGCTTTATACGGTGTCAGAAAAGAGTGAGCCTGAGATTCACTGGCTGCGTACATCTATCGCTTCACCCGTCGTCGCGCAGAACATCTCTACGATGTGGACTGCCACTGGGTCATCCACTCCGGACTTGTTTCCAAGTATAATGTATGAGCTTATCAAGAAAATCTCTGCTACTCGTTCATCTGTTCTCCCACGCCTAGAGTCCTCGGAGCTTTTCACGCCTAAGGATAAGCCACAGCCAGAGATTGATTGGCTTCGTATATCTTCTGTGGAGCCCGTGATCGAAGAATTCGTTGCAAAAGCAACAGTTGACGACGACACACCACTCGCTAGAGAGGCTACGTTCGAGGAGTTGATGGCTGATGTAGAAAATCTTACCGAAAAGGAAATTGCCGAGCTGCTTGCTGCAGATGAATTTATGACAGAAGAGGATTTGGGTGACGTCTTTGTTGCAGGCGAGCCTCTATCGCCAGCCGAGCAATTGTGGAGCGCATCTCCACAGATTGCAATGGAAGTATCCACCGGTACGTGGAAAGTAACTCCAGTGGCTGCTGTCGCTCGTCCAGATATCTTTATCAAGAGCAATGGATCGTATCCTCAGAAGTCGCCAACCTCCTCTCATGTCCATATGGCAAGCCTCGAATCATCACAGCTATTCACACCGAGCTTCGTGTCCAAAAATCAAATTGACTGGCTTCACACCTCCTGCTTGGCTGACACCTCAAGTTCGAAGTCAGTATTGACTGAAAGTCCTACTGAGACCTCAGCCGAGTTAGTCCCATCCCCCGAACTTATCAATGCGAAAACTTGGTTACCTAGGCCATCACCTGTAGCACAGGTCTCTATCGGAGCCTTGTGGATGCCATCCATAGAACAAAATGACAATGCGCTCCCTATGTTCTCCAAACAATGCGATGGACCCTTGATCCGCAAGAGCAGACAGGAACTTGAGAAGAAAATCGAAAGCACCGAATTGTGGACAAATGAGAGAAGCACTCCGCAAAGCCCTAGACACTGGTTGTTAGGCTAAACAACAAAGAAACGGAATGTTACTGAATGGTCATTGTATATTAAGTATGTTTGATGAATTTGTATACTATAATTTGTGCATTTCGGGATGTTTCTGCTGGATTTGCATCAAAGGGAGAATAAAACCGGAGGATGGATATCGGTCGGGACGGTGCATATTGCATATGGCGTAAGAAAGGATGATACGATACCCGCCAATCATGTAGATAGTTTACTCACGAGTCATTTCTGGCTTTTCTCTGTAACATTATTGTTCAATATACGTACGTTACTTTGATACTGTTCTGCTCTGCGCTCTGATATGTATGTAACAATCCTCACGTGTAGTTTCGCAACGTTACCTGATTGCCGTGGGAAGAATGAGCATGTGAGACTGGAGTCGTAGGTGGCTTTTTCGTTGTGCTTTTACTGATGATTGAGGATCAAATGCAAGTTTCTCTGCAGTGTGAATTGAGCATCGAACCTCCCTCATTTGATGGAGAGCAGGTATAGAGATTTCCTAGATTTCAGATTCACATTCTTGCACTTTGCAATACTCTAGATACTTTAATATGTCTTCATTCTCTACAAAAGGAGTCGGAATATCGTTTCGTTTTGAAAGTAATCACATCTTGCAGCAATTTGATTTTTACTCGTTTTGTCTGAAACTACTATGTGTCGTGAAAGAGTTTCAGGTCACAGTCCACAATACAATCGAAAACCATATATAATCGAATACTATATACACACAAGAAAGGAAGAGGTGATACGCGTAACGCACCTTCTCGCTCTCGAGCATGTTTTCCCACACATGCTGGCTCCCTTATCTCAGGCTCTGCGTGCAACGCACACGCAATATGAGAATCGATACTCATTCTGATGGACGGTCGAAGGGCACGTGGTTCAGGTTATGTAAGCAGCCTTATCTGAGATACACCACAGCGACGCTGAGTTTGTTTGAATTCTGTTTATATTATAATCTCCCAACACGTTTTATTTAAGAGAATACTAGATACATTTTCCGCAATTAAAGTTTGCCCCAAGAAATCCGTAAAGAAAAATCGCTAAAGTCGCTGCCACAAATTCATCAACACGCTTGTCCTTTGGTGGCTGAGGTGCCTTCTAAGAATCGCCACAGGTCATTACAGCAATCATCTAAACTCTTCTCCGTCTTCCACATTAACTCCTCCTCTGCTTTGTCCGCTAGTGCTACACACTTGCCGACATCTCCTCCTCTTCTACCAACGATCTTGGTAGGGATCTTTGACTGGGTGGCCTTCTCCATCGCGTTCACCACATCAAGGACCGAGTATCCTTGACCAGTACCAAGGTTATAGACCTTGAAGCCACCACTTGGCCTGTTGCTGATAGCTGCCAAATGACCGCGCGCCAGATCGGTAACGTGGATGTAATCTCGCACAGCTGTACCATCGTGAGTGTCATAATCGGAACCGTACACGTTCAGCGCAGGCAAAGCCCCCGTGAGCACTCGTAAGACAACAGGCATCAAATTCGTCGCGGCCGCTCGAGGGTCTTCGCCCAGCAAGCCTGATTCATCGCATCCGATCGGGTTGAAGTAACGCAGCGCAGTGATCTCCCAATCGGGATCGGAATTGGCGAGATCGCTCAGGATTGCTTCGCACATCCATTTGGTGCGTCCGTAGGGGTTTGTGAGACCCGAGCATCCTGACCCCACCACATATTCTTCGCGAAGTGGCACCCCAGAATCTGCAACTGTTCCATAAACTGTGGCAGAAGAACTGAACACCATCTTCTTGATCCCAAATTGCTGCAGCAGAGAGCAGAAATCGACGAGGCCGCCAACGTTGTTTGAATAATATTTGAGGGGTTGTTGTATACTTTCTTCGACGGCTTTGTATGCGGCGAAGTGTATAACGCCGGAGATACTTGATCTTTGACCATTGCAAAGAGTGACCGAACTCGAATCGAAGCTCATTACGCCTGGGTAGTCATATTGTTCCAGTATCGTTGTCATTTTGTTCATGTCCCTGAAGTCCGCATCGTGAAATTTGAGTGAAGGTCGGTTTCCATTTTTGCGCTGAGCACTGTAATGCTGATCGACCATCAACTGGAGTTTTTCGAAGACGGTCAAAAACGAATTGCTGAGATTATCGATGATAGCCACCTAAAAAGTTGTTAGCGAAACCCCAAAAAAATTGTGGGTGATATCATTACATTGTATCCAGCTTTGGCTAGTTCCCAGACTGTGTGACTACCAATGAACCCTAAACCACCGACGACCAATATCCATTGATCGTTAACTGCATTTCGAACTGCATTTCTAACTGCAAAATCGATATCATTGACGTCGAATAATAAGGATCTTTCTGTCAAGGGAGTGTTGAGAGCACTGTCTTCATTATCAAAAGAGAGAAGTTCAGGTGTGGAAGCACCCGAATTTGTGGAAGAATTTGTTGAGCCAGGCATATTATCGGTAGAATCCTTGCAGAAATTAGGTACGATGTATTTGAATGCGTTGGTTTCCAAGGCTCAAGACGTCTTCATATTATACCTTTTTTTCCACTGGCCTGGACCGCTCAGCTAACGCTCGTATATAATTATAGTTACAACGAAATACTCGCCTGTATTGCAGCCGCGCACTACTACCAAGACCTTGCGGAATTACATTGCGTGCCATATTGGGCCACTTTGGTTTCAAGACTGCTGAAGTGCAATTTCAAAAGCAAGTGCCTCGTCCGAGTCAGCCGCTACAAAACTTTCAATATAGAGGCTTGAGGCTGCCTTCCTTGTTTAGGGACTATTTGCGACATCTACAGAATATCTTGAAAGGGAAGTTAGGTTGCAGCAGCCTAATCCTGTAAATTTATTTCATCATCCCGTACCTGATTGACGATGTTCTTCAAGAAAAAGACCCCAATGGTACCTACCAAATCGAAGGTTCTCGTCCCCCTCTACATTTACCCTTCCCCTGGTGCATGGGGACGGTTAATTCAAAGGCAAGTCGGGGAGAGCGACGGCATGTTTGGAACTATTGATCCTGGGGCTGACTGAACAACAGCATTTCTACGTATCCGGGTCTTGAATTCATCATCGTGGTCAATCCTCACAATGGCCCTGGACAATCACTCGATAGTAACTACCGAAGAGAAATCCAACAGCTAAACTCATATCCTAATGTTACGGTTGTCGGCTATGTCTCTACTGCATATGCAACCAGGCAATATCCCGACATTCTAGAAGATGTCAAAACTTACGCCGCTTGGAGGCTCGAAGATGATGGGCTCGGCGTTCGAGGCATCTTTTTCGATGAAACGCCGAACCAATGGTCCGCCTCAAACGAAGCATTTCTAGCAAACATTAACGCTGCAGTAAAAGGCAGTTCTGGTCTAGGAGCAGAGCCTCTGGTGCGTGCATTTCCCGATATACTCTAGTGCTAGTACGAATACTGACTGATCATTACCGAATAGGTCATTCACAATCCAGGAACAGTCCCTGACAAGAAACTAAGGTCTGGAAAATGTTTACCAGACATCAATGTGGTGTTTGAAGCAACTCACCAGACGTATCGGGAGAATGCTTGCGAGAAAGCCCTCACGGATCTTAAGATGGACCCAGGACGTTTGGCGTGCTTGATGCACTCTGTACCGGAATCTTTGATGTCCACACACTCCGATGTTGCATCCGAGACGCAAAAGCTGAGGTCGATTGTGGGGACATTATATATCACTAGTCAGGCAACAGAACTCTATACTGGCTTGGGGGATCATTGGGAAAATTTCATCAGAGCTGTTAGTTCCTAAGGATCTAGAACAGGAATCTCATTTTATCTACTTTTTGGGGGGGTGGAGCATGGGTATGGTATGGGTAACCGACTTTCGGACTTCAATGTCATGGTTTGATGTCGGATTTGACGGAAGCATTGAAGCATTAGCATGTATATTGAAACCAACAATACGGGTTTTAGTCCCTTGGCAAACTTATTTGAATTTTTTGTGTTTTCCAGAACCCTGAGTTTCATGTGGCATTTTTGAGGCTAATTCCGGAGAATATTTTTCCACCGAATACACGATCAGACGGCGACCCCTGAGCCTAAGGTTTTGGCACGGATGGAAACAATCATCCTAAAGGGATAAGCCACGATTTCTTCAGCGATTTTCATGAAATATGACACAATAGGTATAGCATATTGCGACCGGGCCTTCTACCCGATTCAGTTAATTTTCCAAGTTTCCACAAAACACTTGCATCATCGATGTCAACAAAGCGAGAAGCGAGATTCATGGGAAAAGAAAATTTCACAATTACCGTTTTGTCTCGCCACCCCAAAAATAAGGTCGAACGGCTAGATCAGGAACCTAGCTGAGTCGTTGCATTCGACCCGCAGCGATTCTGTATTCTGTAAATCATAACACCCTGTGGGTGTCAGGATGTCTTGGATACCCCGCAATGGTAAGGACCCCTTGTATCTTTTGGTGATAGCTCGACAGGATCCAAATTAATACGCCCGATAAGTTGGTCAGATTAAAGTGGCATAGTCTATGCCAAACTTATCCACTTTCGTCCAATCTTGTTTATCGTGCTACCAATATTGACCGAGAGTAGGAAGGTTAGTTCCATGATCAGTAGCTGATACTACCGCGGAGATAGATTAGGAGCCGCAAAGGGTATCATTTGATCGATAGGGCTTATGCACATCATCATCCTAATGTTGTGTCTGGAGATGTAGATGTATGTACATTAGGCAAGAGGATGTATGTTCCAAAATGGAAGCTCTAACTTGGGTAGGAATTAGGAATCCTCCCACCAGACAAAGAAACCTGCTCAAAAGAGAAGATGATGCTGCTGCGATTCCTGTATATTGCTTGCTTATGGGAAAATATCGTTAGCTGCCGCACCAATCCTAGTCGTCATCTGTAAATGGAGTTTCTCTGTGTCATAACTTTGAGATTTCCGCAGGGATCCCCACACGGTCCCACGTCCTTTCTCATCGTCCCATCATCCCATGTATTTTTTCACGGTCCCCATGTACTTTTTTTCTCA